GCCCCGGGATCCAGGCCCCGGCCCAGCCCCGAAAATCCAGGCCCCGGCCCAGCCCCGGGATCCAGGCCCCGGCCCAGCCCCGAAAATCCAGGCCCCGGCCCAGCCCCGAAAATCCAGGCCCCGGCCCAGCCCCGGGATCCAGGCCCCGGCCCAGCCCCGAAAATCCAGGCCCCTGCCCAGGCCCCGGCCCAGGCCCCGGGATCCAGGCCCCGGCCCAGCCCCGAAAATCCAGGCCCCTGCCCAGGCCCCGGGATCCAGGCCCCGGCCCAGCCCCGAAAATCCAGGCCCCTGCCCAGGCCCCGGCCCAGGCCCCGGGATCCAGGCCCCGGCCCAGCCCCGAAAATCCAGGCCCCGGCCCAGCCCCGAAAATCCAGGCCCCGGCCCAGCCCCGAAAATCCAGGCCCCGGCCCAGCCCCGAAAATCCAGGCCCCGGCCCAGCCCCGGGATCCAGGCCCCGGCCCAGGCCCGAAAATCCAGGCCCCGGCCCAGCCCCGGGATCCAGGCCCCGGCCCAGCCCCGAAAATCCAGGCCCCTGCCCAGGCCCCGGGATCCAGGCCCCGGCCCAGCCCCGAAAATCCAGGCCCCAGCCCAGCCCCGAAAATCCAGGCCCCGGCCCAGCCCCGGGATCCAGGCCCCGGCCCAGCCCCGAAAATCCAGGCCCCTGCCCAGGTCCCGGGATCCAGGCCCCGGCCCAGCCCCGAAAATCCAGGCCCCTGCCCAGGCCCCGGCCCAGGCCCCGGGATTCAGGCCCCGGCCCAGCCCCGAAAATCCAGGCCCCGGCCCAGCCCCGAAAATCCAGGCCCCGGCCCAGCCCCGGGATCCAGGCCCCGGCCCAGCCCCGAAAATCCAGGCCTCAGCCCAGCCCCGAAAATCCAGGCCCCGGCCCAGGCCCCGGGATCCAGGCCCCGGCCCAGCCCCGAAAATCCAGGCCCCAGCCCCGAAAATCCAGGCCCCGGCCCAGCCCCGGGATCCAGGCCCCGGCCCAGCCCCGAAAATCCAGGCCCCGGCCCAGGCCCCGGGATCCAGGCCCCGGCCCAGCCCCGAAAATCCAGGCCCCGGCCCAGCCCCGGGATCCAGGCCCCGGCCCAGCCCCGAAAATCCAGGCCCCGGCCCAGCCCCGAAAATCCAGGCCCCGGCCCAGCCCCGGGATCCAGGCCCCGGCCCAGCCCCGAAAATCCAGGCCCCTGCCCAGGCCCCGGCCCAGGCCCCGGGATCCAGGCCCCGGCCCAGCCCCGAAAATCCAGGCCCCTGCCCAGGCCCCGGGATCCAGGCCCCGGCCCAGCCCCGAAAATCCAGGCCCCTGCCCAGGCCCCGGCCCAGGCCCCGGGATCCAGGCCCCGGCCCAGCCCCGAAAATCCAGGCCCCGGCCCAGCCCCGAAAATCCAGGCCCCGGCCCAGCCCCGAAAATCCAGGCCCCGGCCCAGCCCCGGGATCCAGGCCCCGGCCCAGGCCCGAAAATCCAGGCCCCGGCCCAGCCCCGGGATCCAGGCCCCGGCCCAGCCCCGAAAATCCAGGCCCCTGCCCAGGCCCCGGGATCCAGGCCCCGGCCCAGCCCCGAAAATCCAGGCCCCAGCCCAGCCCCGAAAATCCAGGCCCCGGCCCAGCCCCGGGATCCAGGCCCCGGCCCAGCCCCGAAAATCCAGGCCCCTGCCCAGGTCCCGGGATCCAGGCCCCGGCCCAGCCCCGAAAATCCAGGCCCCTGCCCAGGCCCCGGCCCAGGCCCCGGGATTCAGGCCCCGGCCCAGCCCCGAAAATCCAGGCCCCGGCCCAGCCCCGAAAATCCAGGCCCCGGCCCAGCCCCGGGATCCAGGCCCCGGCCCAGCCCCGGGATCCAGGCCCCGGCCCAGCCCCGAAAATCCAGGCCCCGGCCCAGCCCCGAAAATCCAGGCCCCGGCCCAGCCCCGGGATCCAGGCCCCGGCCCAGCCCCGAAAATCCAGGCCCCGGCCCAGCCCCGGGATCCAGGCCCCGGCCCAGCCCCGAAAATCCAGGCCCCAGCCCAGCCCCGAAAATCCAGGCCCCGGCCCAGCCCCGGGATCCAGGCCCCGGCCCAGCCCCGAAAATCCAGGCCCCTGCCCAGGTCCCGGGATCCAGGCCCCGGCCCAGCCCCGAAAATCCAGGCCCCTGCCCAGGCCCCGGCCCAGGCCCCGGGATTCAGGCCCCGGCCCAGCCCCGAAAATCCAGGCCCCGGCCCAGCCCCGAAAATCCAGGCCCCGGCCCAGCCCCGGGATCCAGGCCCCGGCCCAGCCCCGGGATCCAGGCCCCGGCCCAGCCCCGAAAATCCAGGCCCCGGCCCAGGCCCCGGCCCAGGCCCCGGGATCCAGGCCCCGGCCCAGCCCCGAAAATCCAGGCCCCGGCCCAGCCCCGAAAATCCAGGCCCCGGCCCAGCCCCGGGATCCAGGCCCCGGCCCAGGCCCGAAAATCCAGGCCCCGTCCCAGCCCCGGGATCCAGGCCCCGGCCCAGCCCCGAAAATCCAGGCCCCTGCCCAGGCCCCGGGATCCAGGCCCCGGCCCAGCCCCGAAAATCCAGGCCCCGGCCCAGCCCCGGGATCCAGGCCCCGGCCCAGCCCCGAAAATCCAGGCCCCAGCCCAGCCCCGAAAATCCAGGCCCCTGCCCAGGCCCCGGGATCCAGGCCCCGGCCCAGCCCCGAAAATCCAGGCCCCTGCCCAGGCCCCGGCCCAGGCCCCGGGATTCAGGCCCCGGCCCAGCCCCGAAAATCCAGGCCCCGGCCCAGCCCCGAAAATCCAGGCCCCGGCCCAGCCCCGGGATCCAGGCCCCGGCCCAGCCCCGAAAATCCAGGCCCCAGCCCAGCCCCGAAAATCCAGGCCCCGGCCCAGCCCCGGGATCCAGGCCCCGGCCCAGCCCCGAAAATCCAGGCCCCTGCCCAGGCCCCGGGATCCAGGCCCCGGCCCAGCCCCGAAAATCCAGGCCCCGGCCCAGCCCCGGGATCCAGGCCCCGGCCCAGCCCCGAAAATCCAGGCCCCGGCCCAGGCCCCGGCCCAGGCCCCGGGATCCAGGCCCCGGCCCAGCCCCGAAAATCCAGGCCCCGGCCCAGCCCCAGCCCCGGGATCCAGGCCCCGGCCCAGCCCCGAAAATCCAGGCCCCTGCCCAGCCCCGGGATCCAGGCCCCGGCCCAGCCCTGAAAATCCAGGCCCCGGCCCAGCCCTGAAAATCCAGGCCCCGGCCCAGCCCCGGGATCCAGGCCCCGGCCATGCCCCGGGATCCAGGCCCTGGCCCAGCCCCGAAAATCCAGGCCCCCGCCCAGGCCCCGGCCTAGCCCCGAAAATCCAGGCCCCGGGATCCAGGCCCCCCGCCCAGGCCCTGGGATCCAGGCCCAGACCCAGCCCCCGGGATCGGGCCCAGCGCCAGGATCCAGGCCCCGCCCCCGGGATCCAGTTTAATTAATGAAAGTTTGCTAGGATGGACTTCAGTTTAATAAACAATGAGACATCAATTAAACTACAATTTAACAACTAGAAATTCTTTTTTAAAATTTATTCAAAGCAAATCCAAAAGTGTATGCACAAATTTACTGTAGAGGGTATAATGCCGTTAACCAATATTTTTTAATTGACATACAGATCCTTGTCATTTGATTGGTGAAACTAGCATCCATATAATTGCTCTCTTTCACGCCGGGGCTCAAAAATCCCCTTTCACCATGGTAAATGAGATTTGCTATTCAACATTTAGGATCATCCTTGTAAATTCATTTTAAATTTATTGAGAAATAAATCAAATGACAAAGATCTTTACGTCAGTGATATACAACAATTAATATTGAGTGGCGTTAAATTGTGAAATGGGAAGAATATTATTGTAGTCAAGATTTTCCAGATACATGTACATCTTATTCTCTAAATTTCAAAACAGTAAGGCCCCAAAAAAAGTCTCCGGCTTCTGGTATGCGTGCGCGTCGCCGTAGCCATGCGCGTCAGCAAAATGCAACAGTTTTTTTTTCAATGAAAGATGATGTCTCAAAACCGCCAAACTCACTGGTTTGACTGGAATCCTGCTGCTGCACAATTTGAACGTGTTTTTAGATGGGGTTTTGATCGAGAATAAGCTTTATGTGGCCTCTCTGGTCTCCCATAATATTTGCACTAAGTTTAGTCGGGCACCATTTGCAGTCATCAGCCAAAAAAAAACAGGTAAAAAAAAAAAAAAATGCGTCGCCGCACCACTTTTTGGGCAAGCTCCATACCAGAAACCATAGACTTTTTTTTTTGGCCTAATGGCCAATTCAAGATACATGTATGTTTACTTACATTTGGTCAAAATGAGATTTTCTCAAATAAGAAGTTAAAAAATCTGAGAATTTTGGTTTCCTAACATTTCAAAAGGTATTAAAGAGGTAAACCTTGCAAGTTGTTTGTTTAATTACATGTAGGTCCAAATGTCATTTTGATCAACTGTAATAACCTTCCATTTTTATTGGACTTGGATAAAATTTAATTTTCCTCAAAACCTCTGAACCTTAAAGGATTCAAACAGAAATTTGTTTCCTTAAACATTCCGAAACAAGCTGAAGGTTTTAACCTTTTGTTTTCAGGCGAAATTCATCAAAAAGTTTAAACATGTTGTATTTTTTCTCTGAATTTTGACAGAAAAATTAAAATGCTTGCTGGTAGGAAGCTTTTTAGTTTTCAACAATTGACCTGCAAATTGACATTGGCATGTAAAACAATTGCACGTATGACAAGAAAACAATTCAGAATTGTGAGGCATTCTGGCTAAGTGAGATATCGAGGGTTTGCGGACATTAGGAAAGAGAATACAACTTTTCATATAATACTGTCTGTTGCACTTCAATCGGACATTCCGTTGACAAATGGTCATTTAAAGTTTGCATTTATCGACATTTCAAAAAAGTGAAAGGCCTTAAACATTTATGGAATATTGTGCCCTGATCCATCTCTTTTGCCAGAACTCCTCTCAATTTTTAACACAAAAATACTTAGCAAGTTAAAAAATAAAGGGGGTTGAAGCAGATGTACACCCAGTTGTAAAAGTCAATTTGTATTTGCACTTTACAGAATATTGCACAGAATATAAACCTACATTGTAATGGGTAGAGTGCAGCTTAAGGGTCCCGAACATTTTTTGGATTCTAGATGCTCTGTGGTGGGATCTGAGATTATTTCTGACCACTTTAACCATTTGTTGAAGAAAAGATGGTGTACGCAGTGCCTACCTTAATTGCGACGTCACTTGAAACAAAAATTTGGTTCGTTTTTTGTTTAATAGGCTAAATATATGGCCCATTGCGTAGACCAGATACCAGTCTTGGTGTAAAGACGTTCATAGCGGGGTATTTATGATAGACGGTACAGCCTTTGTACTGTGTGCAGCAGCAGCATGCATGTTCCCAGTCCCATACAGCCAGGTCGACTAAGCGCACGCAAAGAACATCTTGGGATCTTCCATTGAAATAGGCTTGACTTCATATGCAAAATAAAAGCGCATAGGATTGTGCATCAGAACCGGGTACCCGAGCTCCCCACCGTTAATGTCAGGAACCGGTTCCAGATTATGGAATCGAGTACCTGTAACCAACTTTACAAATTACTCAGTAGCTTCTCAGTAAATGAAAAATAAACATTTCGAACATGTCGAATGTCAGTGGGATAGTTTCAAAATGAAAAACAAGATGCATGGAAAACCCAAACCAATTTCAGGTTTTATGATGTTTGCGAAAGTGGCATTTTTCACCACATACATGTGGCTATAAATTTAGAGCTCACAGTATACATGTACATGCTATCTAGCCGTATTACCGCACTGATGTGGTAGTAGTATCATGCGGACCTTTATGAACAATCTGAACAGCAACTTCCCAGATTTGAATGTTTGGCACGGGTTTCTTTATAACTTTTTTTTTTTTTCAAAGAGTAGTACCCGGTTCTTGCACTACCTGTAAATGCACACCTCTAACAGCGCATGCGAATGGGTGGAAACAAAAGAGCTGTTCTGAAAATTAACCCTTAGGTGACCAATCGTACATGCACATGTGTATTGGATAGCACTAGGCAGACCAACAGTTTTGATCCAATGCAGCGTACAGGCTTGCAAGCTTTACACGAGTGGCTTAAAAAACTGCACTACGTTGAAAAACCAGAGATGCTACATGTACGTCACGTACATGTACGCACATGCAAATGCCCACACAATTCTGCTCAGAATTTCCCGAGCAAGAATACAAGATTCCCAAGATGTCCTTTGCAGCTTGTTGGCATTTGTATAAAGGGCGCCCGTTCCAGTGAACCGCTGTCAAGTCCTAAATAACCTGTGCGCGCTGAAACATTGCATCGCTAAGGACGTCTTTCCACCAAGACTAACCAGATACATGAAAAGACCAGTGAATAGCCATTCTTGTTAAACTGAATAGAAATGTTGGGACTAGCTTTAACTAGGTTCTCCTAGTCATACACCTACATGTAAAGGTAGAGTAGATCATTTGCAGCTATCCAAAAAGTAACTGGCAAATTTATTGTTCAACAGCTCACCGGTTGTCATTTTGAAGAAAAAGAAGGCCATTTCTAAAGATGCTTCCAGTGACGCACTTTTGAAATTTCAATTAGTAGTTTGGTTTGTAATTCGCTTTGGAACGACGCACACGTGCACCCAGTTGCTATTATTTGTCAGTTCAGCATGTGACATCACTTAGCTGCAATTGGCAGAATGAGAACCTGTCCCAGTTGCTGATTTTGGTCGCTGTTCATAACTTGATTTGGCAATATTTGAATTCAAACCGAGATCAAAATGTTCTTTACTCGGAAGAGACAGTATTCCCAGCGCTTAAACTTCATCAGGTATTTAGGCACCGTCATTAGATTTTGAGCATTTTTTTTATGCTTAAAACAGAGAGAGCGCACGAACGACAAATGATCTACCATACCTTAGTGCACTACAATGATTGCATTGACTAAATTCTAATATTGCACATTGTCACACATTTTCACAAATAACACCAATGTCTTTGAACCTGAACTTCCATTAAAAAACTCAATCAAATTATATACAAACATCTTTCCATCAATGTACATATCTCATATAATGTGAAAAATATTGAAATCCGAAAATGAAAGTTAAATTGAAACTTTCTTTTTATAAAATATATGATCTTCGATTGAAATTTTCATAAAGCATATAAATTATTTCAGTCGGAATTTCAATTGTGTCATCCAGTGATCAAGGCATTGATTATATATAATCAACTAAATGGCAATTTTAATATACAGTTATAATAATTCTTCCTAAATTATAGAATTCGATGTTTTTGAACTAGAAAATGGACGTATGAGTGACTTCCAAGAATTTCTTTTAAAAGTTGCAAAAGCCAAAACCTGAATGGACATTTATGGCTATGGCTAGCCACCATATAATGCAACAATGGCAAAAATCAATGTAAAAATGGGCAAGAATTGTTGCCTATGGCAACTACTATTCACTTTGCCTAACAAGACAAAAACAAAAGCCAAAGTGGCATTGTTATCTATGGCCGTATTTGTTTGTTTATTAACTCCAGAAAGGGAATCTCTTTTGAGAGGGGGCCGTGTGTTTCTTGAGGTCTGGTTTCCTGACTTCTTGCCTTGTCAGCTGCTTCTTGAGGCGTTGGTCCAAGAGCTGGTGAATATCGATCTGGAATGAGAGAGACACCATAAACTTATCAACATGTCATTTTTTTTGCCAAAAAAACAAAAACAATCAAACAAAACCAATTCGTCATCAGAGGCAGTTCACAAAAAAATGTAAAAGCTAGGCAAAGGAAGACAGTGTGGGTATTATAGTTTCGCATTATGTTCACATTTTCCGCTGAGAAAGATCAGCAGACCGGATAACTGAGACTGTTACACCCAGATTCCATGGATTGGTGGTACATGCGAGAGCAAATTGATTATACATTTACATCATTTGACAACAATTATCCCACAGGGTCAAACGGTATCAAAGACAACAGTGCGTGTCATTCCCTGCAAAATTAGGGGTAATCTTAATAGATATCCAGGACAAGTAAATGTTCAGAAACCTACAACAAATACACAATAAAATGGTCTGTGGATAAACTCTTTCATGACTCCTTACCTGCCACTGATCTAGCTGTTCCGACAGACTGACTTTCTGCTTGATAGCTCCAATCAGCTGATCATCCAGCTTGCTCATATCGGCCTGGGCTTGAAACAACTGCTGCTCTGCGACTGACCGCCTGAAAAATACAACAATGAACCATTTCCAGTCAGAAGTGGAACGGAGGGATGAATAGTGGTCGGGGAATGGCCTGGGAATCAGGTGTCTTGTCTCTTAGTGCCCTGGGATTGATAGAGCCCTGGGAATCTGGTGCCCTGGGATTTTAGTGCCCTGGGATTTATAGTGCCCTGGGAATCTGGTGCCATAGGATTTTAGTGCCCTGGGATTTATAGTGCCCTGGGAATCTGGTGCCATAGGATTTATACTGCCCTGGGAATCTGGTGCCCTGGGATTTTAGTGCCCTGGGATTTTAGTCAGTGCCCTGGGATTTAAGTGTCCTGGGAATCTGGTGCCCTGGGAAGAGCCCTGGGATTTTAGTGCCCTGAGATTTTAGTGCTCTTGGATTTTAGTGCCCTGGGATTTAAGTGCCCTGGGATTTAAGTACCCTGGGATTCTAGTGCCCTGGGAATCTGGTGCCCTGGGAATTGAGTGCCCTGGAATTCAAGTACCCTGAATCTGGTGGCCTGGGAATCTGATGCCTTGGCTTTTAGTGCCCTTGGAATCTGGTGTACAAGTATTTTGATGCCCTAGGATTTTAGTACGCAGGGATCTTAAAAAGTTTTCTGGAGGCATTAAGGATTTTCAGCCTCACCTTAAAATGGCTTCATCCCTTTCACTCTGCAGTCGGTCGATGACTTCTTCTTGGCTAACATTGGATGAGATGTCTTGAAGATGCTCCGATGCGGACCTTCTCCTGGGATGGACTAAAGACAAGCTTCCTCTCTCCTCAAGCTGAACAAAAAAATAAATAAACACAAAGTGCAAATTAAACATTCATCACATGCCAATAACAACTATCTTTTCTATTATTCAGGCATTGTATAAAACAAATAATGAATGTTTATGAGTGCAATGGTAAGAATAATTTCATTGGGTGACAGATGGCATGTTCCATTCCACTTGACGTTGCCTCGTTATTTGTCACTTCATGAAATTATTCTTACCGTTGCACTCATTAACATTCATTTTTTGTATACTATCACACCCTGCCATTCTACTCCAGGGCATCACGGTATTGCATGAACACTAAATATGCTCTTTTCTTTGCAAAAATTGCTCACCAAAAACAAGAAATGCCATTAAACTTTTGCAGGGGAAGATTCAACAATTGTTAAACCTTTTTCATAATTATTAAGTAATGTATATCATAGGAGCCAAAATTTCATGTGACACAAGAAAAAAGTTTAAGACCAAGCTCTCAACCAATAGGAATGGGTAAACTGTCTTAGATATTTATAAATAATTGTTAAAACTTTTCATAATTGCTAAGTAATGAACATCAGCCACATGAACCCAACAGATCTGCAATTAAAATTATCCGCTCTTTGATTTGCTCCTTGACAAACTTCTCAAGGGAAACCAACCTTGTCGTCGTCACTACTGGACGTGCTCAGATCAGTCTCCTCGCAAGACGTTGAATAATCGACAGCGGAGGACGACGCCAACTCTAACTCCTGTTCAAGGCTGCGAACCTGTTGTCATGGATACAGAAACACTCATCCTCAATGAAATTCTTAATGAAGTTACAACAATCAATGTTTTCTTCCTTAGAAGAGCGACATGAAACCTACTCTGTGACAATCAGTCACATATCACCAGGTGTGAGTATTTTGGTTTTAAAATTGAGGAGGGTGAAAATATGTAAAAATAGAAATTCTCATTTGGTAAAATTTGTTTTTTACTTTGCTTCTTTGTTAGGTCATGTCTTATGTTTTGGCACACAAAAAATATACAATTTCTTGTAGCATTCTGTTAAATATTTAGGAGTGGAAAATCTGTTTCAGGACCCCTTCCAATTTTAGTTCATCCTCTTTATCACTGGAAAATTTAATTTCAGAAGTCGGTTTGCAACATCTGACTGATTGTTTTTTTACAGAGTAGATCAAATGTATTCTTAGGCCAATGAGTTTGGCAACACCACAACATTATAAACTCAGCTCAATTCCCAAAAGGCTTCAAAACCTTCAAGAAAACCTCTTTTTTTTTTAAGAAATTGGTTTTGTGGTGTCTTTCTCATTTAAACAGCGCTGGTAGGGGGCAGTTTTCATGGAAATTTGACCACACTGAGAAATATGCTTAGAGCATAGATTATTTGCTGAGCAAAAAACGGTTACCAGCTAGAGTGTTACGCTATGTATTTATTGCGTTTGACTGGTACTCAGCGTATTCATGCTCAGCACACAATTCAGCAAAGCAAAATTTTCTGCCAAGAAGCTCCACGAAATTGAGCATGGGTCACATACTTGGGAAACGGATACAATTGAGAAAAAAATACAATTAATTTGATGAGTTATTTTGTTGATTATGATTATGGGATTTATGGGTCATTCCATAAATTGTGCTTCCAATTGTTTTCATGTCCCTGTCACATCTGATATAATTCTGTAAATTCAGGACGCATTCTTGGATGCCTTTTATCTCCAAGAGTAATTATGTAAAGCTAAGTACCTGCCAAACAAATCAAAACTAATTTGAAGTCAATTTCAATGATACTTGAATGGCATATTAATGATATTACACAGGTCGCGTGCAACAGAGACACAAAAATGTCGCACTTTTGGAACCCACGTAATGGAATGACGCTTAATTATGCAGAAACCCAGGTCTGCTGTTAGAAGACCAATGGAAGTCCAAAGTTCAATGAGGATGAAAATGGGGATATGGGAATGACTATTCTTCAGCACATTATGATGACAAATCAAGATGAGTAATGCCTGTCAATATTGCGGTTGTTAGTTACAATGTTGTTGTTAGTCACAATGTTGTTGTTAATCACCATGTTGTGATCTTTTCTTTAACCCTAACTCCTGGGGCTCTTTTACTAGAAAGTATCCTGAATCCGCCAAAATCCACCAATTTTGTCATGCAAAAATTGCTGGTATCCTGAATCCATCAGAATCCCCCAGTGTAGATTCTGGAGGTATCCTGAATCCGCCAGAATCCACCAGCAAAAGTCTTGATGGATTCTGGCGGATTCAGGATACCATGGTGGCATAAAAAAAAATACAGCATGTTTTTCCATAGAGTCTTCAAAATCCATCACCTAAATTTCTGGTGGATTTTGACGGATTCAGGATACCATGCTCGCATGAAAATTGTGATGTGTGTTGTTGCATAGGATCCATCAAAATACACCAATGCATTGCGACCCCAGCATGGATCAGTACCGAAGTGAATACGTCTCGCGCACAAAATTTGTGTGAAAGACATTAGCGCATGTTTCAGCCCGTAAACCATAGATATAGAATGAAAAGACTAGATCGGCAGCGGGTCCACACGCGCCCAGTCACTGTGCGATAAATCTCCGCCATTTTGGTTGTCTCTCAAAGACGCGCAACAAATTAACGTAAAGTAATGGAGCTAAATGTATCTTTCCTCCAGCACGTGACCTAGCTCAACACGCGCGAAGCAAGAAATGCGCACCGAGTATTTACGCGATGCGCACACATAATTATTAGCGATGCACATGGTGTTCTTTGCGCGTAAACGGCATTGCGTTCGTCACGTTTTCGCACATTATTTGTATCTTTCCTCCAGCACGTGACCCTCCATGCAAGTCCACCCAGTACATGTGTGTACATGTTTGTACAGTATGTGACAGACTTGGCAGGGCTAGTGCCAGCAATATTTACTTGACCACAAACATTGCAAAAGAGTTCAACTGTTGAGATCCTGAATCCATCAAAGTCCCCCAATAGCTCAAAATGGAGGTATCCTGAATCCATCAAAATCCGCCAGTTCCGCTAGGCTTCGAATCCTGAGTCCATCAAAATCCCCCAGTTTGTTCAATATGGAGGTATCCTGAATCCGCCGAAATCCCCCGAAACAGGGGGGTGGATTTTGATGGATTTAGGTACGTTAGGGTTAAACCATCAATCCCGCTACGGTAGTTTCTTGATTCAATTGATAATTAATAAAAAACTTTGCCTGGTCGAGTTCCCATCCTTGTAATTTACTTATTTAAAAGGTAACTTTCATAGATCCGATAAAAATTCCATTTTAGGACAGTTTCATCAAAAAATATTTGCCCTTTAAAAAACGATTTAACATACATGGGCAATTCCAGCGTTATGAAAGGAAGTGTAATGTCCATGACAGAGCCAATGAACCATGATAAAAGAAGGTGGAGTCTGTCACAAGCCAATGTGGCCCATCACGCCGGTGTTTATCTCCGGTTTCAGTAGCATGAAACGACTGAGAAATTTCTACTTCTTGATGGGATGCCAGTCCATCGCAGGTTACTGCTAGCTAATGCCGGTACCCATTTATACTCCTAGGTGGAGAGAGGCAAGTGAGGGTCAAGTGGCTTGCCCAAGGACACAACATATGACCAGCAGCTGGATCTGAACCCCTGACCCTCTGATCATGAGTCACAAATCCTAAGCCACACTCCCCACAAATGAACCGTGGTACATGTATCTAATTAGTAATTCTGGGAAATGATCCAAAAGTCATGCTATTATCCTTGGCCATTAATTTCAAGATGATGGATGTAAAAGATTTATAAAATACATCTTCAAGTTTATTCCCTGAGCTCTAATAAAAGCTGTGTCATGGCCATTACATAACTCGGGAATTGCCTTTATACAATATGTTGGAAGTGAGTGTCAAGTACAAAATAATGTTGATTTGTGGTATAGGACCCTCCATTTTCAGACCAAGTTTCATAAAAAAAAAAACACCTGTGTCCATTAAAATAAAATAATTTAACATTAGCTCCCAAAATCCAGAGTCATGTTGACAGGCATTTTCTACCACATGGTTTGTTTTGCAAATTCCATATGGGATGAAAAAAAGGGTTAGCATCATTTTGTAAGTTATCAGTACTACAAAATTGAAATGAGTATAAATGAAAAGCACATAATGTTAAGTACTCCACCACCAGAAAAATGATATAAAAATGACTCAAAATAATTTTACAAGAAAGAAATATGAGACCATACACTGACTGTTATTACAGAAAGTAATATTTCATTCATGTAAATTAAAATGGGGCATAAATGGGGGGGGGGCAGCATTTTCAACTCGAACTCTCCAAATCTGCCAAAATTGAACTATTATTTGTTTGCTTATTTGCTGGATCCAACACCTGCATTTGTATTACTTCACATGGGGATTGATGCTTCTATTTCAGTGTTCTGTGCTGTGTATTTTTGAATAATTTAGTATTCGATTCACTTCAGTGGATGATCGAATATTCAAATATTTGGCCATCAGTACAGCTCTAGCAGTGTTAGTTTTAGCAGATCCAAGGAAGTTTCCAAGCCAAAAATGCTGCAAGGGTTTAGGGTTTTATAGTCTCAGCTACATGAATGATTGCCACCATTAGTCAAGATACAATGTACATGTATAGAGCCACCACATAAAAAGAGCAAGTATAAAGTAGTCAGACGAACTGACTAGTAACAGCTACAATAAATTGTACAATTAATGTTCTTGTACAGACGAGACAGGACAATTTCTGATGCAGGGACAGAAGACACAGGTTTTTAAGAATGAAATGCTAAACAGAAAACACAGAACGTGTATTTACACAAATTAATAGAGCATTCAACCTCAACCAAAATGGCGTGATGACCATACAGAAACAAGTTCAGGCACTGTTGTAACTAGTTTTATGAGGCTATACTCCTCCACCCCCCACCCCCACCCCCCAAAAATCCAACAATCTCTTTCTAAAAAACTCTCAAGAACAACAATTATTAAAATAAAAGGATATTTTCCCCTGCAATGTGTTTATATTTGCAGATTTCCAAAAAGTTTCCAAAATGAAATAAAAATTATTTGCGCCCTGCCAAAAACTCAGACATGCATTTTGGGCACTTTGTTGCATAAAGTGGGTTGAAAACATTTTAAAATAATACATAGCTTTTTTTATTGTGAATACAATGTTAAACTTGAAATGTAATGTTCTTTGAGTTAAATTTAAGAACATCTTTTCAAGAAGATTATTATTAGTTCACATTAAAAAAAAAATGTACATGTACGTACATGACAAAAGCACTGAAATGGGATTGGGATATTAGTTTGCCCTGCACCACACTGCTTACAGTTGATAAAAAAGCAGCGAAGGAATAAATCAATGGTGCGGGAAGCAAATGGATATTGACGAAATAAAAATAAGCAAATTATAAAAATGTATCTTGACCACAAAGTTGACGTTCTACTGACCTCGGAATATAGTATCTGTGTCAACTGGTATCTTGTCTTTAAGGGGAAATCAGAAAGATTGGAAAATAGAAGTTACAAGGACAAACATGTACACAATAAGAAATTGCCGACTTCCAACAAAAATTTACATTTCAGAAATAGTCAGAATTAAATACTGTCCCTAATAAACCCAACATAATGTGTTGAGAAGTGAAATAGTGCAATTTAAAACGGATGCAAATTATGCAATGATTTTTATCATCTTTTGAACACCAGTCTTCAAGAAATAATATGTCAAATATTTTCCATTTCACAAAGGGGCTAACACTTTTGAGGACTTTGTTTTCAGTATTACTAATAATTTCTTAGTAATTAGCAAGAAACACAAAAATGTGTAATGGAAGTCCAATTACAATGAAACAAATGGCATTGTGAAAAGTACATGGTCTCTGTGCACAATTAAGTACCCCCTCAACGGTAAGAAAGGGAGAGTTGGGGGAGACCAATGGGAGAGACATTTGAAAGTGGAAAAAAGTGCCCTCTCTTGTCCTCGCACAGAGCCCATACTCTTTCAGGCTTCAGCTATAGTTACACATTCGACATCCCCAACCAACTTCCATTTGAATTTGAAACAATACGTTTAATTTAATGTTTAAAGATTTTTAAAAAGACGAGTCATAAATTGTTAAGAAATTCACCTTCACAGTGATAGTAGATATTTCTGAGTCTTTCCTCTTCAGGTCATTGTCTTGTCTGTCTATCTCCGCCTGAAGGAGTTCGATGTGACTCTGGGTACTAGACAACTCCCCACGCAACGCTTCTATGTGGCTCTCCAATGCTTCGATCTGACTATCATTAACACTGGACGCGGTGCCCTGGATTAAAAAATTTCAGAAAGAGTTTTCAGAATGGCTATTCACTGGAAGTCTTTTCATGCATGTGGTCCACACAATGGGCCAGATTTAGCCCTTTCACGGGTGTTATGGGGTAATCCTATACAATAGCACTGCCTGGCTAACAAGTCGTAGATATGTCACAAAAACATCGGGGCAGAAATAAGATTTTTGCGACTTTCGTAATTCACAAAGCTTAACTTGATTTCTCCTTTCTGTGGCTGCATTTTCTGCTTTTTTGTATTTATTTCAAGATCTTAACACTGGTACTTGCGCCGCTATAACGTGTGGCTTTTATATTTTTCCCCCCATTTTTTTTTCTTTTTGAGGGTCCAGTTTTGATAGCTTTTGTGTTGCAAATGCAAATGGCACCGAAAATTATTTTGGCCAAAAACGTGATGTGAATACATCTATTCTAATCACCATTAAAAAAAAAAAATGAAGAAAAAAAATCAATATTATTTTAATTTATTTTTTTAAAGTTGATTTATCAATAAATAATTTAATTTATCACTTTAATCACTTTGTGTCTGATTTTAATTCACTTTTATTAGATGTGTTTGTTAAAAACACGGACAAGATTCCCTCAGGATAAATAACATGTATGACATTCTGGTGAAAAAAAATAATACAAAAAAATTGCGGACTAGTGAAAAGGCCCGCGGCCTAGCTACGAGTCTGGTTCACTAGTTCGGCTGGCTAGTGGGGAAAAAAAAGGTTAAGGACGAACCCTGATTAAAATCAATAAAAATTGTCAAATTTTTTCATCCTCATCTGAATGTCAAGCTCAGCGTTACAGACTTAGGTCTGCAAGTGAATTTTTATTAGATTATCCCAAGAGTAAAATGCTGTCTACTTTAGGAGATCGTGCTTTTGTCTCAGCAGCACCTGGTTTATGGAATGCCTTGCCCTTAAACATCAGGATTGAACATTCAATGTGTTCTTTTAAAACTAAACTTAAGACTTTCCTTTTTAAGCAAGCATTTAGTGATTCTTAATTTCTGCCTGTGCGTCTGACTTCGGGGGGGGGGGTATTTTTAATTAATGGTTATCGTGTATTTTTGCCTGTGAGTTTTGATATTTATCTGTGTGTATTTTGCTAATTTTTGCAATTGATTTAATTATCTGTTTACTTTTTACTTTATTCTTAAATATGTAATGCACTCTCGAACAGGCTGGTCCAGGAGAGAGCGCAATAAAAATGCAATAATTATTATTATTATTATTATTATACATGTAGAGCTGATTTGCACTTTCCTATAATCCATAGAAATGGAATGGGGAAAAATTATATAAACAGAGTGAGAGACAGTCATATCAACCCATTGAACAAAGTTACATGCTTGCATGACTTTATCACTCCGGCATGACCAAGTTTCAGTTTCACGTCATTTGTTAACTACAGAGGCCACAAAACACACAACTTCTATTTTGGAAATACATTGTGAGAGCACTACAGCAGGGTGTGTTCCTCCCACGCAAGTATTGACAAAAGGCGCACACTATGCTTAAAAGCCCATTGAAATTTGATGGCATTTAGATGTACTTTTTGTGCTGAACACACAATGTAATACTACAGCAATGAAAGTGCAATCTGAAGTGCTATTAATATGTTTTGGCCGTTAACTTTCAGGGGTGCACAGCTAGAGTTCCATGTATAGAGTAATAGTGGCTGGCCTTTACTTTATTCACTCCTACAACATCCTACCAAAAAATTCCAATGGAAGCTAACTTTGATTACATAATACCACACAGTTTTTCTTAAAGGGTGGTTCTATACCCTTTGCAGTACATGTTGGGTGGAGCCTACAATGGTTTTGATGCTATTTTGAGGTGTAGTAAATATCAAAGGATTGGAAACAACTGCCACTTTTAACTCTAACTCCCTAGCATCTTTTACTAGGAACTATACCAAGTCCATCAAAATCCATCAAACACTGTGCGTCCAATACAAAACTGCACGTGACATAATGGAATCCACCACTGACGCACTGGTTGACATTCATGGACTTGCTACACATGGCTTTTCGCACAATACACTACAGGAAGCTAGGCAAAATCAATCAGATACCCCAAACACTGCTTCAGGCCATTAGGCCAGAGTCCATCATACTCCATCAATATTTATCATGCCAGTCCTTCTGGACCAAAAAGTCCCCTAAAATCCACCAAAATGTGGGATGGATTTTGATGGAGTTGGGGTGGTTAGGGTTTTAGGTTTATTGCCGGATATTGTGACAGGATGAATAATTTAGCCTGCCAGTGTCAAAGGCCGTCTGCCCCAGAGAGTTGTTAATATTATAAAAAGATGGTTCTTGTTATGGGGCTAATGTTTGGCTAGGCAATTCTGGGTAAAAGGTTTAAGCAATTTTAGGAACTGCCACATATTATGTACGTTTTAATGAGAAACTTGTGAAATACACATTTTTTTTACCCAGAAATTTTACAGTAATTACAAAATTATGCAAAACGTACTGGAAAAAATGATACTGTCTCTTCAGCGAGGTTTTATTTTAAAGACCTGGAAGAGTAAGGCTTTAATTAACAACATCAAATAACATATACCTGGCTTAAACAATCTCCTCTCTTAGTGATACTGTCTGTGACTCTTGTTAAATCTCTAAGTAAACTCCTGACTTCCTCCGGCCGAGTCTGTTCCTTACGGAACCTCTCATTGGTTGATGCTTCGGGCGAGTGACACGGTGAGCCAATGGGGCTGCGCGTTACTTGGAAGGCTTTGAGTTCGTGGACGAGTTTCGAAAGGGTAGAGTGGACTTCATTTAAGACATCTTGCAACTGCAGAAAAAGTACGGAGAAAATTAATTTCAAGAATTAAAGTTGGGCAAAGACATTGATTGGAGCGGAATGTGAACCTGTGACCTCTGCAAAAGCGTACCAGTACTCTACCAACTGAGCTTTCCAGCCCTATGTTGACGGTTCCCCAGTTTGTCAATAATTTTGTTCAAGGGTGCTAATCAGAAGCCATAAATCTGCAAATTAATTTCACAAACAATGTATTTAATTTGCATACAGAACCACAAACTGGTTAAAAAGTGGATATTCAAACATTCAATACAAGGAAAAAAATGATACATAATTCTGTCTGATAATAAAGATGTTAAAGGTGTAAACAAGTTAACTCAAAAACAAAATTTGCATTTTCAATAATTTTTCCCCTTTTTCACCCTGGATGAATCATGCCATGTCTTAAAAACACAAGTACAAAAACCATAAATTAGCAAAAGTCAATGTAAATGAACAAAGAGAGTTATCGGCTGACAAAGTATCAAACGGTTTATTACTGGTGACCAGTTCTCTAGCTGATTTTTTTGCAAAGCCAAAATTTTGTTAGAAACTCTGTGAGATTGGACTAAAAAAATTACCGTTTGTTGCTCGATATTACAGCTAGTAGACAAATTTTCAGTTTTGTTTCTTTCGTTCCCATCACTACTACCGGTAGCTGCAGAAAGACATGAAAGATGTCCCCCTACTTCTGTTCTAAGCTCCGCCCCCTCCCTACTCGCCGACTCTGTGTACAAAGGTCCATCCACCACATCGCATTCAATTTCGTCATCATCCTGTTCTATGTTTGTATCGTCTGCCTCCCTCTCGCCAAGTCTGGCCCCGCCCCCATTGTGGGTCATCTCGAATCCCAGCTCCGACAGCAGGGAATTTCCCTGGTAGTCCGCGCCATTGGTGTTCGAGGCGTTCAGTGTGGCTTGGTAGCGTAGTTCTTCGAGTTCTTCTTCCGTGTCATTGTGGACTTGCCGTAATTTGGCCAGCTCCGTGTCGCGCAGTCCCAGCTGAGATATAATTAATGAAAAGGACGAATTACTTCCAGATAATACCAAAATATACCAAGATTATAGTGTTGTGAAGTATAGGAATGAAACTGTCATGATTTTGTTCTTTTTTTCAAAAGGAAATGTAAACTTCAAAGTGCTTTCAAAAATTACGTCATGGAAGAACAAAAGTAATTGATATCGACACGTTATGTTGACTGATTGGTTTGAGTGAGTCAGAAATCGAATGTTAAGAACGCAATTATTAATACAAATATTAAAACAAAGTCTGACTCAAACTCTAGCACAAATTTTTTTCAATTCCTACTCAAGTAATCAAAAGTGGGAGAGCTCAAGCTGCAATATTTAGTTATTCAGGCTTTAAACCTCCTGCTGTTTGAACAGTCACAGACAGTCAAAACAAATCAATCCTCTTCCCCTGCCAGGCCTTTTTACATAGGCTAGTCACCAACAGTCAGATCATATTTCAAGCAAGCACTGCGACTAGTCAAATTCAGTCAACTGACAAAAGCAGGCAAGAAGTATGTACAATCACCCACAGTCAAAGCATAGCTGTCTCAAGTTACATAAACAGTCACAGCCAGTCAATCCTGCTTTATGTAGGCTGGGAGCTTTTAACTGTTGAATACAGTCACTTAAATTGATTTGGACTGAAAGGACAACTTAGCAAAGAACGTATGTTTGCATAGGAGGGTAAATAATGAGGGATGGGGGAAACAAATTGAATATAAACCTGACAGAAGATAAAACACAATGTCACAAAACAATTTTAAAGGTCAAATTTTGAAAAATCTTTTTTTTTTACAATGCATAAATCTGGGCTCTGCCAACCGCACAATTCTTGGGTCTTGCTTACAATGCACTAACCCCTTAGCTGTTTTATAGTCCACACTTCTATTTTACACTTTTGTTTATATGTTACAAACACCATTAAAAACACTAACCTGAGGTAGCAATAGCAAATTATGTGATCAAAATTCTCAATGCAATGTACATCTTTTTTTTCAAATCAATGTTTTACTGTATATGCAGATGAAAATCTTTGTTTCTCTAACAATTTTCACCGTGATTTTACATAATTTTTTTCCTGAATCAATGTACCTGTTGTTGCAAGTCTTTGCTTTGTTTGTCTAGCATCATACACCTGTCGTTGGATTCCTTCAGGCTGGACGCTAGCGTGTCCCGGTCGCTGGTCGCCATGTGTAGTCTCCGCTCCAGTTCCCCTCGCTTGGCCGACAACCGCTGCACCTGAAATGGATTGCATTGGTTGATGCTTACATGTGTTTCCTTTCGTCTGACATACATGTACAACTTAAGATTTAAGACATATGACCCAACGACATTTTACATAAATTGCAAGTCCTAGTACAAGCACACATAAAATGTGACTCGTCTCACCTCTTTTTGTAAGTCTTCCGTGACGTGGGTGTTTTCTCTGTTCAGTGAATGCTGTCTTCTAAGGTGAACCTGATCGCGTAGTCTCTGGATGTGTTCATTCAGTTCTTCCTCTACATCCGCTGCCTAAAATCCAAAAAATAAACAAAAGGAACAAAATCTGAAGAAGAGACCCAAAATACTCCAATATTTTTTCCTGCAAAAGGGCTGGTCAAGCGAATTGGGTTTTAAAGGTATGTGTCATGGGCACCATTTGCAAAAATAATGTTTTTTGCAAATTCAATGAACAGTAATACAATAAATCTGAAGCAGGTTATTGACAAAAAAATAAACTGACAAAATGTCAGCTCAGTAGATATACTTTTTGAATAAGTCAAAAAAAAGTTAAGTCTGTCTCGAGCCAATGTGGCCCATCAGGCCGGCTTTTATATCTGGTTTCAGTAACATGAAACGACTGAGAATATTTCTACTCCCCCTGGATGGGATGCTAGTCCATCGCAGGTTACTCCCAGGCTCAAGCCAGTATACCCACCAATGGTGGAGAGGCAAGTGGGGGGAGGTGGCTTGCCCAAGGACACAACATATGACCAGCAGCGGGATTCAAACCCCTGACCCTGAGATACGAACCCTATAACCACTAGGCCACACTTCCCATATACTTTTTGAGACAACTGTGAAAATGTGTCTTCATTTTTCTTTACGCAAGCCGCAGGTTTCCATTAAAAATGCCATAGTTTGGTCCTACATTTACATGTAACAATCACAATGAAATGATGGTAATTCCTCATTCCTCGAAAAAAATAAAAGACAGTTTAATTCATACTACATGTAGATGCAATATGATTTCACAGGATGCATATTCAATTACATTTCATATTTGACAGTTTTATTTTTGAATGTTTGTAAATACCTTGAATTAACCAAAATAAATTTGAAGATAAATTAAGGGCAATTCCACGGTAACGGAAGGACGTTTTCACTCATTAAACAAAATTTCAAATGTGCCTATCACAGACACTGTTATTAGTTACAGCAAGCAAATGTCACAATGGTATTGCTATAATGCTACCTTCAATTTCCACACTTTTGGGGGGCATAAATATCTCTCGTTTATGAATTATGAATATTAATGAGGTCGGTAACGGAAGGACGGTAAAACGGACAAGGGTTTTCCAACTTACACGCATTTTGCGTAAACTCTGTGAATTGTATGGGGCAATTATATTTCAATGGTAGGAAATGGAATCCCTGAAGCTTTATCTATACTATACCACCTTTCATTTGACTTTAAGTGTTTCGGTAATATAATTACAATGTCTTAAGTGGATTATAATTTGGTAACGGAAGGACGGTAACGGAAGGACAAAAGGTTTACTCAATTATAGCATGAACAAAATGTGAATTTACACTAATTATACAAGTGAAATAAATTGCTGAAATGTGTAACTGAATGTGAAATCAACAATAGGCAGACCTGGCATAAACAATTATACCCAAGAAACTATTGAGATAAAGATAAAGCCTGCTAATTAATGATAACAAATGAAAAACGAAAACAACCAAAAACGCATAATTCACGAACACAAGACAACTACAGAAATGGACTTCAAACCCATTACCTCAATCCTTAAAAGTTTAAATACACAGTATTTGAACACTTTAGTATATTGGTTACTTGTTCCCCAACAACTTTTAATAATAATACCGGTAGGTTCAGTGGTTTACCTAAAGGGTTGGGGGGGGGGGGGCGACCAGCCTACATGTACATTAACCCTAACCGCCCTGAATCCTTCAAAATCCTCTTTACCAAAGTGGAGAAAATTGGAGGATTGAGGTTACATGGCAAAAGTGCGTTACTGATTTCGTGGGATGCACTTTGTCAAGGTCTTGGACCGGACCTTGTGTTGTTTTTTCTCAGCCATGCATAAATATAGGCCTGGATTATGCTTGAAATCCTCCGTACTGCTCCAGGATGTCACTGGTCAAGCCTCAACTTATTGACAGTCACTGCCGCAGGATTTTGCAGGATTCAGGCAGTGGTCACCCCTCCACGGACCATATTCAAGAAAGAATTAAGGAATTTGCAGGATTGAGGCTATACGCTATTTTTCCATGAGGCCAATTGGAAGATTTTGCAGGATTGAGGCTACATCCTAGCAAAAAGGACTAGGGAGTTAGGGTTAAAAACATCTACAGGTAGAACTGATGGCTTCAGAATCATTATGCTTTAAAAAATGTTTTAGGTGTTGCTTTTAATTGAACTCTAAATTCAATGTTTGAAATCAAATTATAATGATTTAGAGTATTAACAATAATTAACTTATAAACATCCAGCCTGAAGTTGTTAACTTAATTTGTCAAAAATTGCACCTCACATGTCTTACACATGTAAATTGTATGAAAGTGCCCAATAGTACCGGTACTTTCTGCCATCTCATTTTTGACTTAATTTGCTTCTGGAATGGCTTCACAGAAATTGTATCTTTCTCTATTGTCCATGAATGGTGATAGCAGCAACTTAATGATTTGATTTTCTGCAACAACTCCATACATGTATGAGTACCGGTACATTGTCATACATGTACATGTACATTGTACATGTTATACATATGCCTGTGCCATCCTTTGTAATGAACACCTTGCCCTGCTTATACCACCTTTGTGAAGGTGGGTCACATGAACGTCCTTTCAATGCTCATTATACATGCATGTAGTTGCAGTGATTTTCATTTTTCAAACATGAGCACAAATGTCGTAACATTTGATAAAAATAACATTTGTCCTTCCGTTACCGTCCTTCCGTTACCAATTTGGTAACGGAAGGACGTGATTTAATTAATTGTAATTAAAAAACGAGAAGTACAGAAGTGTCAGTTATAATGTCATATTGAAGGCCTACCTAAACTTGCTTTGCACAATAACTTTCATTGCATTCATACTGCAAGTTTTGAAAATAAATAAAAAATATGTATTTTTTCGGTAACGGAAGGACACTTTCGAAGGCTGAAATATTAGAAGTCACTGAAGCGAAACAAATTACGCAAAACGTAAAAAAAAAGTTTCAGTCAGTTTTTCAAGACCAATACTTTCTCATGACAGAAACTGATGGCATGAGTACATATTTTTGTGTGTGTATTGGTAGAATACTTTCATATCACTATTTATCACATTTTTAGGATTAAAACAGGATTATTACGTAATCCTATTTTTTGGTACCAAAATGTATCAAAAATAGAATTCCGACTTCAAATCTTAAAAATATAGACTTTTAGCTTTCATTTGATGCCCAACTTGTTTAAGTCACATGCATTTGAATTTTTTGGTGTCATGTCCACTTTGGTGTGGAATTGCCCTAAACACACATTATAGGTTATATTTAAACAAATATGACGAGGGTGCCCGACCTTTTTCAACTGGTGGACAAGTCGCTGGTTTTGTTCCAAGAGCTCGTTTAGCTCCGACTGTTTCTGACTCTCAACGGTTTTCTGTGCTGCCTTCTGATTGGCCAGTTCTTTATGCAAAGAGGAGATTTCTGTCTGGAGGTCCAATAGCTTGCTCTCGTACTGGCCGCCGACGGTCTCCAGTCGACGACGTAGGTGATGCTTCTCTTGTTCCGATTCCTGCAGAGGAAACAGCAAAAAATGATTTATGTGCCGACTTATGCTACGCGTGGTAATGGGATTCGGCACTAGGGGGAAAAAAGGATGGGAGATCTAATTAGTTTTAGCTGCGGGGTAGCAGTTCAACAAATTATTGTGTCTCTCCATTAGTCCGTTAGTAAGTTAGTTAACGAACGTTGACATTGTCTATTGCTCCTACATATTTTGATCGATTTCAACCAAACTTTGTCAAAAGTATCAGCAGCCCAGCTCCAACATGTCACATGACCAAACTGGGGTCAAAGGTCATCATGGGGTGACTGGTGTCACTGATTTTCACTCAAACCTACTCCTTCCAGAAATTGCATGGCACAATCACGTCACTCACGCATAAACACGAAGTCTTTGGTCCGCATCGAGCTAATTTTGTTCAATTTATGTGATTTTGACTGAATCCAAGCCCGTAGTTCAACAGCAAGCCTACATACAATCATTTAAGCGTGAACTGATTCAAGTTAGATGTACATGTACAGGCTAAATTTGTACCTTGATGGATATATATTGAAATTATTTCTATTAAATCCTTTTGTTTTAAAATTTATGGTGTTCTCAATGTAAAATGTACTTCTGGGTCCACTATAGATTTGGGGTCCACTTTTTTCCCGTCCCTGTTTCATGGTACATGTACATCCAATATCTATGATTTTATAATTCTGATAACTCCTTAATGTAGTCATCCTCTTAGAGAGCGATTATGAATCTTTCTAGATTATTCGATATTATTTTGATATCAATATCGCCGATAGCAATTTTTTAATCAATCAAAACATCGAAAATTTTAATATTGAGATATGATGTCGAAATATCGAAAATGCATCAGATTTTCACCCAAATAAATCTTCCGTTTGTGCTTTACTTTGTATTTAACGTTTGCTTTATAATAAAATAAAAGCTGGCGGCGTTATCTTGTGCTTGTGACTCAAAATAAAAACATTGCGAAATGCCAAGCGGCGTCGCTTTGTGCTCTGCGTTCGGTGGAATTTGCAGTCTCCCCAATGTAAAACCACAAAGAAACCGCCCATTCTGGACAAACTGTCAGTGCTGAGATTATATTTTTTTTTAATTTGATCAATATATGCTCCAGAGAGAGCCGTGGAAATTTGGACTTAACATTGTTATATTTTTGTTGTGTTTTTAAATCAAAGTTTCTTCTTTATTGTCTTTAACTTTTACATGGATAATTGATGGGCCTATATCAATATTCTCGATATTGGATTTCCCTAGTCTACAACTATTCACAAAATTCATGACATTAGGCCTCACGTAAATCAATGATAATACATTGTACATACATGTCTGCATACACACTGAACATTTACTTTTTAATCATGTGCATGCTTACATGTATACATGTGCAAGATTACGAGTACAGCAGCCACTGTGCAAATGTACATTATGCAAACTTATCCGCAAACCTTCCACTGAATGGCACTGAAAGGCAATTGACTGTAGCAACCATTTCCTGGTTGCCATATGGGTTGCTACGTGAGTTGCCACGTGGGTTGCCATGGGAACCTCCTTGAATACACCATGGTAACTATGTTCATACGGTCCAATTTGTCCAAACCTATATTTGCCTAGGCGAGAGCGGAACTCTGCATAAACACGGCACTTCATGGCAAAATTTATTATCTGCCTGGAAATTTCAATTTAGATTTTCAATGATATGATAGCTGAACTGGTCGATGCCGGTACTCGATGTTTCTTGCAAAAGTATCATGAATCCAATGTTTTGGGGTTCATGTCTCGTACGAAAAAAGTTTAAGGTTCAGGTAAATTACATTAATTTGCATAAGCTTCATGCAAGTGTTTGCGTAGAACTTTCTTTTACTGTTGTTATTTATCCTCAAATTATCTGTATCACTCAATTTTGTTTTGCAAGTTTCTTTTTCCTGATTTTATGGACCATATGCCATTAAAATATCCATACTACAAAACATACATGCAAAGGAAATTAAATGTTCATTACATATATCACATACAATGGACAGTATTTTTAAATGCGCTTCAATGTATTTTTCTCTCACGTTTATTTTAAAAAATATAAAATATTGTGCTTTTTAAATTTAATCAGATTTTTGTAGTGATTGTTTTCCCAATGGACAGAAATAATTGAATCGTCCTTCCAAAATGCAACAATTTTTGAAAAACAAAATTTATTGATTTTGTGTTAAATTTCACACTGACTGCTGAAATGTTTTTTTGATCACGACGAAAATTACTAGGAAGGTTGTTACTTGAAAGTTTGTTTTATACCTATTACACTATGTACGTGTACATGTAGAGTCATAGACAAACATTCATGAATCATGTATTGACATGTACATGTATGTGAGACACATGATCAAACAGATTTTCATGTACTGTTCTCCAGTTTGAGCTTAAAAACTTTTTATAAAGTAAAGATTTTAATAAAATACAAAATTAAAATGTAAAATGAGAAATCAGCGCTTCTGCAATTTTAATTTTAATTTTGCAAATAGTATACACCTACTCTAAACAGGGGAAAATCCCATTTATTAAATGAAATAAATATGTGGGATATTCCCTGCATTGTTTCCCTGTTCTTGTTTATAGACAATGAAAACAATTTGAAAATTCAGTCTGATTTACTCATTTTACTGTATGCATGCTGTACGTAGCAACGCACACGTCAGCAAAAACACTGCATTGTCATGGTACCCTGCACGATGTACCAGCATAATAGAAACGGCCAAGGTCGAATTAGCTCGGGAGTGTGCATAAAATCACTGCTTTCGCAGAATTCAAGCCTCGTTGACAAATGCTGATCACGTTCACAACACGATGGTTTTGTGTCTGTGTAGTAGGTTAAATGGTTTTTGATACAAATATGTTCAATTTATTCATCAATAACATGTGTACATTCATAAAATATTTAATTAGTGCAGTTCGTACTTTTTGGGTGTGTGTGTTTTTTTAGTACAATGGATATGCAGTCCTTAATTAAATTATGTAGATTTTAAATCGTCATGTATGCATACAAAAAATACATTTAAAGAAAGTACATGTATTTGTTTAATACTTTCTGTAAACGTGTTGTGAACAAGCAACATTATACATTATGGTGCTCAACTTTAATTAATTAATCAAAAAGTAAATTTGGGTTTTTTTGTTGCAAGGAAAAGTGCTTATATATGCAATGTATAACAGTCAAAATTCACATTAAAAAAAAAAATTCTCAAGTTATTTTAATTGTATTATGTATGTAATTGTTGGGTTTTTTTTAGATATATGCAAAAAATATCAAAAAGGAATCACAAACTATTTTTTGCACAAAATTGAAAACAAATGACTCACATTGTTGTCCTCCAACTGTAGTAAAACCAATATACTCGAACAGTTAAAAAAATGTCCAATTTTGAATTTATACAAATTCCTTAGTATGGAGAAATTTCTATTTTGTGTGATCATTCAAAGTCAGGTACGCATTTAATATGCCAGTAATAAATTCAGAGTCACTTCAATGATAAAAGCTATTTCTTTTAAATTAATGAGATGAACACATAAAGAGAGTTTACATAAGATAACCTAACTCTATAGACTCCCAGTTAGGTAAATAATCTATCAATCATTAATAACTTTTTACAAGTGATATCTTGTAGTCTTTTACAAGCATGAGGTTTGTTTATTTTGGTACATGAAATGATAGAAAGGTAGATACTAAAATAAGGTATTTGAAACTGTGTACATGAATACGTACAGAAATAAATTTTTGGTACATAATAAATATGATATCTGAAGCCCCCTACAGGTTCAGGAAACCATCCTGAATCCCACAAAATCCAACAATCTAGAAAATCATGCTCTTGCACGATTTGTAACCACATAAAATCGGGACATTCAATCTTCAGTGTAAAACATTATGATTCAGTCTGCTCCAATACCACATCCATCAAAATCCTACAAAATCCCAATGTTGCATTTAGCAAGATTTGGGATTACATAGTTTGTTGAAACCACACAAAGGGGAACATTTAATCTACACATCCCAAATAATAGTGTTCATTCCTCCACTACTGAATCCTACAAAATCCTGTCAAATCCTACAAAATCCAAATTGGATTTTGCAGGATTTGGGATAAGTTAGGGAAAACCAACATCAGTCTTGTCTTGTTGCATTCGTTCGTGTGCCTTTGGTAACACTTTGTTGTGTTCAATTGATACGTTAAACCCTCCGCTACTGAATCCATCAAAACTCTAGAAAATATCACTGCTAGATTTTGCAGGATTTGGGATTAGTTAGAGGGAACCAACCTCTATCTTGGTAGCTTGTTGCATTTGTTCCTGTCTCTTTGTTAAATCTTTGCCATGTTCAATTAAAATAATGTTTCACCCCTCCACAACTGAATCCATCAAAATTCTACATATTGTTGGATTTTATAGGATGTAGGAACAGTTAGGAAAAACCTACCTCAAATTTGTCGGCTAGTTCCTGTTGCATCTGTTCCTGTCTTTTTGTGAGTTCCTCGTTGCGTTCGAGAAGGGCTTTTCCTAACTCCGCGGCTAGGATCAAATCTTTCTCCTTCTGCTCCAACTGGGCGTACACGTCTTCATTGTTTGGCGGACCCGATTCCGCCATCTGGCCCACAAAATCCTCAAAGAAATCCAGCGAGCCTTGGCTCGGGTCATAGTCATCGAACGAGAGGTTGTCCACGACCGATCCCTGATCCGACATGCAGGCCATGGTGGTGTAGTTTTGCATAATATCCCAGAGTCGACAATTCAATCAGACCGCATGTTTCGCTCGTCCGTCCACGGGCCGTCTTATTTGTCTTATCCTAAGCCTTTTCTTCGAGTTTGTCTACTTCTTTTTCTTTCTCAGTTCTTCAACAGACACGTGTTTCAAATCTGAAGTCTGGAGAAACCAAGAAAGAAAAGATAATGAAGAGATCTTCAGTTGCAGAGCTGGGAGGAAAATGCCGGAATGACACTTAAAAACACACAAACTCAGTCAGGGACCGAAACCTACATGTATATCCACACATCAGCCTGAGCAGGATGCTAACGCGGTTCATGGGATGGAAGGCGAGGGAAGTACCATCTGTACCGGTACTCTCCAACTGGACTCCCACATACAATAACTCACACATGATGTTGCTTCCACATGAACAATACAATGTAATAAAATGCAATGGAATACAATGTACATGTGCACTGGTACAATTCAATCAATTCAAAGAAGAAATTGTTACGTCCAATAACAGTGCACTCACTTTGACAATCAGTTCCACGCTACAACTGCAACATGATATTATTGAGCCAACGGAGCATGCAATAATTTCCTTTTGTTTGCATGGCATGAACATCACCACCTGTTGAACAAAAAAAAATGATGACGTGATACTAATCAGTGCGTCATTGGTATATTTTTTACATCAGTGTACATGTGCATAATTCCAAGGACTCGTTTATGGAACAAATGACCCTGAACAGTCCCGATGTGCAATAATCAATACGGGGATCACGCCAAGACAATTAAAGGGCTCGTGTTATAGAATTTTAAAGGTTCTTTTACGTGTAGGATTAAAGGTGCTGGTAAAATTGGAAGGTTACAATGTACATTTCATTTTTAAGAGGACATTTTGCAAGTCTTTTAAATCATTTGTTGGGGGGTCAATGGTTTTTAAAATACTACACGGTTTTTGTCACAGGCTTTTGGAAATTAAGTTTTTTTAATTTCTAAATTCAACACAATTTTACACATGTATTTAAAAGAGGTTCTGTTCGCGTGCTTTCAGAATGTTATTGTCTGCTTGATTTTCCAATCCATGGGTTTTATTTTTTACGACAAAGTACTTGCTGTCTATTTTTTGGCATCTGCAAACCTCTAGAAAAAGGGTCTCGCTCTTATTTGGGTTGGTTTTGCATTGGTTGAGACTGGATCCCAGTCCCTGCATTTCTGATAGGGAATACATGCACAAACTGTACTTATGTATGGTCTACCATGAGATAACCGAGTTAACATTGTAAGAGATTCAAAATTTGTAAAGTAATTGTTCCGTTTATACTCCACGGACAACGTGGGCAGATTTTACTTTCAATGTCTCACTCAAAAATGGCTTACTTTTGCATTGCTAGGAAAAAGAAAGAATTCTTGTTCACAAAAAAAAATCACCATTTACAACATGTAACATAGACTTTAATTTATATACGTCATGGGCAAATGAGTAAGAAAAGAGACAAGTAATGTAGGCTAGATACATTAGATTTTCAAGAATGCAATTTGAAAACTTAAAACACCGACAGAAAAACAAACCAAATGAACATTTACAGCCATACATCCTTCACAAAACTGTTTTCTGTGAACAATATGGAAAAACAAATCTACCTGAATTCAGAAAAGCCATTCATATTTCTATTTAATTGAATTTCGACTGCAAAAATGTCAAATTCAAAGATAGCTTGGAAAAGGTTCCCAGCTCTAAGGCTCATGGGAAATTTGCCATTGGAATGAATGTTGCAAGCTGACGCTGCTTTTTTTCTGCATTTATCATCTCAATGAAGGTCATTATAATTGCAAAAATGATGATAAGACATGAATCTGGGACTGAGAAACATTTCCATTTTTGTTGGGAAATACTTAAAAATTTTCTTGACTCTCCATAGACTTTGTACACAACCGCTGAAGTACGGTAGCATCAGGTTGCAACATACTTTCCTTGCCTTTTTCTAAAGGGGGTGGGGGGAGTGGCGGGGGCTCGAACCACACTTTCAATGGGGGCGCTGTTCAAATGCGATGAATATTAACACTAAAATACAAACGTAAACCAGCAGGATGTGTCCGTATTTTGTCTACAGGCGTACTAATACCAGTAAAATTGTTTTTGGGTGTCAGAGGGGGGGGGGGGAGTAGCATTATTTTTTTATGAATTTCGGTGAAAAAACTCATTTTAACGCCACGACCCAGAGTTGCGTAGGAACACTCGACGCAGGCGATTGTAACTGACGCCACGTTTCGGGTCCATGACTGGTGTAGTGTATCGTCAGTCCCCCTAAAGCTATGCGGTCCTTTTTCTACAATTACCTTCAATTTGTTTGTGACAACGCGCGCGCGTATGCAAGCGTTACAGATAATGGAGGGTCGAGGATACATTGGCGTTGCCGCCATAACATATATCACTCCTATAGAGATATGCACAGCAATCCCCAAGATCAAATCACGCATAAGTTTACTGTATGTGTGGGACTGAGAAAACAGCAGTGCATACATTACCATGATCATGATGATACAACATTTACATTGTCATGATTGTACAAATATTAAAATCCAAAATATCAAAACACATCACATGACTGCATAAGATGTATTGTTCGAATTTATTAGCTATGAATCATGACAAAACAAAACAACACTTACCTTCTAAGCATGGAGCTAATATGGGAGTTTTTTTTAATTATTAGGCCTTCAAGACTGTCACAACATCGACAGTACAGCATGCATGGCGCGCCGACTTAAACGTCGTACATAGCGTGGCTCACTTGAGGGCGCTACTGCCACGCTGATCACCACGTTCGCTCGTACCCACCGCCCTGCAAACAGTTTGCATGGCGGAGGGTACGAGAAAAATCACAACGTGGCTGTGGGCGCTATTTAAAGGTATAGTCCATTAGGCCAAAAAAAAAGTCTCCGGTTTCTGGTATGGAGCTTGCCCAAAAAGTGGTGCGGCGACGCGGCTTTTTTTTTTTTACCTGTTTTTTTTGCTTCAAATGTCGGCTGATGACTGCAAATGGTGCCCGACTAAACTTAGTGCAAATATTATGGGAGACCAGAGAGGCCACATAAAGCTTATTCTCGATCATAACCCCATCTAAAAACACGTTAAAATTGTGCAGCAGCAGGATTCCAGTCAAACCAGTGAGTTTGGCGGTTTTGAGACATCATCTTTCATTGAAAAAAAACCTCTTTTTTTTGGCCTTATGTGTACATTTTGTTCGTTTGGTTTGAAGCATGGAGATCAATGGTTTGAAGCAACAAAAGTGCTCAAAATCTAAAGAAGGGTGCTGAACAACTAACCTGTTGAAGTTTCAGCTCAGCTTCAGCTATTAATTTCGAGAAAAACAACATTCTAGGATCTCGATTTCAAATAAAAAGTTGCTGAATCGTGTTTTGAGTTGCCGGGCTTGAATTCAGCGTGCGAGACACGTTCTCACATATTTTGAATATGGGGGATGTGCCCCCCCCCCCCCCCCCCCCCCCGTTCTCACAAGTCGAAGTTAAGTTTTTAATAAACATTTTAATAATACAGTAATCAGTTCAAATCTCTGCTGTTTTGTCTCCTTTTATTTAGCATTGACAATAAGTCATCACATGCACAGGGCCATCACATTTTACAGTAAAAAGAAAAAAAGAAAAAAAAGATGCGGATCCACAATTCCACATGTGTTCCAAATGGAACAAAAAATGGAGATAAAAATACAGGGTTCTCGACTTTTCAGTACAGTAGAAACGTTATAAGAGCAACAGTATATTCTGAACAAAAAAGTGAAATATATTGTCTTTATAATCTCAAACATTTTTGCTAAAAAAGTCATATTAAATTGGCCAGGAATTGCCTCAGATTGCACCACAGAGCATGCATATTCCAAAAACTTTTAGGAGCCCTTTAAGCCACGCCGTAAGGGCTATGCGCTACGCGTTCGCATTAATTTGGTCCATCCTTTAGAAATTCCAGCACCCCCTGGCAAAAGTTTGTTCCAGCGGGCTTGTCATCATCGAGCTTAATAGCTGCCTGAATGATCGCGCACATCGTTTTCTTCGACAGCGATATCAAATCAACATAAATTATATCCCCACGTGTGGCCTGTTTGCTGTCCCACAAAAGCGACTGCACATTTTGTAAAAGGCTGTCATTTGTGGAACCAAGAGAAGATTGGGCCTATTCCTTTGATAATGTCACGGTGGCGTCATTGATAGCGGCCGGGTTTGTCTCTTTTGATAACTGTATGCAATTAACTAATGGCAATTACGTTGTCAATTCGATTCTCGACACTGCCATACTTTCATGTACTCGTAATCGTATAAATTACACACCTCCCATGATTTGTAATGTATATAACGCCCACAACCTTTGCTTTAAACTGAGCAAAAGTTTGCTCTTTTGAAAGTTTTGTCTTATCACAAAGTTTTGTTTTAGTGCTTCAAACTAAATTCAAAGTGCCACCGAGTTACCTTTTCGCGTGCAAAAAGCTTAGCTTAAAGTTGTGCACAATCCTTATTTGTGGAATTCAAATTTATTGTTTGCGTTTCTATATTCAATTCAATTCAATATTACATTTATTTCCATACTGAACAATAACATAATAGAAAGCAAAATACAATATTGTGGAGGCACAATCCTAATAACATACTAAATATGCGTCTCTGGTGCTCATAAGGGGTCCATGTACAACGAATGTTGCCCAATTCCGTCTTGAAAAAGACTTCATTTGTTTCCCAGCAAGAACCAATCATACTTATGGTTGCAATCGTCATCACCTTAAACTTTAAGCACTCCTGAAAGATTCTGTACTGTGCCTGTTCCATGTCACATAAAATGCATCGATAAACGATGTGTGCTTTAATAGTGCACCCATGGGGTAAGGTTGAAATCTCGCTTGCTTTATCAGGTCGACCGCTTTCTACTTATGAGAAAACTTACGAAGCCGGGTCCCCCACCCCCAAAAAGTCATCTTTGTCTCAGGTTTCGGCTGTATAGCGGCCTATGTTAGGCCGTTATACAGGATATCAAATCCTGTAATACACTGCCATTGATTTGCTCCTGAAATAATTCTGAAATGTTCACATCAGTCTCGAGGTGTATCAGGCAGTATCAATATACGTGCGACTGATTTAATTAACAGGATCGCTCTCAACCAGCACTTTTCTTATCTATTTATTTTTCCTATCATCATTTCTCGTTCCGCTCACGAGTTTCGAACACGACAGCGCGAGCAGCCTGCCGGCTTTTCGACAAGCCCAGATACCGAGCCACACGGACAGAAACCCAGCGGTCAGCAGGAAGGCGTACACGTCCAGCAGGTTTCTCTGGACGAAGTTCAGATCGAGGACTTTTGGTCGCAGGTGTTTCCCGCCAAACCGGGTCACGTGGGCGATCCAGTAGGCCGCCTTGTCAGTGGGAATCAGAAAGTCGTCTCGGAGAATGGCAGACGTTTTCCTCGCATTTTCCCGAAAGCTGCAGTTGTAATAATACAGATGAATTAAAAAAAGGGAAAATGAAAGATCTCAGATGATCTCAATATTCCAAATTCGACAAGGTGGTATTAACAAATTGGGAAATTCCATTGGCCTATATTACATAGCCGCACTTCAACCTCAGTCTCGATCGTTATTGCGCAGGTATACTGCTATGCCATGGGAATAAGGCTGCCTGTATCTTTCGCTCTAACCTACCGGCCTACATCCAAGTACTCTCACCATGGCGAATGGCTTACATGAACAGGCCTAATGTGAAGGAAACGCAAAGAATTGTGGGTAGCCTTCCGCGATGGTCAATGCAGGAAAATTTGTGTGCGCATGTGTCATGCACAGACGCCTATTTGCTGAACCCAGGTCACCATTTTAGCAATTTCTTTCTAATGTTATTAGCACATAGGGCGGTGGATAAAAGATAAACATTTCTACCATCGTTCCCAGGATCTACTTCAACCTCGAGCAGCTACTCCGATTGCCCATGAGCGCCATGATAAAAACACGTGTAGCCGCGTATACGCGGCTAAGATGTTTACGAATTTTTGATAGTGAATTACCTTGGTTCCCGAGTGACACGGGTGACTGCGTGATACAGGGTGTCCTCCGTCATGTCGAACAAATCTAATGAGATGGCGAAACCTTTGTGCACAGCACGGACCATGTTGTCAAACTGGTCCCCAAAAAGTGGGATACCAACAAAAGGTAGGCCAAACCATATAGCTTCGTGCAGTAAACCGGAGCCACCATGGCACAGCACTGCTTTCACTTTCGAATGAGCTATTGAGAAAACAAACAGCGCCACATTATGCCTTTTTTTGAGGGAAAAAAGTTAGGCTGTGGGTACGTATATATGTTTTGACGTATATTGCTGATAATGTGGAAGGTTATAAGGCGAAAGGCGATGACAGAAGCAGGTTGTTGTAACTCTGGACAGCCTTGCAGAGGTCTGCTGCAAAAGAATGAACATGTATTGAAGCAATAACTTCAACCAATATACGGGCAATAGCGCAGCATCCACAATAGCAAGAGAGCAAACAGCAGCAGGCACAGCGCAGCAGTTGAAGCAGCAGCAGCAGCAACAACAAAACAAGTACGCCTGAGAGGTTATCAGGCTTCCAAACTGCTTTGACTTATTTGCACGAAGGTTTTATGTTAGTAAAGGCTATAGAGTGAACGTAAACAACCAGAAACTGGTGCACAGACCCATTATCTTCTTCATTGGCATCCACTCGACGACCTTAGTGTTGTTTCCTATGGGAAGCTGCGACGTGTTACCAGGGAAATGCCACAGCACCCTGTGAGGTAGCATGGCTAACCCCCGAGCGAGCATCTCAGCACGAGCGACTTCCATGTTGATCACGTGAGTACCGAGAGAAAACAGGATCACGCCAGCATCATCCGATCCTTCAAGAAACTCCAGTTGATCCTCCGGTACCTTTGGGGAGAAGACCAAATTATTCGGCACCTTCCCGGTGTGGTATACTACGATTCCTATATGAATATAAACAGGTGATTTTATGCGCGTAAACCATGGAGGTAATCTTCTTCTGTTTGGTCTAATTCCCGCCTCTTTGGGCTTTTAAAGTTGACAATTTATAATTGTGGATGAGAATCCAGTCTATGCATTCATTCGCCGAAGAGCAAATTCGACAGAGAACTATGATTAAGTGCGCAAGTTCGAGCGCGAACTATAGTCAACCATAATAGTTCGACTGACTTCGCTCGAACGATATATGGTTTGACTAAATTTTGGAACCAGTCGCTGGTAACCATTAGCTGCGCGCTTCAGCACAGCGGGGAGCCAGGACCAAGTTGACCATTCGTTTGACTAGAGGCGTTCCCTGCGCGCATGCAGGCGTAATTAAGTTACGTCACGAATCAATGTCGACCGAGGGAGCACCGCTGCCAGTGCAGTACGTGTAGGCTATCCCAGAAAAGCGGGCCCAGACAAATGGATCAGCAGCATATAGGAAGCTAAACAAAATTTGTGTTTTTTTTTCATGCTGTTAGTGTTGTTTTTTGCCTGTGGAAAAATAAACTGAATTTATTAAAAACTTTTAAAGCCATGACTAGAAACACAAGAGCTCCATAAAATCGAAATCTACACTTTTTGCGACATTATCTTGTGCTGGTAAAGACGTTACCTTTATTTCATAACACATTTAATTGTAATGTTCATAAATAAAATCTGATTCTGGTAAACTTCAATATAGCCCCTTGAATAGATGATGTCACTTCTTGTTTGCATGTGCAATGTGTCAGTGTGTGATACAAGTTTGTGGTCTCCCTCTCTACACTAATTTACCCGCACAAGCTAATGCCGCAAAAAACTTCGATTTTATGGAGCTCTCACGTTTCTAGTCGTGGCTTTAACAGTTTTCAATCCATTCAGTTTATTTGTCCACAGGCAATAAACAACATCAACAGCATGCACGAAAAAAACCCAAACAAATTTTGCCTCACTTGAATATTTTGTTTAGATATGGCCGCTGATTTGCCTGGGCCCGCTTTTTCTGGGACACACTATATAAAAAAAAAAATCCCATAGACACCAGTGTTAAATCCTCATACTTCAAAATTCTTTTTAAAATACTCAGAACTCTCACAGACGTTCAGGTTCCACAGAAAAATGATGATTTATATGTTATGTTTCATTTTCTTTTCATTTTTTTGGTGGGTTGACCTTTGACTTTTTTGGAGAAATTCTCACCCAAAGAAGACCACCCCTAAAACGAACTGTTTCCAAAACTGGGAAAGGTAGCCATCATCCCTCCACAAAATGGCTAGGCCAATAGCGCCACTTTCTGACCCAATTGCATCCAAAATGCTCAGAATTGGAAGCCCCAAGTCCAGCCCAGATCAGTGATATAGGCCTTTGTCTTCAAATCCCCAATTCTATGGCTCTCAAAACTCTCTAATATAGAATAATTTGAGTGTATAACTTTTATTCATGAGCTCGGTGGGCGGATTTTGGCCTATTTACTGGGACGTACCCCTAATGGTCATCGCCCGAACTTGCTCTATGATTGGGTGGTCTAGTAGACCATTATAGGCCATCTGGGACCAGCATACCTAGGTTAGTAACATTGCTGGTACCTGCAGCCGCGCACGAGTATCATAATAATAATGCACTGCAGGGAGCCAGGATCCCGCAAGGCATGGCGGGAACCAATATTGACGCAGCAATATCATATCAAGAAGAAACGAGTAGATTGAACAAAATCACGCATGCTTGAACCACGGAGGAAGGAATAGACCAGCGGAGGACGTTATGAAAGCGCATTCTAGAGTTTGCTTACAGACCCCACGCACTCACCTCCCGATCTTCGCTAATGCCAATGGACGAGTGCGCCACGAGAATCACGTTGGGCTGCAATGGGCGCGGAAACTCCAGCACAAAATCGTTGGATATGATCCAGAGTTCTGCCCGTCCCATCAGCTCAAGAGTGGGTGTGTTTGGAGCTATGCCGTGCTTGTCTTGCAGGGCAGAGAAACCCCACCACATATGTAGCGAGTACAAGCCTCCGTATAGCAAGGACATCAACGTGTTGGTCGAGCGCTGGAGCAGCGTCATGTTATCGGTCAGACCTAGCTGGCGTTCTGGAATGTAGGCTGGGTGATTCGGCAGCCCATATCTTCAAGATTATTATAAACATTTACAATTACGGATAAAGGGATATATTTATTTATTTATTAATTACATTTCTTATACCCAGGGTATGTCCAAACAGTTTAAAACTGGTTTCCATTGGGGCCCTGCATACGATTATACACATATGTACAAATATAATGCATTTAATACATTCAACAATGAAATAAAATAAAAGATACGGGATTACTGCATGACTAGGCTTCTCTATGTACCAAACGCCCTCCTACCCAATAAAGCTGGATAACCTCTGACATCTTTGCACTCTCATCCAGTGACATGGGTTAAACTTAAAACTTTCGCGTCAGTGAGCATGAAATGTGAATGTATGGAAGAGATTAAAGCGGCCACCTTCGCCTGATATCAGGCGATCGGCAACAGCGAGGATGAGTGACGATTCAGGCATTTATGAACAGATCATTGCGGAAAAAGAAGATTGCACATAATACTCACAGTAGTTGTAGTTTGGTGGGTTTAACAGCAGTGCATCCGTACAGGACAAATGGGATGTCTAACTTATTGGCAAGTAGGGGATTACACCCAGTCATGTCATCACCAATTAGCATGTCGAATTGTCCCTCTCGTATGGCGTGCATGGCTTCCGCGTCTCCCAACAAATCATCGCACTCGTTGAGTAACAGATTCAGGGGCCGATTACGCCGTCTGTTCCCATCTATCATTCCACGGAGTGTGGCCTTCATGAACCCCGCTAGGCTACCCAGCTCCCCCGTCATGACGCCCACGGAGAACTCTTCGGAGATGGCCTCCCGCTCCTCGGTCGTCAAAGATGATCGGTAGACGATGAAGTTGAAGAGGTAGGCATCACCTTCATGAAGCCACTTGGTACAGCTGCTACTCAGGAGGAAAGTGACGCTGTGTCCCTGTCTTATCAAACCCTTCGCTACATTTATGGTCTGCATGTGATGGCTGCCATCCTCCCCTCCTGTGTAGACCAAAAACTTGAATTTCGGGCGCGAATCCTCTCCGCACTGGCAAACGATCAAGCCAGTGCAACAAAGACCTAACAAAAGCAGTGCACACCCATGACGATCCATCATTCAGCTAAGTGAGCGGTAAAGTGTCTGCAGTTAAGAGTGTATCACACTTCTGGCAGCATACCAACAGGGCATCTACGTTCAATCACCGCAGTGTAGAAATTCAATCATACCGGCATTTTGTTTTAAGGTGTGATCACCGCGATTGCAATGATTGACATTTTTACAGCACTTCTGCTTAACATAATATTTTATTTACCAATATCCGCTAGACTACACTTCTTTTTCCGGGGGGAAAAATGAAGGGGGTCTTTCCCGCTTTTCAGTGGCGCACCCAGGATTTGGCTGGGGGTGTTATCAAATTGTTTTTAGAAGGTTTTTGTTATTGAAAAAAAAAAGTTGCCCACAATTTTTGGCGGCAGAAAATCAATCCTTTTTGGGGGGGGGGGGGGGACTATTTTGACGTTGATGGCGCAATTTACACCCCTATTATATTACCCGAAAATAGGCCACATACATATCACCACGGTCAAATCGTGGGACTAAAAAAAATGACCCCCCCCCAAAAAAAATATTGACTATTATACCTCTTGGGGGCGGGCTCAAGCCCACCCCCACCCCCGGGTGGGCCACTGCCTCTTGTTCGTTTCTTTCTTGTTATTAATATCTACCGAACAGGCGGAGGAAAGGGCTATACTTTTCAGACCTTTAGCACTGATTTAAAAATAAACAGTCGTCTTCACTTCTTTGCTTTAACTTAAGACATACATTGACTTTTATGTCTTAAAGGGAATATACAACATTTGCAAACATCGAAAAATAAAACTACCAAGTTTTTACGAAATACCTTACTAGGATGTTGGTAAATGATAGTCTCAAGCATTTTGTAAAATTATGGCACCTGGTGTGAAGTCTTTTTCAAGAAAATGGTATTTTTGTATACATTTCCAACGGTGGTCGGCCGACCAGCGTTGGAAAAACCTAACTATTCTTGAACTACTGCTCCAAATTAACCATTTTTTCAGTCCAAATTTTGTTTGCTATTGGTTACATGTTTCATGAACGGGTGCAGGCCAGCTAGACTGGTTCCCGTGCCCTACAATTTTCCATCATCTATAAATTGATCCATTTTATCTTTTGTGGAGTCAGGGAACCAGACTACTTAAACATTTGTGTTTTTCTTGGTTTTTCCAACCTTTTCGAACACAAAACTTCAAAAATGTCAGTGTAACAATATTTGATCTATATACTAACCCCTCAAATAGTTCATTTCTGAAAATTACATCGAAAACCAATGATGTACATTCCCTTTAATTGATGACATTCGAAACTAGGGGTGCTCTATTCCACTTTCTATATTTCACAATTCTGGGGAGGGCAATGGGCTGCAGCTTCACCTTCTGGTTTGAATATTGGTAAAATATTGCATGTGGGGGCGTCAACACCTTGGCCCTCAGTGCATCCACTTTGGATTCGACAAAAGTAATACAATGTAAATTAAACACAACGGTAAATCAATACATGTATTCTTGAAAAAAATAATAAGTGCACAGTGTACTGTTATTGTGGCAAAACAAATATAACTACACTGTAATATTAAAGAGGTTGTGGGATGCTCGAAGACATTTCCGTCATTTTTCGGGTATATGTAGCCTAAGGTGCGATGAAATAAAAACGACTATTGTGTCTGTCATAAATTGAGTACAAAAGGTACTTTTTGAGAGCTGGTTTTTCAGGTCCTGTTTCGACCCAAACGTGCAATTTGTGTAAAATTCGTCGTTGGGGGCAGCAAACAAAACATAGAAAATCGTGACGTAATAAACAGGACTCCTGATGCAGCGTAGTATACACGAGTCCTGTTTATTACGTCACGATTTACTATGTTTTGGGTCGAAACAGGACCTGAAAACAGCTCTCAAAAGTACCTTTTGCAATTGTGCCACCGTTTGTACTCATTTCATGACAGACACAATAGTCGTTTTTATTTCATCACACCTTAGGCTACATAACACCTGAAAAATGACGGAAATGTCTTCGAGCATTCCACAACCTCTTTAATACAAGTACACTGTCTACACCACTGTCAAGACACGATTATCTCAAACACTCTCAAACTTGGGTCGATCAGGGTACCAGCAACATTAGTAGGCCATGTCATGTGCAAATCGATAAAAGAAAAGACAATAAAAATGCGGGATTGTTATTTTATTCACATGGTACATTTACGAGTAAACATGATCACTTTATAAATTTTATAACAAACGATACATTTTCTGGATACCATAGAAAAATAAGTTGTACAGCGCGTCCGAAATTACCCTCAACATTTTTTTTCGAAGCTCTAGCGTCGCCGCGGAAACACGTACCGCCATAAAGCTTGGAATATTAAATTTTATCCCTGGTAGGCTAAGTATTGGTGTGATTTTAAAAAGGGTTTTGAAATAATGTGTGTTCAAAAAAAGACATGTCAAAAACAAACGCAACCGATTTCAAGGAAAATCAAGCATGCGCATTTTTAATGTGGAAATGCTTCATCTTGATCATGATATGACGATCTCGTTGCCTTTTTTTTTTGTGTTTCCTTTTCTTTTCGATCCATGTAGACTACACCTTAAATCAATTCACAATATAGTTCTTCGTTTCAAGTTCCCTGTATTTTTAATATAAATCAAATGTGTTTTTTTTTTTGTCATTTCAACAGCTTGTTGACTCGAGTTTGCATCTGATGACGGTACCGCATCATTGATTTCCCTTGAAATCGGTTGAGTTTGTTTTCGACATGCCTTTATTTGAACCCGATTAATAATTTTAAAACTCTTTTAAATATCACATCAATGCTCGCCAGGGATAAAGTTAAGATTCCAAGCTTTAAAATGGTATAAAAATAATGGCGGCGCGTGTTTCCGCGCCGGGCTATAGAGCCTCTCAAAAAAAGTTGCGAGTGTTTTGGGACACGATGTACATGTACAAAACAAAACAAATGAAACTAAAGGTTTAGCGTCTCTGCATAATATCATCCGGTTTCCATTATTTACACAAAAGACGTAAATGTCTAGATAAGTCAGTCAACCATATGACTCTGCGAAATGTAAAGATTTTTTTGTTATATTGAGAATTTAAATGTAAATTGTTATGACACAAAAATTTACCCCCCCCCCCATATTTTGTAACGACTGCCTTTGTCCATTCAAATGCCCTTTTTTCAACGGGCTTACCCCCCCCCCCAATAATTTGTAAAGAGTGCCCTTTTTTTACGAAGCTTTAGTGCATGCCCTTTTTTTTTGAAGTGCCCTTTTCAAAAAAAAAGTGGTGCCCTTTTTTATGGAATCTGCCGTTTGTGTGCCTTTTTCAGAATTGTGCACATGTATCGCCCTGAAAAGCACCATATATTGGCCCTTTGTGTGCATAATTGTCGGTTTTGAACAGCGCCCCCATCGACAGATGGTACCCCCCCCCCCCCACCCGTACTAATTTTTAAAACTGGACTACACTATTGGGTGGCAGTCCCTTGCCCCCCCCCACCACTTATGGTACGAAACAGTCTGTCCAGAAGAGAGATGCCAAAGTTTGTTTAACTCATATTCTGAATGTATTGCATATATATATATACATATATATATTGTGTGTGTTTGGGTAGGGGATGATCATCCCCTCAAGATTTCAACCAATGCGCTTCAGGGTAAAAAAAAAAATGTGCCAGTGGGTTTCTGCACAGCCAAGAGATTCTCCTTGTGGATTTTGGGAGGATAATGGCTTAGCCTAGCCACTATTACTTTATATATGAGCCACTTTTACTTTATATGCGTCTTGATACCTCCTTTAAATTAACTGAGTACATGTACATAGAATGTGCCATTGGTTTCACGCACAGTGCCAAGGGCGGATCCGGGGGGGGGCCAAAGGGGGCCATGGCCCCCCCCCCCCCCAAAACGAAACCAATTTTTTTTTTTTTTATGTAACATCGCAATAAAGGCAGGCAATGAGTACACCACCATCCTTTCCTCAAAAAAACATTGGTCAAAGTGGTCAGAAATTGCCTCAGATCGCACCACAGAGTATCTAGAATCCAAAATTTTTTCGGGGCCCTTAAGCGGGCCCCGAACCCCACGCCGTAATTTTTTGACCCACTTTTTGGGGGGACCAAATTTTTTTTTTGGCCCCCCCCCTAAAATTGTGTTCTGGATCCGCCCTTGCACAGTGCAGGAGTTAGGAAGGTTTTTCCTAATAGATTTTGGAGAATGAAATGGGGAGTTTTAAGGTCAAGGCAGAATGACTGAAATCTGCTCTGGGATGTTGGTTTTTTAGTCATCCAGGACCGAAGCCAGTACCTTGCTGATTACCAAGGCAACCAAGGAGGTGGATGCAAATTGGCATGGGGCAGAGGAGGGGGTGGGAGTGTTTACGTAGGAGGGGGTGGGAGTGTTTACGTTCTCTGTGTTTATGTTGTCTTGGTTGGGGGATAGGGTGGTCATGTGATCGGTGACTGCGTTGGGGTCGGTCATATAGACGGTGCGATTGTTGACAGGCTGGACAGGGCGGTAGGTGTCCGTCAGGGTGATGTTGTCTGCCGCGTTGTGTTTGTTGGCGTACTGTCTACGCAGTGCATTTAGCTGTACACAGAATCGATGAAGTAAGGAAGTGGGGGATAAAAAAAAATGCTTCTCCTTTCAATCTGATAATTACCTGCATATTTTGGCTTTTTGATATCAATTCTTTTTTTTTAAATTTTATTAGTTAATTTTTTTTTGGGGGGGGGGGGGCTGGCAGAGAGTTTATTTTTTTGGGCTTATGATCCTTGCATCTGATTACAGTACATTTGTCATTCCATAAATCTGGGGTCCAAAGTGTGACTTTTTTTGGTGTCCCTGTCACAACCGACCTGTGTAATTTGCCATTCAAGTATCATTAAAGTTGACTTCACATTAATTTTTGTTTGGCAGGTACTTTGCTTTACATAACCACTCTTGGAGATAAAGAATATGTCCCTAATGACAAAATCTTATACATGTCAGATGTAATAGGTACACAGGAATCAACCACATGCATTTTGTCTTTTTTTTCCTGCCAACTGGCTATTTTTTGTCAACTGGTGTTTTTTTAAATTTAATTGTGTGCTCTAACCTAACATACTGTCTGTGGACCTGTGAACAAAAGAGGTCCACAGGATGCTGGAAGCGTGAATGCTTTGTTGACTAATTGCACACATCTACACTAGGTTTTCCCCTCTCTGGAAAACAGGTTTAGACTATTTTGGGGCTATATGTTTATCCGTCGGAAAATGAAGAGGAACACTCAAGGAAATCATTATAACAGAAATTGGGTTGAGAGTGTTCACAGTACAATAAAAGTTTTTTCCTCATTTTTTCTCTCTTAACTTATACACAAATACAAAGGAATGTCCACAGTAAGGCTGTGTGCAGTGTGGGTGGGCCGTCACCATGTTATGGGGAACTTGTTCATTGTTAGGCAAATTAGGACCAAGTTGTGGGGACTTTCTGCTGTCCCCACAGCATCTTTGGTCCCATAGTAGCATGGGACAACTCGTGTGTAGTCCCCACGAAAAAGTGCGTGTGTGTTTGGATTACTTTTTTTCTCCTTAACCTTGCTTTTCTGATCTGACTAGTACCTGCATTTTGTATATTTTCTGCAGAGTGGCTATATTGCTGTCAAGTTGTGTTTTTCCAATTTTTTTTTGTTTTTGAGGCGGCGTTGCTTTTCCGTCCTTGATATGCTGATCTGATTACAGTACCTGCATTTTGTCTATTTCTGCCAAGTGGCTATTTTTTGTCAAGTGGTGTTTTTTTTTAAACGGTGTGTGCTGGCGAGTTTAAGGTGTGAATTGAGGACACACACGTGCAACATCATCTGTGAATCGCGGTCAGAAACCGAATCGAGGACTTCTCAATTGGAAAACGTGTACTAAACCAACGAGAGCTGTTGCGAAAAAGTTAAAGTACAAACAAAGGAGAAGGGAAGAGGAACAAAAGAAAATCCTTGATTTACACCATAAACAAACGTGCTTGTGTGTGTGTCTGTTGGGTTTTTTTTGGGGGGGGGGAGTTGCTTATCCTTGGTACATGTATGCTGATCCAATTGATTTGTACCTGCATTTTGTATCAAGTGGCTATATATTGTCAAGTTCTGATTTTAAGGTTGAACGTTCATTATTATTATTATCTTCTTATTAAACAAAACGAACTAGGTAGAGTGGGAAGAGTGCAAGCACTATAAGTTGCTTTACAGCAACCCCCACACACCTGAAGCGTCAGTGAAGTAAACAAAAACCATCAAGAGACAACCATCAAGATAAAGAACGAGAAATCAAAAACAGGTGTGATCGACTTAAATCTGGACAATAATGAGCAACACTAGATATAATTAAAGGAAACATGCAGTGGAAATTCAGCTCATCTTGTTTTCATGCACGTTACTATGTGTTGCAACAACAAGATCTATACTTGTTTACATTGGAAGTGACAAGAAAGTGGTAATTTTTCAATTTTTGGCAGATCCTTTCATCAATAATAAGAGGGTGCTATGTTGCTTTTGTCACACAAGGTACTCCTTGTCAAAAGTGTATATTACAGTACACAAATTTAGTCCTTCAAAATTACCAACAAAAAACGTTTTGAAGAAATATTGGCCAAAATTGTTCAAACAAGCTGTTGAACATGATAAACAAGTAAAAAGTGGAACTTCCTCAAAGAAAAGGAAGAAAAATCTGATCTATATTTGCACACCATTAAGCTATAGAGACACTACTATTCTGCCTTGATTGACATCATGCTTTGGCTCGTTTTTCATAAGCATAAAAACTAAAAAGTTGAAATTTCTCCCTCTTACTACTACAATTATTAAGGAGGTGGAAAGTCATGGCAAGATAGCTGTTTTAAATGTATTGAAGTCATAAAAATCATGTTGCATGTTTCCTTAAAATGGACCTTAAATGGTCTGTAGTGGGATTTGCCACCTGCAACCCACAGAAACCCGCACTGATGAAAAGTAAAGTTTTCAGACTTGTGAAGAAACAAATTAAACAGGAAGTACAATGTTTTGGCCTACCTGTGCTTCAGAGACCATAATGGGCTCGGTAAAGACGTTCCATGTGACAATCTCGTAGCAAGGGGGCGTGGTCAGGGAGCCACTGTAGCGATAGTATGAGGACAGGTCAGAAGGGAGGAAGTTATTGAAGACAACTGGCATTGAGAGATCCTCTTCTTCTTCTGCAATGAACAAGGATGTCATTGAGGTTCTAGAACTTAAAATCACCGGTTCTAGAAGTAAAGTTCACTACTGTCAAGAGTGTCACCTGCACTTGAATATGTCACCTAGGCTGTATAAACTATAAAGGTGACGTGACCAGTTCTAGAACTAAAGATCACAGGCACTGAGAGATGTATCATAATCGGCAATGTATACATTATAGAATTAAGGATCACAAGTTCTAGAACTAAATATCATTGGAATTGAGAGAGGGTATAGTCATCATCAAGTAATTTGATTAGGTATATAGTATAGAACTAAAGATCACAAGTTCTAGAACTAAATATCACAGGCATTGAGAGAGGCTAGTCATGCATCAGCTGCAATGTACAGTGATGTCATTTGGGTTCTATTATAGAACTAAAGATCCCAAGTTCCAGAACTAATGATCACAGGCATTGAGAGAGGTATAGTCATCATCTGCAATGGACAATGATGTCATTGAGGTTCTATAACTTAAAGATCACAAGTTCTAGAACTAAATATCACAGGCATTGAGAGAGGGTAGTCATCTGCCATGGACAATTATGGCATTTAGGTTCTAAGCCATTAAAAGGCCAACAGTTTCAGAACTAAAGATAACCTGAGTTTTAGAACTAAAGATCACAGGCATTTAGAGAAGATAGTCTGCAATGGGCAATGATGTCATTTAGGTTCTAGAATTAAAGATCATTGGACAGAACGGATACTCATGATCTACAATACAGTGTACAATGATGTCATTTAGGGGTTCTTTTTAATTGAGTCTCAAGTTCAGTCTCCTTTAGAAGCTAATCACTTAATAAATACTGAAACGTCAAGATTTCTATTGAAATTTGAAAACCGCATCAAACATTCTTACCATGAGCAGCCACAATAACAAACGTGTTGGTGTTTACTTGCCCCCTGAGATTACCCATTCAGAGATACTGAGCAACATTTCAAGTTTACTGCAAAACTTACCGTCGAATTGAATCGAAGAAATGACATCAAATAGCTGTGTAAGAGCTGGATTGTCCACTGTTTGAATCTGTGCAGAGGATAAACATTTTGATTCTTTCTGATTTCTATGTTACATTCTCAAAAATACTTTTGCTCTACTAGAATATAAAGGTACTAATGAGCCAACCAACAGCTATTCAACGCAGGCTTAATTGATGAATATTCATGATGGCCATTACACAACTGAATCAACCAATGGCCTCACTGAGGTTCAAATCATGAAACCATATGAGGAGCTCATGAACAATTGATAACCAATGGCCTTACAGTACTGGCTGACATCGCAATTGCCCACAAGGAGAATTTTATGAATATGGCCAAAAAAGAAAAAAAAAATTAGTTCTGCTTCTGATTACATGGCATTCGAAAACTAGGTTAGGTAGGTAGGGTATTTGTGGTTTTTTTGGCCAATTTTTTTTGTGTACGATCGTATGGAGGTGTCTGCGTGTAGTCGAGGGTAAAAGGTAGAAATGTGTGATTTTGGGCGTTTTTTCTAATTTTTCCCATAAAAAAATTGGGGTAGGGGCTGTCAGAACAGGGTAGCTAGGGAAACTGGAAGCAGAACTATTTTTTTTGCCTAAGTAACTACCAAAAAGTAATGCCCCTTCAGTACATATGCAAAAATTTATATAAATAACCTTTCAAACTTTTAGCCAATGAGCAAGTTCAAACAGTGCCGGCAACAAACAAAGTTCTCGAGAAGTAACTCTTCAATGACGAGTGCAAAATATATTTGCAGGGTTTTTTTTATTGTAAAAGGTTTTGAAAAGTGATTTTAAAGAATATTCTTCAGATAAATGGTTATAATGGTAAACAGAACCTGCAATAAACATAATCCAATGATGAACGATGGACTTTAGAGTACTTGACTAGGCATTAAATAAATATTAGGCCCAAAAAACTCAATAGTTCTGCTTCCGGTTACCCTACTTACCCTATCCTGACAGGCCCTACCCTAATTTTTTTTTAAGAATGAGGGAAAAACCCCAAAACCATCAATTACATCTTACCCTTGAATACACACAGACACCTCCATCTGATCAACACAAAAAAAATGCCAAACCCTATATTTGCAAATGCCATAACAGGAAGCAGATTTTATTATATTTTTTTTGGCCTCAGCAGTACCCTTCTAGTTTGGTCATATAGTGACATTGATAAATCACTTTAGTTTCGGCACAGTAGTCCAGAGGTATTTTGAGCCCTCATAAAGGTTCAGTGATACTGATAGAAACGACAATGCCAACAAGCCCGAGGGATATACTCTTTAGAAAACAGTATTGATTGTGCACTCATCCCAGCTGTCATGTCAGGCATTCTTAAGCCCGACATAATTATCAAAAAAGCTGCCCCCACTCTTGAATTGATCCCCCAAAACCCTTTTTGTTTAATAACTGGGTCACATCGGTTGACTGCACACCACTCTGCTACAAATTCTGTGAATAACGAGCTGTTCAATGCTTGTACTTTTTAGCCAAAGGTTGACAAAAAGTTCAAGGATTTTTGGTGAATCTCGGCTTTGTGGAGTAAGAATTTATTACCTTTTTTTCTTTTTCTTTGTGTATAAGACAACAAAAAAAACTGAACGGAACTGACCTCTAAAAAGAATCCCAACACTGTTAGACCATCCTCGTTAAACAAAGCACTGAAGAAATTTGGATAACTTGTGTTGTAGCAAACAATGTGCAACTGTGGAAAAATAGAACAAAATACACAAATTAAACGGAATATCCTTATGTCGAAAAATCCTCCTGCATATCCGACAGCAAAGTTGCTTTGTTTTCTGCAGTTTGTTAACTCTCCTGTAGTTAGACCATTCAAAACACCAGAAAATCTGGGTGCTGGCAAATTGGAGGGAAAAAATGCTGGACCTTTTACAATCCTCCAGAATTTATTGTTATACTGCACTACCACACCTTTCAATTCCTTTCGAAAGGTATTGAAATGCAACTTACTGATTTTGCCCACAGAGTTGCTTCACCTTAGGAAACCTTTTGAAAAGTCCCAAAGTTCCAGCACTATTTTACCTTTCAACACCCTTTGGTGATGCAAATTTAAAATGTTTTGAAAGGTCTGATAATTCTCTTTGCCAAATGCACTGGGCATAGCAGACACTGACCTGTTTGTGCTCCAACTGTTTGGAAAATGTTTGAAAAGTGTTCAACTTCTGACCCTTTTTCAAGCCGAGAACCAGTCTTTGTCAATATATAATGCATGGTATTTTAAATGGTTGCCTGTTTGTGCCCAGCAAATATTTTCAATGCTTGCCAAATTCATATTAACAGTTCCATAAAATTGGACAAAGGTAATAAACCATTTTGGAATTTTAGAGGGAGGAGCTAACTTTATCTAGGACAGGGGTAAATCCCCTACAACTCCAGATGGGGTCATGAAAGTCCTACTGAATCCGACAAAGGAATACAATGACAATGCCTACCTCCCCTGGGTAAGCCTTCCCATCGATGGTGTGTTCAGAGCCTTGGCTGTTCACGCTGCCCCAGTGGAAATGAAACTGAACCGCTTTGTAGGCGGTGGTGCCTAGCCCAGCGCCACTCACATGGTAATCTCCGTCGACACCAACTACAACTACAAAAACATATTAAAAAAAGGGGTTCCAAATCAATAAAAATTTGTTGTTTCTGTGTTGTTGATGGTAGCGCCTGAAACCATGTAGGCCTATCCGACAATTTGACGTTACCGGTAACGCAAATTGAGTGTTTAGCCAGTGGGTACAGCCGCTGGTAATCAGTGGTGCTACAGTGGTGTAGTACCAAAGTACTACATGTATACGAATAAGACTTTACTAGCGCACTCCCGTGAAAAGTGGTCCGGCAACCGTTCTACACAAAACCCCATGCACCATGGGGTTTCGTGCACAAACCTTATAAGTCGGCCGATCACACTCAATTGACTTCGGCAAAACCGCAAGCCTCAAGTCATCATAAAGAATAAGTTAACCGGACCAACTTTCACGAGAGTGTGTTCCTAATGAAACCGGTATTGTGTGCAAACGTATATACGGGTGTGCGCGTTGTGCGTATTGTTCCCAAGCGCTAGCGCTACAGAGTTGGGTTCAAACATTTCATGAAGGGGTAGTTGGAAAAGTGCAAGTAAATTTTCAACTAATTTTGAATTCAAATTGGTATTTAGATTAAATAAATCAGTTATGGCTTAACTTCAAGCAGAATATGTGTGAGAGAGGTGTTATAAAACAAATACTGGCTTTAAATCTTGTGGTGTAGTAAAACTAGCCTCCCTTGGTGAGATCACCGGAGCATTTCCCTCGGCTTTGTCCGGAATATGTTTCATCACCTCGGGAGGCTAGTTTTACAACACCACTCAAAGCAGTCAATATTTGCATACTATTCTCACTGGCATAATGCCAACAACCATGATACTGCAAATTAAGTTGCCTTGATCGCTAAAAAAGAAAACAGCAGATTGGAACCCCTCCCTCGACTCCTCCTCTATAGGTATGCCCCTGGGATGACATTGGTGCAACAAATTCATTGCTACATTTATGGTGATAAGTTCCAAAAAAATTGAGCCTTTCATAGAATGTGTCTACAAGTAAAGTATAGCAAACTTACCAGAATGGCCGTTGTTGGACACCGTCATTGTTGCATTGACTGGTTTGTCGTCTTCCCCAAAACCAACAAAGGTGAAATCACCTAAGTCTTTCTCCTCCACCATGGCCGTTTCGATATTAATCGGTGACTGTTTACTGCCCCCACATGTGTCGTAACTTGCCTCCCAAGTGTCAGGACCTTAAAAAAAAAAATAATGTTAGAAATCAAAGTGAGCACAGAAAAATGACTTGCTAATAGTGGGATTTGAACCTTCGACCTCCAGAGCAACGTACCAATGCTCTACCAGAACATTTTGTTACTTTGTTAATTATCAAATTAGTGGAGCCTTCTCAGTAGTAAATATGGAAATTTGCAATAGCATAAAACCCAAAAGGCACCAAAATACCCTTGAAAATGGCTTAACAAAATTTGAATATAAAGTTCAATGGAACACAAAATGGCAGTTTGAAGGATTGCATAAAAACAATTAAATTGGCCCTTACAAAAACAACTGAGCAGCCAAAATATCATGATGTCATATTGCTTGTTGCTGTTTTTCATGTTTATTATGCAGAGAATAAGTTTCTTAGTGGTTAGCAACATTTTCTAATTGGTAGCGCAATATGACATTGGTCCCTAAAAATAAATTCTTCTTTCTTACCTTTTCCAGAGTCATTCAGGTAATCCCAGCCAGCTGAAAAGAAGAGGGGGGGGGAGTTATAATATAAAAGTACAAAATATATTTTAAAATGTGTTTTTTTTCCCCATAATCACATACTTAGATATATTTACCTTATTTACACATATTTTCTTGAGTACATGCATTATAATAATGCTTATTTCAAATCCTAACTTCTTACACAGTATTTTTGTAAGGAATCGTCTACATGTACATACATGTTGTGAGTTTCCAAAAATGAGTTGTATAAAATTGTGAATAGACTTACCAGCCTGCACATTGGACAGACATGCGACAAGCACACACACCGCAACATAAAAACAAGTGGTTGTTTCCATTTTGTAAACTTCCAAATCTCAGTTTTAATAGAAAATCCAGAGCCTAAAAAAGTTCAACCGCTCTTCAAGTGTACCATAAAGCACTGTGCTTCGTACTGGACGCCCAAGTTGCTGCCAACAAATACATAATATTTCTTTCAAATGCAAAGCAAGGTTTGGACAAAAAAAACCACCCACTGGTTGAAATGAAAGGGAGCAAAAGTTTGCAAATAATAAAAAAAAAAGTGCAAATTCAACTTTGAATGGGAGCTTTGTGGTAACACCATGTGAATGGCATCACATTGTGAGTTGTGTGGTTATGAGAAGAACAATATATGAATTCCTTTGGGGAACTAACCCACCGGGCCGGTTTTTATGTGCAACCTCTATGAGAGAACGCGGCGAAAAAATTATTAAAAACGGGCCTTTTTTCACATCTGTCGCCACCACTTCATTATTCGACAGGGTATACCTTAGATCTCACTACAGTGTGACCCTAACAATATACTCTTTCAGAAAATGAAAGAAAAACTGAATAAAACACCGAGTTTCACTCGCGAATTGATGTTAAACATTGCATTTTCAGTCAAAAATCTCCCTGTTTTGTGTGTAAACCACACGTTCCGCTGAGCCCAAGGTCATCTGGCTGTGCGCTTTGGCCAGTTGACATGGGGTCCTTTTGACCACAAAGGATTTGATATGGTTCAAAGGGATTAAATACAATTAACATTTGCTTTTGCTGTACTTCTCAGAAAAGGATGGATTGGGGGTTAGTATTATTATATAGTGAATATTATTACATTGACTTGTTTGAAGTTTTGAGTTCAAAGATGCTGGAAACACCAAGAAAAACAATCTGTTCTTGTAGTCTGGTTCCCTGACCCCACTTCAGATGAATAGGAACAATTATTGGACATTGGGGAATTGTACTAATTAAGTAACATTTCTTTCTGCCAAGCTTTTCTTTAAAAAAAACCCAATATGTTGGTGTTTCCTTGCTAGTCACGTACTACTCTTTAACCTGTTTTTTTTTAGTTTGTCTGCTCTCTTTGTTTTACTGGCTGGTTCCACTTTATATCACTCATTTCCGTTGACATTCAAGTTGTTTTCACTGAAAATCACCAACACTATTTGTATTATGATCCTTTTTCTTTCTGTTGGCTGTACATTCGTGTTTTATTTTTGTGAACATTTTGCTGGTACCCACTACAATATTTCAGTGGTGCGGGTATCGGCAAGTCTCTTTGATGCAGAAATGGTAATTCATAAATCGTAATATTGCAGACAAGCATGTGATTGTAAAGAATTGATAAGGAAATTTACACAAAAAATTTCATATTGTGGAGAACAGCAGAAACGTAGCTGAACATTTTCGCCTTGAAGAAATGTGTGGGTTTAACTGGCAGACTGGGGCTAAGTTGGCACAATTCAAAGGAAAACTAGGCATTTGAATAGAAAAGGGCAGTATTTACAAAATATGGGGGGGGGGGTACCCTCCCCTCCCCCCTCCCCCCCCCTCCCCCCCTCCCCCCCTCCCCCCCCCCCTCCTCCCCCCTCCCCCCCCCCCTCCCCCCCCCCCTCCCCCCCCCCCTCTCTCCCCCCTCCCCCCCCTCCTCCCCCCTCCCCCCCCTCCCCCCCCCCCCTTGCTGGCTACGCCTATGGTTTCCGGGATGATTATGAAAAAAATCTATAAGTGTGTCATCATGCCTACTCATACATGTACAAGATAATGTCATACTATGTCACATAAAAATACATATCACATTTTGCACAAAGTATGAGATGAGCTAGAAACCAAACCAAACATATTATACCCCTAATTTTTTGATATTTTGTAGAAAGCATGTTGGGGTATAATTTATACCGTCTCAAGGTCACGTGATCCCCAAATTATATTCAAGGTCAAAGTAAAGGTTAAAAGTTTGTAATACTTCAAATTACTCTGACATGAACAGTAAATTGGGATTCCTTATATACCTTTCCAATGCAACCGAGATCAACAAATTGGGCCCACAGGTTATGGAGATCATATAGTCATTTAAAAATTGGCGGCCATGCCCATTTTGGCCAAACACCACAAATTGGCAAAACAAACCGTTAGTCCAATGGCACTCAAACTTAAGATGTCAGCTTTTTCAGCCAAAATTACCCCACATATACTAAATATGAGCAAATTTGAAGGAGTGCACTGGGGTTTAACCCATTGGGTGATTTGACACGGAATGATCCACTCTTGAAATTCCAAGATGGCGGCAGTAATGACATTGGAAAAAATGCGAACATTATAGTCCCAAATTTTCGGACTAGGGTCCATCCAGATTCCTAAGGTTCCAAAATACATAGAGCCTATATAGTTTTGCTAATTCTCAAAACTTTCCAACGAAATTTGAATTAAACAGGCCTAGATTGTGTTAGTGTCAGCGTAGGCCTTGAACACTTCGAAAGATTGGCGCATTTTGTAAAGTTGCGCTCGGCTCAAAGAGATGTCAATGTAGGCATTATGGCCGATATGCCTGCTTACCCGCTTGTGAACCTGACTACCTGAGAAGACTGACACAAGATAGAAAATGCACGAAGTAATTCTGAAGTCCATTTTTTCCCTCAAACAATGACATGAATGACGCCAAAAACTACCCGAATCCTCTCGTCAAAATTTTCAAACCCGCGTGGTCTAACCATGGTCCAACAGTCATAATTTGCAATTTTCTGCGCGCACGTGCGCGGCCTATGGTGCGCCCCCATCGACCAGATAAAAACGAAGCTGCATTTGAAATTAACGACTTAAATTTACAGAAACAGCATAAAAACGGGTTACAAATTAAAATTAATTTCTTTTACAATATATTGCTTGCAGTATATCCCTTTCTTTGATTTTTGTTGTCTTATATTGTGTTCGCTCTTATTTGCATATACCCCCGCGCGCGGTTGGCTGAATCCAAGGAGAGCGCTGATTGGCTGAAATTTAGCCATTTCACAAACGTCGGGTTCGTTCTTTGGGATTCGGCTTCAACCCATCTGAATCATGCTAAATTTGAACGATTTCTTTTGTTTTAAACAATATCTAATGACAAAACAACAGCATACACATGCGCAAAACCACAAAGGCTAGTTTGAATATCGCATTTTTTTTAATAAACATTTCCTTCAATATTTGACCAGCCATCAGGGCAGAACTTTCAAGAAAACAAGAAATTGATTTATTCAAATAAAAATCTAAGAATAAACTACAAACAAGATCAAGCATAATGAAAAGAAGATTGAAACAATTCAAAATCAACATTAAATATTTGAAGTTGGAGAAATACAGAAATTTTGCTGCCATCTTTTTGAGTGTGTTAAATGGTTTATGGAAGAGAATACTTGCAATTTGACTTGATCTTTCCCAGTGGCGTAAATCTGTGCCGGCGAGTTGGGGGATGACCAAAACCAGTGGAAATTCAAAAAGAAGGGGGGGGGGGCCTGACACCACATTACACTAGGGGGCGCTCTTCAGGATATAGATGTATATCAATATATATATACTTGCATCAAATAGGCGCGTTTTAAAAGCTTTTGCTCTTTGTTTCACCACTTATCGGGGCTATTGAATAAATTTTGGTCGTTGGGATATTGAATTACCTCAAAATCAACTTATTTTTTTCTCATCACGAAAAAGTGAGGGGGGGATTCAATAGCCCATCCCCCCTGGTCAAAAAGTGGGGGGATATACCCCCCCCCCCCCCGTGATTTCCGCCCCTGCTCTTTTCCCAAAATACTTTTGTTACAATTATGTAACACAAGTGCCTCATGGTAAAGTTTTATAAAACAATTTATACATTTCCAAGACTAAATCAAAAATTGATAACATGGAGTTTAATAACTAGGTTAACTAATTTAAATTTCTTCTAAACAAAACAAAAACAAAAGCAAATCACGGAATTTCAGAAATGAACACGGCACCTTATTCCCTTATTCTAAAACCTATTGTTGCCATCAAATTTACAAAAACTATACACAAACGCAAAATAAATTGAGTATTAGTGCAAAAATATATAAAAAGATTCAAGCAAACCTTTAGAAATTTTAAAGTGAAAATTGTTTTTCCAAAAGTAATATTCATACAAAAGAGTAAACAAGTTTTTATTCATTACAAATATGAGAAGTCTTTCAACGTTATCACAAGTGTCCAAAATACTGGAAATTTCCAACATTATAGTTTAAAAAATATGAAAATGTCAGTAATATCTATTTCAATTTTTAAAAAATGTCATTTTGTAAATGATTTTGTAAATTTACAAACACGAACAGTCTTTCAGCATTATCAAAAATATCAAAGTTTTTTTAGGAATTTCCCATCGTCAATAAACATCATAGTTAAAAAAATATGAAAATATGTGTCAGAAATATCTATTTTTAAGATTGAAGGGGCAAACCATTCTTTTTTGTACAATGGCACTTATTTTAGTCAATAAGTCATGATAAAAAAAGATTTTCAAAAATAGTACGTAAAGTCTGCCACGAACCAATGTGGCCCATCACGCCCGCGTTTAGCTCCAGTTTCAGTAGCATGAAATGACTGAGAATATTTCTATTCCCGATCCTCCTGGATTGTGTGCTAGTCCATAACAGGCTACTCCCCAGCTAATACCGGTACCCATGCATACTCCTGGGTGGGGAGAGGCAAGTTGGGTGGAGAGAGGCAAGTACGGTGAAGTGGCTTGCCCGAGGACACAACATATAATGGCACTGATTGATAAAAAGATTAACAAACTACTAACCTGAAACTAGAAATGACAAGTATGAATATTTCTATCACATTATCAATGCCCTAATCACAAACCATCTTCAAAAAGATTTTGCACTACTTCTCGAAGAAATTTCAGTGCCAAAGTAGCAATAATATTCAATCATATTCATTAAATAAAACCTTAGGCCTATTCTTTTTACTCTAAAACAAAGCAAGCTTTAAAAAAAATATATCCCTCTGAATAAAATATTGCCCTGACTGTTATGGCACATCAATAATATTGAAAATGCCACTTGCAGAATCACTTTTAGGGCTGTCCGTCTTCGAATAATTTAGTATTCGATTAATCAAAACTGAGTTTTAACGAATATTTGAATATTCGAAACTTGCGATCTAACAGTTTACACACGCCAGCTGCAAATGCATGCCGCGCCCGTCAAAAGTTACACGTAAAGCGTGCGGTTTATAATTAGCATGCAGCAATCGATGTTATGGGCTGCTGGAGGTTTTGCAGCATTTTATAAGGGTCAAGGGATTTAACCTGCTAAAAGGATGGAAACAATAAACTGCCGTCGACAATAAAAGTTACTGTTTGACAATAAAGCGCCCAAAGTTACGATTAAAATAACATCACAGGCATGTACATACGTGTGTTTGATCTGATACACGGTACCCTCTGGAGACATGGGTATAATAGGGAACAAAAGATTGTATACGTCTTCACAGGGCAATTATTATAGATGAATACCTCTCCACAAGGTTATCACGAAATAGATATATGGATTTTACTCAAAAACTAGGAATTTCCAAGGTGGGTTGATCCGTCGCAAATTGAAGTATGTTATGTAAGCGATATTAAGTCTGAATTTTAGCTAAAGAAATTAATTCTGGTTAAATTAGGAGCATTTTGAAACTATACATTTTGAAACTATACTTTCAAACTATACTTTTTTTTTATATTCCAATCGGTAAAAGGCTATTCGAATATTCGGTTGATGATCGAATATTTGAATATTCAGTATATCCCGGACAACCTTAATAATTTATCTATTCTCATCAGATTAACCTCAAGTAAATTAGCAGTATTTCAAAAATAAGCAAAAGAAAGGAAAAAGAGCCATACTCAATTAATATCGGATACAAATCAATGAACAAGAAAATCAATCAGCTTAGTAAACTCTGCATGTGAACTTCAAAATTTGAACATTTTTCATTTTTCATTCACAGCAGATAGTGAATGGTTTGTGACAGATTTCCTAGCCGACTTCTTTTTCGAAGTCTGTCTGGCAAAGGCTGCGTTTTTATAAATGACCGTTGGCCGCTGCTTGGCTGTTCATGGCGTTCTCTCCAGTCTAAATTAAGAAGATGATAAACACAAATTTAAAGTTTGGTACATGATGCATCAACATTTGTGATGCGATCAAGCTAAATGAGTCATCTGTCGACCCTGGTCAATTTTTATTTGTTTACAGATTTGAAAAGAGCACAATCTCAGCATTACTGCTGTGAAAACCGCATGCTGATACCATCTTTAGTTCAAAAATTATGGAAGTCGGAACACCAAGAGATGTGATGGGGTAATGTGATGAAGTTGCCCTATTTTGGCCTGAATCTCCAAATGAAAGTTCCCGACTAACGACTCATTTAGCTTGATCGCATCACATTTGTGCAACAGTAAGTTCAAAGTTATAGGCATTCTAAAACAAATTTCCTGCTCAAAATTTATTTTGGACATTAGTAGCCATGCCTCCGAACGTTGTAAATGTAAGGCACGTTCTTTGATTGAATTTTGATCGATTTATAATGACTTGTGATCAACTTGTGATTGACTTGTGATCAATTTGTGATTGACTTAATAATGAGCATTTTTAGAAAGAACACGTATTCACCAATATTGGTGCTCAGGGCGCTACATCATTATTACCCTGCTCATTGGGCCAATGAAACATTCCAAATACAATATCAGCTCCCTGGTGAGAGTACAGCTCAATGCTGCCATTTTGGCACAAATTAAAGCAGCTAAAATTAATCACAGTAACCATCTCACAGGAGAAGTGACAAACGAAGTGCCTTGCCCAAGGGCACATGCACCATAACCCCAGGCTGGACTCGAACCCACAACCTGCAGAATTACCGAGAGACCAAGAGTTTAACGCTCCAGACTATGAGGCCACGACACTCCGCAGCTTATGTTCTACTTGGGATCGTATTGTAATTGACTTGTGATTTGAATTTCAGATGGCGTCAAAACTCAATTTCTATTTGGCCATTAATAAAAAATAAACATGTTTAGCGTCCTGCCTTTTTGAAAAAAAGGAAGGAGGAGCCCCTTTTTTTTTCCAAAATGGCCGCCCGACCCATTTTCCAAAACGACCGGCCGGGCTGTTTTTCAAAATGGCCGCCACTTGGACTCAGGAATGACATACCAGTTTTACATGGGCTAGATGCAACAGACAAAGAGGCCAAAATTATGCCACTGTTTAAAATTCATTATTTTTTCGGGTTGTTTTACAAAAAAAAAGAAAAAAGGAGGCGACCTCCAAAAAAGAAGCAGGCGGGGACCCTAAACTTGTTTTTTTTTTATTTGGCCTTTCATCAGCCTACCTGCTTGTCATCCTTTGGTTTGTCTTGGTCAGTCTGTTGAGGACTGGCTTCGGGCCCAAACTTTGAGAAGGCGGATGACGGTAGTCCCCTGTGTGTCACTAGAGGGCGGGCTTTGGGCTTGATGGTTTGGGCCAGACCCAACGATGTGTTCTTCTTGCTTAGCTCGTCTCTCTTCTTCTGAATGATCTTCCGTTTCTTTTCTGCCTCTTCAATCTTATCCATGGCAGCCTGGGAAAAGCGAACGCAAAAAAGGAACTTGCTCAGAAAAACCACAGGCAACATTTTTAAACATTTATGATATCTCTTCAGTCTTCTGATTGGTCACAATCAAACACTTCTCAATAAAATTGTATGTTAAAGGTACTATACAACATTTGCTTTTGATGCAATTTTCAGAAATGGATGGATTAGTATTTTATAGCAAATACTGTTACGCCGACCTGCTTAAAGTTTTGTTTTTAAACCTGCAGGAAACACCAAGAAAAAAATTGCTGTTCTTGTAGTCTGGTTCCCTGACCCTCCTTCACACAAACTGGAGCAATTTACAGACGTCAGGGATTTGTCTGGTCAGGAAACCAGACCAGCTGGCTTGCACCTGTTCACGGATGTGTAACTGATTGCAAATCAAATGTGGACTAACTAAATTGTGTAAATTGGGGGCAGTATTTGAAAAAAAAGTCACTTTTTCCTTAGTCCCTGAATTTTGACACACTGTTCCTTTTTGAAAACAGTATTTTATCGTCAAATGTTGAGGTAAAAATGAAGTTTAAATGTCATTAGTACAATGAACGTTATGATATCCCGATGATATATCAACTTGCCAATTTTAGCGGCTGACAATTTGAGCTGACAAATCACCTAACCATTTGCAAAAAAAAGTACTACCTGCAATTTTTCGTCGGCCGCGTGACGCTGGGTTTCCAGCTCCGCGAGCTTGCTCCTTTCTTCCTCCAATTTCGCTTCTTGCATCACAAATTCTTGACTCAATTCCTCGCTCTTGATTTCTAGGTCCTCCCGTCGCTGTTGCTCTTGGGCCAGGAGACGGGCCTGCTCCTCCTTGAGTTGCTCCAGTTTCTCTCGCTTCTGCATCTCCTCGTCAAGGAGTCTGAAACAAAAAAATGAAGAAGATGGAAGCCGCAGTTGGAGGCGCTTGTGATTGACTTGTGATCAACTTGTGATTGATTTGTAACGACTGGTGGTTGATTTATGATAGCTTTTGATTGACTTGTGGTTTATTAAAGTTGGGATGATTTGTGATGGCCTGTGATGGTTTGTGATCAACTTGTAATTGACTTGTGATTAACGTTATGATGACTTATGATTGACTTCTGACGGCTTGCGATTGACTTGGGTCGGACTTTTGATGGACTTGTGTTGGACTTGTGATGACTTGTGACTGACTTATAATTTAAATTGTGACTTGACTTGTGATATACTTGTGACTGAGTTGCGATTGACTTGTGACTGACTTTTGTTTGACTTGTGTTGGACTTGTGATCGATTTGTGACTGACTTGTGACTGACTTGTACTTTGACTTTGAGTTGTGATAACTTGTGATGGACTTGTACTCCATTGTGTTTGACTTGTGATGACATGTGATTGTCTTCTGATAGTCTCATGATGAATGGGGATAATCTGTGACTGAACTGCGATAGACATGTTATGACTTGTGATTGGCTTCCGACTACCTTGTGATAGACATGTGATGATTTGGGATAAATTACGACCGGCTTGTGAATGACTTATGACGACCATGTGATGGCCTCAGTCACAGCTCTGATTACTGACCTTTGCTTGAGCTCCCTGGCTTGCTCTTGCTCCAGCCTCAACCGTTTCTCCTCATCCAGCGACATCTGAAGACGTTTCAGAGTTTCCTCCAACTCAGCCAGACGTCTCTGCTCCGCCTCCTTAAGACCAGCTTCCATATCCGCCCGCTCACTTGCTTCCTTCAGAGCCTGCAGATACCAAGCAAGATGAGATTTAAAGGCATGTCCATGTGAACAATAGAAGGTTTATGACCACACCCTGGAAAGACACTGGACAAGGCCATCAGAAGTCTATCACAAGTCCAACAGAAGTCCAACAGAAGTCACTCACAAGTCAAATCTCAAGTTCATTACAAGTCGGTCACAAGTCAAGGGGGAATCAGGTTTGCCTAGAGGTACTTTCCTTGCCTTCTACTACAGTGACCCGGAAAACCTGTGGTTTAGCTCCTTTTTTGGGGGGTCCCTACCCAATTCCGTGGGTTTGCCCTGCAATTTTTACTCCAGCTTTTTCCTGCCAACTTTCTAGCTCTTATTTCATTCCTCATAATCTACCAAGGGACCCCAAAGGAAAATAGTTGAACAGCTTTTGCGGGTTATCCCAACCGAATAGTACAAGTCAGTCAAAAATCAAATCACTAGTCAATCACAAGTCAGTCAAAAGTCATATCAATGGTCAATCACAAGTGAAATCACTAGTCAATCACAAGTCAAATCACTAGTCAAATCACTAGTCAATCACAAGTCGGTCACAAGTCAATCGCTAGTCAAATCACTGGTCAATCACAAGTCAAATCACTAGTCAATCACAAGTCAAATCACTGGTCAATCACCACTCCAATCACGAGTCAATCATAAGTCAAATCACTAGTCAATCACAAGTCAGTTAAAAGTCATATCACTGGTCAATCACAAGTCAAATCACTAGTCAAATCACTAGTCAATCATAAGTCAAATCACTAGTCAATGACAAGTCAAGAGGTATAGTCCATCTCAGGACCAGTTATTCTGCATTGCTTTCCCACACATTGTTATCAGGGTCTTTCCACAATAAAAGGGGCACAAAAGCAGGATAATAATATCAAGTTGTTTGTCCTATTTTATCCTTGTACATTCCCACCCTATTGTTGAGGATTGTGCTCAATGAAACTTGAAGACTTCCCAGGCAAATTTTACAAAATTGTAAAACAATCTGATGTGATTGCTTTTCCAACTGCACCTTTAAACTATCTAGAGAGTGCTTTCTAAGTTGGTCACAGTAATTAGTAGTCATGTACTGCACATGTTCTTAAGTCACTTATTTCTCTGAATGCATAGTCACTCTGCAATCTATTTCAGAGCTTACTGTTACTTTTCCAACTTAACCTACTTCAAACCACAATAGATAGTATTTGGGCTGCAGTCAAACCACAGATGGAGCTCTCATTGTAGCCTTCATTGTTAATTCCCACAGTGTTAGGGATAGAATTTATGCAAATACCTCTAAGTATGAAAGCCACACTGCATTAGTATTCTCAATCTTGAAATTCCTTATGCATATTTTGACCCAGCACTATAAAACCCCTCTGAAAGCCCAGTAGGGCGTGGACTTGTGACTAGGGCATGGTGGTGAATGGTGGTGTGCATTTTGGTTCCTTGATTTCTACATGTGTATCATGGCTGAAGGTGGAAGCCTAGTTTAGGTTGGCCTTGTTCATGTGCAAGACACTACGTACTTTTACTCTTCACACCAAAGGGTTCAGTGGTCTGCATAGTCTTGTGAGTACGTTCCAATTTTCTTCCACCTTGCACCCTGAAGTTTTTTTACCTTGCTTACTAGAATTAACCCTAAACGGGCCGGGGAATCCACCCCCCCCCCCCTCAAATTTGTCCACGATACCCTTGCAAAAAATGTTTTCCCGACCCAGCTTTCTGGACTTTTTAGCCTTGAGTCTTGTGCATCTTTTGATACCAAATACATACAATTGTTGGTGTTACGCGGCCTGAAAGCTTATTTTCCCATATATGTATGTACACATTTGAAGCAGACTTACCATTGGCACATATGAATAATTAAATAGCCATAATTCCAGAACCTTTTAACGTATAGTCATGAAATTTCTTGGGTATATTCATATTAAGTTGTTCTATGTACTGAACAAAATAATGGGAAAACGGCTGGTCAAAATAATCCAGCCGTTTTCCAATAATTTCAGTCCGTGTTATATGCTACATATAAGTGTCTTAAGGACCACGAAAAGAGTGTTTATTTTGGCTGTTAACAATCCTAAATGGTTATGAATATTTAAATGAGATGCAATTTTCGTAAATACTTTTTTTACACATGATCATTAAAGGGAAGATACAACATTTGCAAACATCAAAAAATGAAAAGATCAAATTATCACAAAATATCCTCCTGGATTGTTGGGGAATGACTGTTCAAACCATCCTGTAAAATCACGGATCCTGGTGTGCTGAAAACTGCTTTTTTTTCAAAAACTGCTCCTAATTGTTCATATTTAGTTATTCAGCATTTCCTTTGCAATTGATTACACACCTGGGAATGGGTACAAGCCTGCTGGACTGATTCTCTGACCTCCCAATCCCCCGAAGTCTATAAATTGTTCTGTTTCATCTTAAGTGGGGCCAGGGAACCGGACTACAAGAACATAGTTGGTTTTCTTGGATTTTAGCATCTCCGAATAAGTAACGTGAAGCAAGTCAGCTTAACAATATTTTCTATACATACTAATCCTCCAAATTCATTTATTTCTGAAAATTGCACCAAAACAAATGTTGTACATTCCCTGTAAGGTCTCCGAAATGTACAGGAAAAAAATCAAAACAAAATATCTTGCTTTGAGCAAGTTCGCGCAAGAACTATAGTTGACCATTGGTTAACCACAGTTCGACTAAAGTTAGCCTGAACTCTGTCTAGTCGACGGTTGTTGACTACGCTGGTCGACTATTTGGAACCAGCCTACTGGGGTTGGTTGCATCGCTGGTAACCAATAGCCGCGCGCATTCATAACAGCAGGGAGCCAGGAGCCAGAAGTTTGGGATGACATTTTGACCAGCGTTTGACTAGAGACGTTCGCACGTTGCTATCAGTGCGCAGGCGTAAGGTACATCACAAATCAACCACTAGTCGACTAATGGTCCTTACCCGAACTTGGCCTTTGCTGTAACCTCCAGTGTCCCTTTCTCAAATCCCACAGTTCCAGTCAATTCTACACCATTATTGTGGAAACCCTAATACGTAACCTCACCTTACGGATTTCGTCTCGTTCCCTGGCGATGCGTTCCCTCTCCGCCTCGTCTTGCTCCCTCCTCAGTCTCTCCTCCTCTTCCTTCTGGCGTCTCAGTTCCTCCTCGGCCTTAAGCCTTTCCTCCGACTGCAACAGGGCCTAAGCGCAACAAAGGGAAAAAAGAAGAAGAAAATTATAATACAAATCAATAGTGATGTATGATTACATCCCTCTTTTAATAGAGAGTGACACAAATTCTGTTATGTGATCATGACGTCACTTTAATTTTCAAGTGTAACACATCCCTGTCTATGTTCATACCAACTTTCAATCCGAAGGTGAATAAGCCAACAGCGCCCTCAGTAGTTCATGCACAGAGCCACTAACTTTTTTTACTTTTTTGCATGATTACATCCCTCTTTTAGAGAGTGACACAAATTGTGTCATGTGATCATGACGTCACTTTAATTTTCAAGTGTAACCCATCCCTGTCTATGTACATACCAAGTTTCAACCCGAAGATGGACAAGCCAACAGCGCCCTCAGTAGTTCATGCACAGAGCCACTAACTTTTTGACTTTTTTGCATGATTACATCCCTCTTTTAGAGAGTGACACAAATTGTGTCATGTGATCATGACGTCACTTTAATTTTCAAGTGTAACACATCCCTGTCTATGTTCATAGCAACTTTCGACCCGAAGATGGACAAGCCAACAGCGCCCTCAGTAGTTCATGCACAGAGCCACTAACTTTTTTCACTTTTTTGTTTTTCCTTTTCTTTCTTTTCATCTGCTTTACCCCATCAGTTTTTTTCAAAAGCCTCACGATGCCTTGATGGTATGTCAAACAGCGCCCTCAACATTTGGCAAAATAGCCCCTCAAGAGACCTCATACATCTAGCGCCCTCTATGTTCCTGCACAGACCCAGTTACCTCTCCATTTACAACTTACTTTGTTGGCCTTCTCCCGCTCCGCCTCGGCTTTCTGTCGCGCCTCCTCTTCTTCCTGTCGTCGCTTTCGCTCTTCTTCCTCCCTGGCCTTGGTCTTGGCCAGCTCCCTTTCGGCTTTATCTTTGGCTTCTTCTTGCCTCTTGATGTTGAGATAATCAGAAAAAGAAAAGTCATTCCCAATTTTTTCTCCTTTTTGTATGATGATTTTTTTTGGCGTTGCGGCGATGGAAGTTCAATATTTGTTTTTTTGCCCTTCACCAAAATAATTTTACAAGCTGTGTCAACCCTGGCAAGCTATGAGGTTTTGGCAAGAAACATCTTACAAATACTGTTGAATTGACTCTTGTGAATCAGTATTTGTGGCATTTGGCTATATCAGAAGTAGGCTGGAAAATTTTGCCTTTTGCGAAAATCCAAATTTTCGGCAAAAATAATCCTGGCGCGAAGTGGTTAAAATGTGATCATATTTTTATTATATACTCGTATGCGCATCCGTTCCCGTGTTAAATGACACCCACCCTTCTGTCTTCTCGGAGCTCCGCCTCCCTCTTTCTCTTCTCCTCTTCCATCAGTCTTTTCTGCTCTTCCTCCTCTTCGCGCTCTTTCTTCCTCCTTGCCCGCCTCTCCAGCAGTTTGCCGTACTGGCCTGTCCCTTTGGTCTGTTCCCGTGTGATGATGCCTCTCAATGCTGTCAAACACAACATAAGCAAAGCCCGGCATTAACTCTGAAACTCAGTTGGTGCCTTACACTCAACGCATCCAATTTTTTTACCTGTCACAATGAAATCAGCTAAATGTCGCAAACAGGCAATATTCTTCAAATGAATCAGGGTGCCAATTTCTGGGTATAATCACTAGAGAAATTCTGTTTACTACGTCTCTTCACTTATAAAATTTAAAAATTAAAGACTGTAACAAGGTGATCCGCATGTGTCGCCTTTTTCACGGTCGATTCCTATACGTTTTGTGTTCTGAAAAAAAAAGGGTAATATTTTGTGCAGTTTTAAACGACGACCTCAAATGACCTCAAATGACCCCTAGATGACCTTTGACCTCCAATTTCGGAGGAGTTGTGATGAACCCCACCCAAGGATCACTCCATCCCAGTAACATTAAAAATCCATTAAATTCTGTCGACAAATAGACATTTGGAGCATATTTGAACAATGACCGCTAATGACCCCTACACGACCTTTGACCTCAGTAATCCGATGAAGAATTGGGTCTTCCCACCAGAGGATCACTGCATTTTACAAATTTACATCTGCTAGTTGGGCACGGACTGGGGGGGGGGGCACATTGCATTGTTTGGACGACCTAATTCAGGACAAATCCCAGTGTCCCAAAAAAGGGTATTTTTGTACCTATCATCCAAGCCTGCCGGGTGCGCGGATCCGCTGCACTCAGTTCGTATCTTGACTTGTCCTTGTCGCTTTTGTCATCTGTCCAAATCGCAAAGCAGTTATCGTAGTTTTTCTGATCGTCGATGATCTAAAATAAAAAATTCAAATTCGAATCATCAAGGTATCTAAAAAAAAAAAAAAAGAGTTCAAAATAGATGGAAGTACAGTGGCATCCCGGCGGATTTTTCCCGACAAATTTTTTTTCAGCAATAATTTCAATAAAATGGTTAGAGAGTTCTGACATCAGGCACAAAAGAAACCCCGTTTAAAAACCATTTCAATGCGCCGTGAAAATGGGTATATAATTTGCAGTATGCATAATAATGATCATTTTTGAAGAGCGCCCCCATTTGGAAGATGGGTACCAGCCCCCCCCCCCCCCCCTTGATTTTACGGACACCAAGTGTCCGAAAAAAAACAAACATTTCTACATTCCGGCACTGATATGCGGTTGCCCCCCCCCCCCCCCGACATCCAAAGCCGGATACGCTACTGTTGAAGTGGCTGTATTCCATTCCCATAGAAATATGCGTCACTGCTAGCCATAGCCATGTAGTTTGGACGCTGGCTTACCTCGGCCTTCCAAGATGCCTTAATATGGATGTCGCCTTTCTTGTCCTTCTCCTTGCGGCTCGTGTAGTAGGTCAGATGGCGCGGCTTGAGGACAAACCAACGCTCCTTCCAATTCTTCATCACGTGTCCCTTCTTATGCAGAAAGCCCTTTTTGGAGAAACCCAAAAAGAAATGTCAAAATTAAATTATCTCAAGCTGTTATAGCAGTGAAACAACATTTTTCTCTGAGAAAAAATACCATGAGATGATAGAGTGTTTCTTTATTCTTGACAGTGTGTTTGTTCTGTGTGATTTGGAGCTTTTGTTGAAAAGTTAGGACAAAGCTGGTAGAGACTGTCAAAATCTGTTTGGGCCACTTTCTTCACCTTCTTGGTATGTGAATGCCTTTCATTAGATGCCATCAGAGAAAAAAACATCCCAAACCAGCAATTTTTACCTTTTAACCTTGATTACACGCAGGTGCCTCCATATGATTGTACACAAAAAAAGTGGCCCAAAATTTTTTTTTACCTACCTAAAGTACCTACATGTACCCTATTTTCAAATGTCATGTAATCGGAAGCATTTTTCATTTTTATGGCCTAAATAACATCAAACACAATGATCAGCAGAGTTATAGCAGTTTAAAAATACAAAATGATTACAGTCGATAATAAAGGAAGAAATATACCTTGACAGTCAAAACAAATCTAGTGTAGATTGTCAATGGCTGTTGTGGTTATATTCAAAGCTAGAAGGAAGTCTCAGTTTCATTGTGGTGTGAAATTTCCAAATGAAACTTGACCCAGACAAGTGGATACTATTGGTACATAAAGATCATATCAGTACATGTAGTTATCAATGCTGGTTGAATTGTATGGCAAAACAGTGGGGGTCAATGGAATGTCCTTGTAGTTCAAAACATCAGGAACTAGCACTCAGAGAGTGCACACCTCCGCCAAGGCTAAACAATTCCCCGCCATATTGTCAGTACACCCAAAAGAAATACTCGCATAAATGGTGAAGAATCCTTAAAAAGAAATTCCTGGATCCAAACCCAGATCCGGATCACTTCCAAAATCTAATCAATTTGTACTTTTACTAAGGACCACCCCTAACAAAAATTTCATGCAAAGGGTGGGATGTGGTGGGGGTGTTTAATCCAAGTCGAGGATCTGACCTACCTTCTTTTCGACTTCTTCGATGATCTCATCATAAACTTCCATGACAGCCTCCGCGATGCACATCTGATCCATGTCTCGGGCGAACGCCGACTCGAAACAGACCATCATCTTGGTGAAGGTGAACATTTTCAAGTTCTTGGTCACGTGATCGAAACGGGACAGGTCCCACTTCATGCCCATCGCCAGGACCAGCTTCTCCGTCAAGAGAACCATTTCCTCCCGATCGATGGCGACGGGCAGGCTATCCGGCTCGGCGAGGAAGTTAAAAATCTGCCAGAGCTTGCGTAGCTCCGGATCGGCCACCATCTTGTGATCCCGATGCTGGTAGTCCGTCAGGCAGAGCGCCCACAGTGTCTCTTCAAGTTTCTTGAGGTCGACTTTGTCGTTGTTCAGGAAGCCCTCGTTGTCCAGGAACTCCAGGTAGTTGCTGAAACAGACGGCCAGGGTGCTCTCGCAGCGGTACCTCTCTGTGACTTTGTGGGCGATGTTGCCCTTGTTTTCAGAGCCGAGCGAGGCACCGACATGGGCCGTCAGCACCTGAAGATGTCAAAAGCGAAAGATCAAGCGAAATAGTAAAACTACTGTAAACTTCTCATTTGCAACAAAAATTCTGATTTGTACGGTTACTGTTTCATTTGGGCCAAACACTACAACACCAAAAAACACAAGCTTGTTTCAATTTCAAAGAATTTAAAAGGTAACATCACCTTGCCACTACAATATAAAAAATAGTGTGTGTGTGGGGAGGGGGGGGGGGGTGTTTCACGACATCTGACTTCCTCAATGTTCAAAGCGGCTGAATTAGACACTATTGGACAATATGGAGCTACATGTACATGTATTTATTGTAGCATATTTGTCAACACAATTTGGATATCAGGATGACTTCTTTGCTAACAAATACAACACCCCCTCCCCCACACCCAACTCTAGCAACGCCCATGACATACATGCATTGTTATACTGCTGGCCACAAAATAACTAAAAATAGAAGCAAATTCTAGTAGTACTGTGAAGTTGGCCCTTAGAAACGGCCCGTAAATGGGGAGGGGGGGGGCTTTCTTGCCTGTATGTACTAGTAGTTTTATCTTCTCTTCAATTCACAATTTGTTTACACCAATTAAACAATATGTATAATTTTAAATTTGTAAAAAAAAATTCCCTTATAGTCTGTCTCCTTTTGGGGAAGTGGTGGGGAAAATATTCACACAGATTCTAAATATTGTAATCGATACTTTCCTGTTCATTTAATTACGTTTCACTTTCACTTACATACAGATATTATGACCTATTTTTAGTTGATCTAACAATATATTTTGTTATCCTATTTCAACTTTAATTACTTTGAATATCTAAAGCCTAATGAGTCCTAATGCAAATTATTGTGTTGTACATGTGTATCGGTATGTAGCTTTTTTAATTGCCCTAAACTCATGTGCGTGAATATTTTAAGATTTGTTTTACTCACCAGCAAGTGCCAAATGTCTTTTTTATGGTTGATAATAAAAAAACTGAACTGAACTGAATTTATTGAATTCAATAGTAAATACATGTAATATCCGATTGAATTTTAACTTGAGGGCCAAACACATATTAACCCTCCTATGCAAACATACATTCTGTGCAAAGTTGTCCTTTTACTTTTAGTCAAAATCAGTCAAGTGACTGTTTTTAACGGTTGAGTGCTCCCAGCCTACATAAAGCAGGATTGACTGGCTGTGACTGTTTATTTAACTTGCACAGCTATGCCGCGACTGTAGATGATTGATAAGACAGCTGTGCCTACCAGTTGCCACTTTTGTCTGTTGATGGAATATGACTGTCACAGTGCCTACAAAAAAAAATGATCTGACTGTTGGTGACAAGTCTGTGTATTAAAAGGCATGGCAGGGGAACAGGATGGAATTTTTGACTGTCTGTGACTGATAAAACAAAAGGAGGGTTAAATTAATGTTTATCATAAAAAACTGAACTGAACTGAACTGAATTTTATTGATTTGAACTCAAAAATATGTGAAATCCAATTGAATCTCAGTTTGAGGACCAAAACACAAATTAAAAGACACAGGGGGGATATCAGGAGAAAAACAGCATTCATTTCTCAAAATTTGGGAGAGAAACACAAAATGCTGGGCAGTGCTAACCCGAAAATGACAAGCACACCTCTTGAATACAGTGCATGTGAGGTACATGTATACATGTATGCACAATAGTTTTCTGGGTAGCACTGCCAAAGTTCCCAAAAGACTGCAAACGTCCACGTGTACTGGTACTAAACACACCATACAAACCTTCAAATCCTATAGACCATGTCTTCAAATCCTATAGACCATGTCTTCAAATCCTACAGACCATGTCTTCAAATCCTATAGACCATGTCTTCAAATCCTATAGACCATGTCTTCAAATCCTATAGACCATGTCTTCAAATCCTACAGACCATGTCTTCAAATCCTATAGACCATGTCTTCAAATCCTATAGACCATGTCTTCAAATCCTACAGACCATGTCTTCAAATCCTACAGACCATGTCTTCAAATCCTATAGACCACGTTTTCAAATCCTATAGACCATGTCTTCAAATCCTACAGACCATGTCTTCAAATCCTATAGACCATGTCTTCAAATCCTATAGACCACGTCTTCAAATCCTATAGACCACGTCTTCAAATCCTACAGACCATGTCTTCAAATCCTACAGACCATGTCTTCAAATCCTACAGACCACGTCTTCAAATCCTATAGACCACGTCTTCAAATCCTATAGACCACGTCTTCAAATCCTATAGACCATGTCTTCAAATCCTACAGACCATGTTTTCTGGGTAGCGCTGCCAAAGTTCCCAAAAGACTGGATTTGATTCATCTTGTTAATAGTGACCTCATCCAGTATGGTAGCTTATCATGCTTGTCAGGGACTGGCCATTTTAGGGAAATAAAAAACACCAGTTTTGGAGTTTAGACTAACCAAACTATACAATGCAGTGATCGATGAATTGCTATTTTGGGCACAAACTTATTTGACCTTACAAATTTTGTCACGGAAGCAAAAAAGGAACTTGCACACATAACACGTTTTATTTCTAGCAACAAGACATGTTTTTAAAGGGAAGCAAATTGCATTTTCTATGGGCCATTCTGTAAATCAAGGGTCCAAAGTGCGACATTTTCCCATAATGCAGTGTTGGCTAGGGCATCTGTGCTGTTCACAATACACGTCCATACACGGTCGCAGTTGAAAAAATCCGAAGAATTTACAATTGTTCAGAACTTTCCCTGTAGCCTACCCCAACAAACTTTCTTTTGTGCACCGTGCGTTTGCACAATTGTTATCCGCCACGTCATTGCCTAATATGCCCATACAATGTAGGCCTACATCAAAACTGTGCATGCAGTGGACCAAAACTGGGAAGTACTTTAAACAGACTTAAGGAAGAGGAAGTATTTTAAAATTATTTCACAATTTCCAGAGTACATAAATATAAAAGTGTGTACCGTCTACAAAATGTACATGCTCATATTAAAGAGGGTGACATTAAAGTTGTACACTATACAACATTGTTTGCTTACTATGAAATAGTGCTGTGCATTTTTGAGTAATTGAGGTTTCGATTATCCTTACTTGGACTTGATCAAATATTCGAATATTTTAAAAGTGCCGATCAAGTTTGATATGTGCCAACCAATACTTGTAAAATGGCCGCGGATAGGGATTTGCGTGTGCGCTTGTAGAATATTGACAAACAGCTAATAATATAAAGAACATACATACAAATAGATACACACTCAGTCAAATTTTGTAATAATGTAAGTTAATTTTTAATGTACAATCGCATCAGACATCCCATTCATGAATGTTTGTTAAAGGTGATGTACATGTATGTACAACATTTCCAAACATTCAAAAATGTAACTTCCAAATTATAATGAAATATATCCTACTTGATTGTAAGTTGGGCCCTTATTAAATATAAACACGCCATGTACAAATGGGCTGTTGTTGATAAAAATAGGGATGTTCTTCACGTCAACTTTGTTTTCGTTAATTGTATAGCAGACTATCATGGATCCTTAACATTTTTAATGAGCAAAAACAAATTACTGTATTCATAAATACCTAAGACAGTTTACCCATTCCTAATTGGTCGAGAGCTCGTCTCGTGGATGGTTTTAAACTGCTGATAAAACACCGGCTGATTTTAAACGCAATTGGCAGTATGCTGCCGAGTCATGCCAATTGCCTTATAAGGAGAATATACACGCGAGGCACATGCCAGTACCAGAGACATGGCCAGAGGGGTGTTTCACAAAACATGAGGTAAAATTGCTGGAAAAAATTGTTGGAAAATTGTGAATTTTTGACTTGTTTTGACTCTTTGACAAAAGGTATTTACAATAAGTACATCCATGATAATAGAAAAGATGTGGGGTGCTGTGGTCTAATGGTTACGGTGTTCAACTCGTGTGCCGTGGTACATGGGTTCGAATCCTGAGCGTGGGAACATGGTGCTTGCGCTTGAGCAAGGCACTTGACCATTATTGCTTCGTCCTTCGGATGGGACGTTAAGCCGTAGGTCCCCTGTGTTGTGTAATGCAAGCTGAAGAACCCAGTAACATTTATTGCTAAGAGAAGGGGTTTGCCCCAGTGTTTCTGGCAGTGGCTGCTTAATGCGCCGCAGCACCTTGTTACCCTTGTAAGGTGCTACACAATGCGTCTCATATTTCTCATAAAATTTATTCACCTGTCTCTAATAAAATTTCCAGCGCCTTGATTACGTAAGTGTTGGTAGATATATGTGCGCTTTGTAAGAATCTGGTATTATTATTATTATTATTATTACATAAATGGGAATAAAATATGTTTGGCCAGTATTAAACAAGTACCATAAAAACCCCGCTAGGGGCCTGTTTCCAGATAATGGCCCAAACAGAAGGCGAGGGATATTTATTCCCTTAAATCCATGTACTTTCACACTGCAAATTTTGTTTAAATTGACACGCATTTTCAATGCGAATCAAAATAAATCGGTCACTGTGTCTCCCCACCAATTTTTTTCAAATCTGCTGGTTTCAAAGAGGAGGTCACGTATCATCTTTTGTCCCACCAACAAATGACATCCTATAGTTCCTGGTTGTGGGAAAAACATGTGTAATTTGCGAGGACCGTGGCGATTAGAACGTTGACAGGAAACAGAACAGGAAACAGTATAGGATAGTGACAAAGATATTTATCAATAAATTCACTGTGAATTTAGCAACTTGACTTCGACAGGAAAAGAATCACATGTTCAGTTGCCCATGTGCTGTACACCAATGTGTACAAAATGTGTAAAAACTTTTACTACAAAAATATTCAAACACGAAAACGCCCAGTTTTTAAAGGATATTATCTAGTGGTGTGACTGTTTATATCCTAGTTTTAAATGTTCTTTTCAATTAACATCATTTCATTCAAAACACGTTTTGTAGCCCACTTGGGCTCATTCCAGGCTGCGATATTTTTTATTACACAACTATCTGGGGTACTTTGTGCGCTTTCCTTTGGGACATTTTTTAAAATAAACAGGCTGGAGTGGAGGCTACTATTTTTCAACTTGGTACGGATTTTGGACTTTATTTCCCTTAAAAAAAAAAATCCTCCAGAGCCTCGGATCAGACAAGAAAAAGAATATTGCTGCTATACAAGTAGCATCCTACTGAAAAGTAACATTTCTAAGATAAAACTTTGACTTTTTGAATAAAAGAGCAAAACCCGAAGTGTGGAGAGCAGGGAATCGAACTCGGGACCTCAAATTACTAGCCAGCCTGCATAACCACTAAGCAACGGCGGTGCTCGATCAGCCCTTGCAATTCATAAATTATATACTTTTGCACATGTGAAGCGAGTATACGCGCGCGCGCGTAGGTAAAAAGGTTACAGGATGGAGCCTTGATTCAAGTCGCCTGAAAAATGGGTACCCTGTACTATTGTGTAAATAAAATATTGGCTTCCAGGCTGCAGCGTCCCTTTAAGTCTGTATTTTCAGTACAATCAATTTAAAGGTCAAGGAAACTCACAACTTTTCTAGAAAAGAAAATAGACTGGCACATAAACAACCAGTCCAACAACTCTTCAGTACTGCATCAATCAACTGTCGGCTAAACGTTCCAAAAGGACGTCTGGTACAAGGTCACTATTTCTACACAGTTCTCCTTAGTCAGGCACCGGACTAATGACAATGAATTAAAAAGTCAGTCTTGTCAAATAGTTGGACCATGGATGGACATGTAGAAGTCTAGTCTTAGCCTCATTTTGAAATCACTTGACTTCCCTCTCTTGTGCAAGCCACTGCCGAATACTGAAGAAAAGTCTCCTTTAAAAATTGAATTCACTCTTCATACTCGATTGGTGAAACACTGAGGAACTTTTCTTTTGCCCAGTAACAGTTTTGGAGAAATTTGCTGGTTGAAGAGTGAGTAAAGTTGGCCTGATCTTCTTTTGCATCGTTTTGAGCACTTATGGTCCCAGTCTGGGTTTGAACGTGCTCCGGTCACGAATTTTGTAGCTCTTTTACCAGCATTGCACTGAACATGCACAAGTGTTTTTTTGGGACTTAGACATTTTGACCGTGACGAATCTTCATCTGGTTCCATGCTTTCAATGTTGTTGAGACTTTGTATTCACGAGATGGGAATCAGACCTAATGCAATTTCAGACTTTAAAATTTCCCTTAAAAAAAAGCACCTCCAGAGCTACGAATCACTTTTTTTCTTCATAGGCCTATATCATTTTTTCAATGAAGATCATTGCAATAAATGCAAAACTGATAAGACATGAATCTGGGACTGAGAAACATTTCCAATTTTGTTATGAAATACTTAAAAAATGTTCTTGACTCTCCAAAGACTTTGTACACAATCGCGGAAGTGGCGTCAGGTTGCAACACTTTTCCCCAGTATTTTTTAACACCCCCCCCCCCCCACTGCGATCGTGAAGTGTAGGGCCCGGTTCCTATAAGGGAACAAAATCCACTTTAAAATTATTGGACCTACCAAACTAGTTGGCGACATTCTCAATAAACAGGTATGTCATAGATAGAGGGCAGGGTTTTGATTTTTTGAGGGAAATTTGGGGGTAAAATGACGATGACAGCGCGGCGACAACACGCGACCGGAAAATAAAGATGGCGATCACCGCGCGAGGTACCGTGAGCACGCACGGCACGCTGAATCGCAAGGCACAAACCGCGCAGGAAAATCGTGATTTCTACCCCAAGAATCTGTTCAAAATTGTAAAATGGGTGTCATTATCAATCAATCAAATCTTTAATTTTTCCCAACACATACAAGTACATAATAATATTACTTAACATTTGAATTATTGTGTATGGCTGGATGGAGGTCTCCAAAAAGCATAAGCTTGTCGAGTGGAGACCCCCACTGTAATAAAGAACAATTACAATTACAATTACAATTACAGTTACAATTAATTACAAGTACAAGTACAAACGATAGGAGTTAAATGACAAAAACATATTGGTACAGAGCTAGTAATACGAAATAAAACTAGTTATTTGGTCTTACAAAATGGGATTATTCTACCACACATTTGTTAATTAATTGGGTTTTGTATTTGCGTTTGAATTAAGAATTAAGAAAAGTCTGCTTTTGATTGTAAAGGTGATTTTTGAGCAATAAAAATATTTTTGACTCTAATTTGATAAAAACAAAACAGCGGCCCTACACTTCACGATCGCCTCCCCCCCCCCCCCCCCCCATGACCGCCCCTACCACAAGAACCTTTCTCAGGAGGGCCCCCTTACCTTGAGTTGTTGCGGATCGACCGTTCCTTCGCTATCCAATCCATTGAAAGCGTGCCACAGCCACCGTTTCACATATTCATTCTTATCCATTACTGCTCGTAAATTCGTAAACCGACTCAGGAAAATGTCCTCCGAGTAACAAACGTCAGTAGTTTTGTTTAAAAATTCAACTGTTTTGCATATTTATCATTTTACGAAACTTTTTAGATGATTTTAGATTCAACAAGTGTCACTGTATGCACGTACGCCTTGAAACTTCGCAACTGTTTCCAACTTGGAGTCAACTTATTATTTGGGGGTGCTAGTATTCGATTGTCAACGCCATGTTTATTTCATTCAACCATAGAACTTGAATTTATCATCACTATCAAACTGTTTTACGCTCTCAGCATGTATATACCATATTTTTGTGCCATTATTCTCACTATCAGCAGGTGAATATTTTCTTTACAACACATTTTTTTTCCAGTTATTAATTTATTTCCCTATTTGAATAATGGTACGGTCTCAAAGTTCAGAACCCGGAAGTGCCCGCTGAGCTCAACTTCCTGGATCCTGGTCCGGGTTGAACGGAGAGGGCGGGCTAGGGTAGGCATGGTAAACAATAAATATGTCTGTCACTGTCAGGAAATGTCTCAGAGTTACTTCAATGTTAGGAAGCAGTTTTTACAGATACCACCACAATTTGAAGTTGAACTGTTCTGCAATCCAAAGAGCCAATTTACAACTTCTCAACTGTGCCAGCAGTTGTCATGACAACCACATCCACTTGCCTCCACTGTCCGCAAGGAGAATGAGCAGTAGTGGAAGGAGAACCTGTCACCATGGTAACCAGTCCCAAAATGGGCTGGTAAGTAATGACGAAGACGTCATAAAACGGTTCATCGTGGACAACACAGAGGTCGACCGAAGTCACCTGACCCCGGAGATTGCGCTGCGCCTGATGACACCCGCCTGTCCACTGTGGGATGCCCCGGCCCAGCAGAGCTCTGATATCCTACAGCATCATGGGATTGACGATCCATTCTGGGCATTCTATTGGCCTGGAGGTCAGGCACTTACAAGGTGCCTGAAAAATTCAAGCTTGAGCGAAAGACTTTGAGAAAATATTAGGGACATCACTTCAAAGTTCAAGAGGGGTGAAATGATCAAGGAAAATTTAGCTCTACATCATGTACAGTCGGAACAAAGAAATGCACAAGTTTACAAACTTACTAAGATGTACCCAACGCATTTATATATCAGATTATGAGCAGTTCTAGACTAAGGTTTTTTTTAGGGGGGGGGGGGTTCCAACACAATTTTAAATCATCAATTTTGAGAACTGGGTTTTCATTTTCAATTCCTTTGGACTTTATGAGAAAACAAATATAAGCGAATGGTTTTGGGGAAAAAAGGCAAACATTACACAAATAGGACAATTTTTACATATTAATAGAAATTAATTTAGAAAGTTTTTGTTTTTAGGAATTGAAAGTAATTTTATTTTGGGGCGGGGTTTTGTAATTTTAAGGCATAAACCAACATAATTTTACAATTATGCAAAAAAGAAGACCTTTTTGTTTATCTTAATTCAAGCAGGTACATTCTTGACTACCCAAGTGTCGTCTCTGGTAAGGATGTCCTAGATGTCGGAAGTGGGTGTGGGGCGAGTGCCATCGCAGCATCTATGAGCGGGGCCAGATCAGTTCTTGCCAACGACATTGACAGAGGTATACGGACTCTTCATGACCATCTTGTTACCTCATGATAGCCTGGCTCCCGCTCCCTTATAATATGAATTTGGGATGGATGATAAGGGACTGGGAACCAGTCTACCCTCACAAGAGCTATCTAAAAAAAGAATGAATGTATGCTGTGAATTATTTATTCATTAATCAATTTATTACTTGATTCACTCCATTCATTGTCCAGTTTCGATACAGGCCCTCAACCTAATGCTGACCGGAATGCCAACCACTGATTGGCTTGTCAGCAACCAATGAGATGTTGCGCTTAATCCTTGGGGATATGAGAGCTAATAATTACTATCAAATAAACTCATGAATATGATTATTCATTCATTTATTCATTTATTCATTTTGCAGTTTCAATACAGACCATCAAACTCAATGCTGAGCTGAATGATGTCACCGTGGCAACCACTTCCAGGAATCTGGTTGGCCAGTCAAACAACCAATGGGATGTCGTGCTCCTTGGTGACATGTTCTATGACAAGGACTTCACAGACACAGTCACTGATTGGCTGAAGCATCTGGCTGATGTTGGTACAACGGTTCTGATTGGTGATCCAGGGCGGATATTCTTGCAAGACCATCCAGTCAAACGCCGACTTGTGAACATTTTTAAGGTTGATTTGTCAGAGAAGTGTCGGCAGGAGAACAACGGAATGACGCAGGGTTTTGTTTGGAAGTTGTGTGAGTCGGAGAGGTGACATGAAGTTCAGCTGCATCAACCTTTTTTTCTTTTTAATTCAGCATTATAGTGGCAGTTAAGCCAATCATGACTCAGTCATAGGGCAATCACAAGTCTTAGGTCAGTCACGTACGTCATCATAAGTCAACATCATTAAATCATCATAGGTCTATCATAAGTCGATCATCATTGGGCAATATATAAACTTTATTGCATTGACCATTGTTCATGATGAATTATGCATGAAGCCTGTTTAAATATCACAGATAAGTAACAAGCGCCATTTTAATATCAGAGACAACCTAAATTTGTCCCCCATTTTTCCCCGAGGAAAAAAAGCTGTATACAATTGTACAATAAAAAAGAATTGTTAAGCCTCTGACGAGTGTCGATAATCCCCTGGATCGTGGACAAATAAAGGAACATCTGTTGTATGAAATTGATAGTCTGTTGATTGCTTGTCATGGTTTAAAAATATATTATGTTAAAGTATTAATATCACGGAAATGTTTCAAACAATTAAATAAATACATGTATAGCGTGAGGTCATGACTTTCTGTCATTCAACCCCCAAAATACTCGGTTGGGGGCCGGCTCCAAAAACATGTTTTGTATTTTTAAAAAAAATTGTGTCTGTTGATTTCTTGTGATGTTTAACAGACATAGTGTAAAAATCAAGAAGGATGGTGAAGCAGAAATAGTCAATAAATTGCGCCGTCACAAAACAACGGTGCCAGTGATTACGGGCAACTAAAAAAAGAGGGCGCCATAACAAAATAACGGTGCCGGTAATTACCCAATTACCACGGTTAATTACATAGAGGGCGCCATAACAAAATAACGGTGCTGGTGATTACCACAGTTAACTACAATAGAGGGCGCCATAACAAAATAACACAGCCGGTGATTATGGGAAACCAAGATAGAGGGCGCCATAACAAAAAGCAATACCGGTGAATTAGGGAGAGAAAAACCATATTTCGTTTAAATCTTCTGTCTATTTTGTCTTCTTTTTGTGACAAATCTTGGCGAAAATTCAAATCAATGCTCCAATTAACTTTTGAGATAGCATGTTGTCGTAGACTATCGTTCCTGCGCAAAAGTGAGGCAAATGTTCTGTTTGGACTGCCATTGCAGCCCATCTTTAATTGCTACGTGTTGCGACACAAGACACTGTTAAGAGAGAGTTTGTCTTGTTTTCATGACCAATCATCTGGCAACATTTCAATTCAATGCTCCAATTAATTTTTGAGATAGCATGTCCTCTTGGACTATCGTTCCTGTGCAAAATTGAGGCAAATGTTCTGTTTGGACTGCCACTGCGCCCATCGCCAATTTTGCCACGGGTCGCGACACAAGACACTGTTTAGGGAGAGAAAAACAATATTTCGTTAAAATCTTCTGTATATTTTGTCTTCTTTTCGTGACCAATCATCTGGCCAAAATTCAATTCAATGCTCCAATTAATTTTTGAGATAGCATGTCCTCTTGCACTATCGTTCCTGTGCAAAAGTGAGGCAAATGTTCTGTTTGGACTGCCACTGCAGCCCATCGACAAGTTGTTCTCCGTGTCGCGACACAAGACACTGTTTAGGGAGAGAAAAACCATATTTCGTTTAAATCTTCTGTCTAGTTTGTCTTCTTTTGATGACCAATCATTTGGCCAAAATTCAATTCAATGCTCCAATTAATTTTTGAGATAGCGTGAAGACGTGTTCGTTTGGACTGCCACTGCAGCCCATCGCCAAATTTTGCTACGTGTTGCGACACAAGACACTGTTTAGGGAGAGAAAAACAATATTTCGTTAAGGTACATTGTACTTTACGCACCAAAAACACTCTTTTGTTTTTTTTTTGGAGATATTTGAAAAAAAGTAATAAAAAGGTAACTTTAATACAACCAAGGAGTCTGTTGTTCTCATCGTCAAATCCGGCACCGTTATTTAGTTATAGCGCCCTCTATCTTGGTTGCCCGTATTCACCAGTATTGATATTTTGTTATGGCGCCCTCTATCTTAGTTGCCCATAATCACCGGCACCGTTATTTTATTATGGCGCCCTCTCTTGTAGTTAACTTTGGCAATCACCGGTCACTGGCACTTGTTATTTTGTTATAGCGCCCTCTATTGAGTTAACGTGGTATTTACCGGCACCGTTATTCTGTTATGGCGCCCTCTTTCTTTGTTGCCCCAAATCACTGACACCATTATTTTGTGATGGCGTAATTTATTGACTATTTCTGCTTTGCCATCCTTCTTGATTTTTACACTATGTCTGTAAAACATCACAAGCAATCAACAGACTTAATTGTTTTTAAAATACAAAACATGTTTTTGAAACTTTTGGCCCCGATCCGAGTATTTTTTGGGGGTTGAATGCAGAAAGTCATACATGCATTTATTCAATTGTTTGAAACATTTCCTTGATATTAATACATGTACTTCGTTTTTAAACCATGACAAGCAATCAACAGACTATCATTTCAATTTCATACAACAGATATTCCTTTATTTGTCCACGATTCGGGGGATTATCGGCATTCATCAGAGGCTTAGCAATTGGTCATTTGATTGCCGGGGGTGGGGGTTTAAAAAGTTTGTGAAAAGGGCACTTACAAATAATCCATACTGAAATGTACAAATGTACAGGTTTTTTTCCGCTGGGCAATATGGACGACAAAGGTTGTCTCTGATACTAAAATGGGGCTTGTTAATATCTGTGATATTTAAACAGGCTTCATGCATAATTTATCGTGAACAAGTGTTTTATACATCATATTTGTGTGCAGAACGAGGAGACAAGTTTCATGTTTTTACATGATGAGAATAAATAAATAAATAAATAAATAAAATAAACAATGGTCAATGCAATAAAGTTTATATATTGCCCAATGATGATCGACTTATGATAGACCTATGATGATTTAATGATCATTGACTTATTATGACATGACTGGCTTAAGACTTGTGATTGCCCTATGACTGAGTCATGATTGGCTTAACTGCCACTATAATGCTGGATTAAAAAAAAAACCAGGTTGATGCAGCTTAACTTCATGTCACCTCTCTGACTCGCACAACTTCCAAACAAAACCCTGCGTCGATTTTAATCATGCGCGTCAACCTTTTTTCTTTCTTAAAATTAACACGGAAGCTACAACAGCGCCCTCTGTTGCCGCACCTCCTCAAATTTTTGTACCAAGGAGCACCAAGGAATGGAGAAATTGCACCAAGGCAAATGATACAGGGCACTAAGGCAAATTATGGAGGACATCAATGTATAATGAGGACACAAAAAAGCAAAAAGCAAAATAGTACCCACCTTGTCTGTACCATTCAAGCCTGGAAAAAAAGCCAGCCACCCCCCCCCAAAAAAAAACCCGCGTCGCCACATCAATTCTGGAACTTTGGTCTGACCAGAGACCGACTTTTTTTTGTTTTGGCCTAACGTGCAGTGGGCGAGGTTTAAAGATATAGTCCATCATTTGTAATTTGTGGATTTTGTTCGTTTGAAGCATCAAAAGTGTTCAACATCTAAAGAAGGGTGCTGAACAACTAACCTGATGAAGTTTCAGCTCAGCTTCAGCTGTATATTCCGAAAAAAAACAGCATTCTACTAATTTAAATTTTCCTACGGGTTCCTTCCTCCATGGTAGGTCTCAAGACGCACCGTTGGAAAGGCCTTCTTTCGTTGATTACTTCAACGTGATAGCTTGCCAGAAAGATTAATTTCACAGGGAGTTGAGTCCACTTACTATCTTTCAACCAAGTATATGTATGTTTTTCAACATTAATACGCCAGTTACTTTTTCGGATGGCTGAAAATGATGGACTATAGCTTTAAACTGAAGTGACGTAACACCATAGACTAACAAATCGATAGATAGTAATTGTGCTGCCGGGGGACAGAATTACCTGCCACACCGGCTGAGACTAGACATCGACAGTGATCTCCGTATCATCAATGGTTTTGCTATTTATGCCCCGCCTCTGCCATACATATGCAAACTATCTAAAAGCCTACCCACGTGTTCTCGGAAGCGTGATCGTATCGTGCTTATAAAAACGGGTGAAGTTATCGAGTGATCATCAAGTCAAATTGTCTCGTCGACGGAGCTAGAGTACGTCGTTGTAGGTTGTGCATTCTGGATTCCCAAAGCTGACAAATTTGTGGATATTTCTCCTTTCAACTGGATTTTGTAGGGAAGTTAAAACATGGAAACTAGAGCGTCAACTTGCATGTGTGTCGTGGTATGCGTTGCTGCGTTACTGTCCATTGCAGCCGCTGGTTAGTATTTAATTTATGTTTGTAGTATTATTTATTTAATCAAGTCATGGAACTGGAAGGTCCATATGTAAATTGTCTTGTTATTTACTCAACAATGACTGATTCAGTTGTGTATTGCGATTTTTGAGATTATGACTTATCAGATGATTAATGAATAACTTTTTTACGGCCGACACATGGCCGAGTAATATAGTTTCTCGTACGGGCTTTAAAAATGAAGCAGGCCTCTTCGGGCATAAAAATGGTGCAACTTGCAACTTGACGCCACTTCAGCGTTTCGCGTTGTGCCTTAAAAATTTCGAGGTATTTCCTTACACAATTTGGAATGTTTCTCAGTCCCAGATTCATGTCTTATCATCATTTTTGCAATGACTGACCTTCATTGAGATGATATATGAAGGAAAAAGTGGCGTCAGATTGCAACATTTTTTTTCTCCAAAATATTGAAAAATGATTATTTGGAAAATGCATTGCAATGAAACATAAGGAGGCGTGTACGTGTGGGGAAAAGTGGGCGTGGTCGAGAAACTCTTTTTTATTTTTTTCCTTGACATGGTCCATGCATTGTTTCCACTAAGCAAAAAAATACCTAGAGGCAAAAAAGATCCAAATTGTGCAATACTCATCAACAGTTTGCCTAAAAACTATTCACATACAATTATAAATTCCTAGACTTAAAACAAGCAAATTAATTGTACACAAATTACAACAATATATAGTAAAAATGAATGGAGTAAAAGACTATCCCCGTTTCTGATTTGGTGAAGTTCTGATCAACTCCCGACTTTAAAAATAATTTTTATTTTTCACCCAATTTTATTTTTCAGCTGGCTGGGATTACCTAGATGGTGCAAAAGGTAAGAACTTAATTTTTTTTATTAAATGTCCTCAGACTGTAAATTTGTAAAGATTAGATCAATTATGGAATGATTCATTTTATAAAAGGTGGGTGTGTAATGGGGGAGGGGCAGGGAGTTACGGTATAAGCTTTAACTAGGGTTTTTTTGGAGGAAAGTAAACTTTAAATCAGATTTCATTTCTATAGCTTGCAAAACTTGCGCTTTGATTGATTTTGTATTCATGTGGACTAGCATCAAAAACTGTAAACCATAGACATGGGCAGAGTAGCTCAGTTGGTAAAGCACCAACATGGTGTCTGCCGGTTACAGGTTCACAGCCCCTCCGGTCATTTTCTACCACTTAATTTGATATCCAACATTTGTATTACTTTCCAGGGCCTAGTACTTGGGCGACAAACTATGAAACATGTGGGGGCATGAAGCAGTCGCCGATTGACATTGTAACATCCAAGGTGGTGGATGAAGACTTGGGCGACTTCACTTTTGTCGGTTTCGGAGAAGATGATGAACCGGTCGATGCAGAGATGACGCTGGAAAACAACGGCCATTCAAGTAAGTCTGGTGGTAGACACATTCTATGAAAGGCTGGACATTTGTTTGGCATTAATTTGTCACCCTTGGCACATCTAGGACAAAATCCACCAAAATCCAACCAATTGGATTCCGTAGGATTTTGATGGAATCGGAACCCAGCTACTATTACTTAACATGGAGTATGGTATCCCAATTTTGGTACAAGTACAAAAAAGTGTGTCATTTGCATATTGAACTTGTTTGATTTTGTTAGAATCAGGTCAGTTTCCATTAAAATTGCTTATTATTACTTATGAACAAAATTGAATGGCCCAACGTTCTAATCCTAACAGAATCTATCTGAAAGACAAAAAACCCTTTCAGAAAAATTATATCGTTTAATTTTGCCTTTGAGAAAGATTTTGTTGGGATTGACTCATTCGGCTGTCTGATTTTGTCGACTTGTATGTTCTGGTAAATCAGTCAGTTAGCAGTTTGCAGCAGTTTTTTCATTTTCATTTTTACAAAGTTGTTAAAGCCACTGTCAAGACTGTACAAAGACAGTACTTAAGATCGTCAAGCAAATATTTTCTCATTTCTACATAGGGGTGTGCAAACTTATATTGAAATTGGAGGATTCAGGACTGTTGGGGCTATCACCTCCGAATGCCCAAGGTCTCAAAACTACAGTCTGGTGTCTGTCCACACCTCAATGATTAAGTGCTTGAATGTCAAAACTTCGCCAGCTTTATTTGGAATCGGTTGTGTGTCAACTCATGGCTTTCAGCCCTTTATTAATGGCTTTCACCCAGACATGCGATGAAATTGATTGCGACAGTTGAAATCCCAAAGGATTTGGACATTTTGAAGCATTTTCAGGAAAAACCCTGAACTGCTTTTGAACAAAAGTCAGGAAGTGATTCTTCAAAAAAAGGAAAAAAATTCCTATTGTAAAGAGTAGTTGCTTGTAGTGAGGCTTGAATAGTACTGGTGAAGTTGTATCAGTAAATATTTTACAGACAAATAATATAATTATGGGAATAAGTGAGATATAACTTTGTATTTTTTTTACACGAGGCACTCCATACAAATCTGGATTCTGGGGAGGAGAAGATCATGGGCGGAGCTATAAGTGAACTTGGGTACATTTTGTGTGTGTGTTGGGGGGGGTTGAGCAATTCATCTTTCTGGATTTGACTGTAAGCCACGCCCACCTTTTTGTTTGTATATGTACATACACTGCCTAATTGTGACCAATAATTCGGTCACTTTAACAAAAGTTTCAAGTCAATGCACACTGTTTGATTGACAGGAATAAGGGAGGGCACGATTGACTTTGCCACTTTGATAACAGGCACAGACCAGCGTATATGTAATAGACTTTGATTTCCTTTGTTTTTCAGTTGTAGTTGGTGTCACCGGAGATTATCAAGTGAGTGGCGCTGGGCTAGGCACCACCGCCTACAAAGTGGTCCAGTTTCATTTCCACTGGGGCAGCGTGAACAGCCAAGGTTCTGAACACACCATCGATGGGAAGGCTTACCCAGGGGAGGTAAGCATTGTATTCCCCCTCCAGATTCTGTCATTCCTTCCCCATCTGTGGGTTTATTTTTTAGAAATATGCCGCCGCCCCCACAAAAAACTGAAGTCAAGCCCCTCCCCCCTTGATAAGTTTATAATTAAAATGTTTTTATAAACTTTCCCACTCCCAAAGTCTTTAGCCCCGGCACAAAATCTCAAGCCCCGCCCCAAAACTCTCTAGCCCTGCCCAGAAGATCTCTAGTCCCACCCAAAAACATTTCTAGCCCTGCCCCAAATTTTGTTAGCCCCGCCCCCATATATTTAAAATAAGATGTTCTTATGCACCAGTGCTGCCCCAAAAATATTTAGCCCTGCCCCAAAAAATCTCTAGCCTTGCCCCCTAAAGTATCTAGCCAATTATTTCAAATGTTCATAAAAAAATATGTAAAATGCATATGCAAATTACAGAAACTAAATTTGCTCAGCAGAAATGGTTACCAGTTAAATGATTGTGCATTATACATTTATATGTTGCTTGTGACCGGTCCCTGGCTAATTTTTGCTGATCACATAAAGTCGTTAAAGCAGGATAAAAGCTCTATTAAAGTGATCACTTGGGAGGGGGGGGGGGGGGAATCCGAATGTATATAAAAAGAAGTGAACAAATGTTGAAAAGGTTAGGGAAAGGTAAAACAATTGCTGTCAATTCAAGTTGGTTTAAATCTTACCAAAGCTTAAATTTCTTATCATTGTATCAAGCTTTCTTCTTTTTTTTTTTGTTGCTTAACACAGCAAAAAAGAAAGAAAAACAATCCGGGATGTTAGTTGTCTCAAAATTCTGCCCCACTGTTTAGAAGTTTCATCCATAAATCCACTGCAGTCAAAGCGTCACTTCGCATTGAAGTTGTATCTTGAGGGTTGCCATGACGATGCCGATCACACATTGCTGCAAGGCTTAACAATATAAACAGTAAAAAATAATGATCACTTTTCTCACCTGTTATTCTGTTTTGATTGGATTAGCGTCGGTAAAACAATTGCTGGCACTTTATTCAGTGCCAATCGAATATCTTTATAAGTTGCCGAAAGGCTTAAAAATATAAACAGTAAAAAAGTCCAATGACTTTTCTCACCTGTTGTTCAGTTTTGATTGGATTAGCGTTGGCTGTGTGTAATCTGATTGATATGTGGGTTATTTCAACTGGGTCTGGGGTTACCTTAGCCCCCCCCCCCCCAAAAAAAACCCCTGGTACTTGGAAGGGTTACCAGATGCAAATTATTTTTGGCCTATTAAACCACAGTGGCTGGTATTGCATAGTTGAAAATTGCATAACCAAAACCAGTGCTCTTTAACACATTCAATTGTTTTTTTTTTCTCCTAATTTTAACTAAATTATACATGCATGTTTTATTTCCAACCAAAAATTCCTTTTTTGGGGAGGGGAGAGGTATTAACAACCCTATGAAAAAGGTTCTTGAATATTGAGTATTTTGTTGTACTGGTTTTATGGCGTAAACCAGTTTATACCCTGAAAGAACGGACTTATTGTCAGTCTGCAAGTAATTCACATTTTGTAAAGTAATAACTCATTTTGACTAAACGTGGGCGGATTTTTGGTTCAGTCAATGTCTCGTTTTAAAGTGCATAACTTTTGTATAGCTAGAATAAAAAAGCGATTTAGAAAGGAAACTCATTTCTTTGGGGGGGATGAAACTCGAAATAACACGGGAAACACAAGTTTACTTCCATTTCATGGGAATTATTCGTGGCGTCTGCATTTCCTTTGACAAATTAAGTTCGCTTCGGGTGGGCTGCAGTGAATCATTCAAAGTTCAGGCAGCCAAAGACGATGTGATTGAATTAATTGTTGAAATGTTTTTCAAACTCCCTTGGGATAACAATTACCCTCGATGTGATTAGGGCAGGTGTGAAAATATGTCAAACACAGTTGCTAATGTTTATCTTTGAAGTCTATAATAGGTGTCACCAATAATATTCCATATAATCAACATGGTGGGAAGTTGGTTGAGAGTTTTACAATCTAATACAGAGTTAAATCAGCTGTGGTCTGGTGAAAGAAACTGGAAAGTCCACATGCTGACAGAATTTTCAAGCCGATTGCTTGTTTAATCAATAGAAAGGGGAACCGAACTGGAATCTATCACAGAAAAAGAAAAACATTGCTGTGTAGGTTTCACTTTTGCTATGATATTCATTCCAACTGCTAGTTTTTGATTTTTGCATGTTTCTTTTCCCTTTATCTCTGCAGCTGCACGTCGTTTGCTTCAACACAAAATACGCAGATTTCGTGACTGCTTTGAATGAACCCGATGGGCTTACTGTTCTGGGATTCTTCTTAGACGTAAGTTATATTGAATTCTTTCCAACACCCCTCCCCCTTCAGAAAACTTTAATACATCAAGTACCTCATTAAAAAAGATGAAATGACAGATTCCTTCTTCCAAAATAATAATAATAAAAAAAAAAAAACAACACATTTTTCCACCACTGACTCTTTTGTGAAAGTTCCACACTTTTTCGCGAAGAGATTACTTTCCATGATGTACACGCTGCGAGACTCACAACTCTTTAAATTTTTAAATCTTATTTATTGGTTTCATTAATGATTAAAAGCAAAACATATTCTTTGCTGAATGACACTGTCTGGCATTCAAGGCTAAAAGGTCATCGACCCTAATGACCAATAGCTCATGTAGGTTTTCTACACTTTTCCCTGTGTGATTTTGCAAAACTTGCACATTTTTACTCTGGGAAAATTTGCCTCGAATGCTTCACAGTGGTGCGGGATTTACAAAGGGGAGTAGTTTTACCCCCCCCCCCCCCCCCTCTTTGGCAGGAAAAATAGAGGAAAATACCAAAAATTCCTTGTAAACCCCTTTTATATTTCTAACATTGAAATGAATAGGGCCTTTCAAATAGCAAAAAAAAGTACAGCCTAGTTTGGGTTAAAGGCCAAATTCTTTCCAGTTTGTTGACCATGTGTGATGGTTTCCTTGACAAGACTTGAATTAAAGTTGAAAAAAAATAATAATAAATGTCCTCATAGTGCCATCCATATAGCACACCCTCCTCCTCTTCACCAAGGATGAATTCATCCGGCAGCAATTGTTGGGAAAGGACACAATTTCAATGAACTTTTAGGATACCCTGAGGGGTGCCCGTTTTGAATTCAATCTCTGTTAAATACACAAAGCAACTGATTTTGGCAGTCATTTTGAATCATTCTTTGCGTATACAACCTTGAGATATTTTCCCCAGTGAATAATAAAGGTACAATGCGTAGGCTCTATTGGAGGTTACTTTCAAAGCATTTTTAAAGGGAAGAAACAACATTTCAAACATCAAAAAACAAAATAGTCAAATTATCACAAAATACCCGACTGGATTGTTAGGGAATGACAGTCTAAAGCATCCTGTAAAATCGTGGCTCCTGGTGTGCTGACATTTTCAAGAAAAATGGTATTTTTCCAACGCTGGTCGGCCGACAAGCGTTGGAGAAAACTTTTTTAAAAACTGCTCCTAATTTTAATTCCGCATTTTCTTTGCAATCGATTACACACCTGTGTAGGGGTACAAGCCTGCTAGACTGATTCTCTGACCTTACAATTCCCCAAAGTCTATAAATTGCTCCATTTCATCTTAAGAGGGGTCAGGGAACCAGACTACAAGATAATGGTTGGTTTTCTTGGATTTCCCAGCATTTACGAGCCCAAAATGTGAAGCAAGTCAGTTTAATAATATTTGCTATAACATACTAATCCTCCAAATCCATTTATTCTGAAAATTGCAGCAAAAGCAAATGTTGTACGGTACATTGCCTTTAAGGCTGTGCCAAATGTCCATTTATTTGTGTATTCGATCATTTATCCGAATATTCAAACATTTACTGAATATCTCTTTATTCGATTTGAATTCTCTGACGGGAAATGTATCTAGTACCGGGTAGGAGTAAAAGGAGGGGAAACGATCATTTGGTTTATACAATGGGTTGTTTATTTGTTTGTTTGTTTGGTTGGTTGGTTGGTTGGTTGGTTGGTTGGTTGGTTGTTGTTGTTTTTTGGTTGACCGACTGACTGACCACACACTCACTATCACTTGTGAATTAGACTTGCTCTAAGTCTTACCTTGTTCAAAAAAGTTTGAAATACGATTATGATTCGTAACGCCAACTGATAGGCTGAATCTTGTCCATTGTGTATAGGCCAACCCCTGATTTGCAAACCATTTGCCTAAATTTTCTGAATCAGTTAGCGGATTTCTCAGTTCATAACAGTGCCATGAAATCAGGCCTGGTCATACTCGTACACAAAACCTGTACTCTTTACATGTGCAAAGTTTCAAGTCATCCTCACACAAAAAGAATAGAAAAATGTACGTGTACAACAGAGCACAGGGTAAATTTGTTTTAAATTCAAGCAGGGATGTACAGTTGTTGGTCCTCCTGCAATAGCCTGATTACAGGCTTTTTTAATTGTAAATTGGGCACCATGGATGTGTGTAAATCCTTCAAATCATGTACCTCAAGTATCAGGAAAAAATGTCAGAGTAGCTAGTAGTAACATTTATTTAAATGATGTCATTCATTACAATTATGTACCATTATGTATAACTTAGAAAAGGTCACAAGTATAATATTTGATAGTTATGAACGGTACACAGTGATTAATTATAAAGTGTGAAATTAAATGACAACATTTAGGTATAAGGTTAAGCAGAACGCTTTTGTGCCCTTACCTATGGACAAACATACGACCAAGGGACAAAAAAAACAACAATACGTGTCGTGAGACAGGACAAGTGTGAGACAAGGCCTAAATATTAATACACAAAATAATGGAATTTCAATTTATGAATATGATTCGAGAAAATGAGTTTTTAAATTTTTGACAAAGACAGATAGTGAAGGTAACGATTTAAGAGAATCATCTAAGCTATTCCAGTACAAAGTGCCTCGCTGAATAACACTATTTTTTTGACATTTAGACGTTCTGTTAAATTGGATGAACATATTTCCCCTAGCACTACTTCGAGTGTTAGATGAATGTTAGATGCTTAGGTAAAACAAGAATTAAAACATGCCGGAAGTAAATTATGCTTAAGGAGAGCTTAGTTTAAGGAAAGCTTTGAAAGTTTTGACACATCTTTCAACAATCATTACTCAACTGTCAAGATTTTCTTGTCATATGCAATCAATCATTCATAGTACAATGTATGCATGCCAATAAATGCCAATTTGTTGGTTTTTATTGTTAGTTGGAACACTTGCTATGAAGTTGCAGTAAATCAGTCATTCTAGCGTGGAGATCTTTTGAACCCATCGTGAGGAATGATCACGTTGGATCGTCAAAAAAAAAAAAGAATAAATAAGTTGTCAAACTGCCCATTTTTCATCTACTTTTAGCAAAGTGTTATGCGTGAGCACCGTAATGCAACTGTTGTCCGCGAAGATCTAAATCATCAATCACAATGGATGGGGGTTTATCTCGGAGATATATTTTTAAATCCTGGTGACAATTAAACGATGGGGGCTATACACATAAGACCTGGCCCAGTTTGTAGGAAGTTCACCGTTACACGCAAACTGGCCTCAAAATGAACCCAATGTCTGCCCTCATAATGAACCCAATGTCTGCCCTCATAATGAACCCACTGTCCTATAAAACACAATGACCCAATGTACTTTTTTTTCTATGAGGCATGACGGCACACAGAACCACCTAGCATGACTGCCTGCCTGCCTGTCACTTGTGAGCTGGGCAGTGCTATCTTATAGGACAACCCTGTGTAGACCAGATGCACGAACAGACTTCAAGTGTTTATGAATTGATTGCCTGGTCTTTTTTCTCTCCTGATTAGAATTCTGGGGGGGGGGGATCAGGAACATTAACATATGTTTACATAATTGTAGACTTCTTCGTAAACATTTGCAGAATTTGGCATGCCTGCATTCATAAATCTTAAGTTACAATTAGCCTTCCACCCCTGTGACCTGGTTTCGAACCCCCTTGGCTAACGGGAGGATTGGGTTTTTTCTGCCCATACATAATTGGGTTTCACAGAAATGTCATTCTGGTGTTACCATCCCACCTCTAAAAACTGCAATGTCCTTCCTGATGAAAAACTTCATGATATACAACAGTCCAATATGCAAACTCCTTCCCCCCCCCCCCCCCCCCAATGCCCTCACACCCCTAACCCCACGTAAAAAATAGGCCTGTTGTATTTGGCTTTGAAAAGGTGTGTGAGCATTCAGAATTTGTCATGGGTGGCAGAAAGAGAGAGCCCAGAAGAAAAAGATGAAAGCAAATAAAAAACGGACAACCATGGACAAGGCCCATAAAATATACACAAAAAGGTTCAATTTGTTCGTACCATAACCAAGACTAAGTCAAATTCCGGTCCGGTTGGCTTGGCCAACTCGGACAGAGGATTTGCGGTCCGCTGCATGTTTAACTGTAACAGGATTTTGTATTTTTTGGACAAGAATTTTGGCAAGTCAACCTATTTTTTTATTGTTGGGTTGCTTGTGGGGGCAATATGTAATTAGTGCATGGTTTCACGCTCGGTGCCTACAGTATAGTCTTTGGGGTTCAATACACAGTCAAGGTTGTCTGTACGTTTAAAATGAAATAAAAAGGTGTCCCACTTTTGTTGGCCAGGCCTTGCAAAATTACCGGTGATGAACTTGTGAACTTCCGCCCAGCCATCCATACTAGACAGTGCATGGCCATCATAAATAGTCATTAACTTTTTCCAGTGGCGTGTTTCAGTCCGATTTGGGTCTAGCCTTTCTCTAACCTGCAAAACAGCTGGGATGTGCTCAATTCTGAACACAGAATTGTCAATCAAATTTAACATAGCAAGAATGAAGTACCACTATCCATTATACATGTACTGTAATTCTCTGAAACATCTGTAGAAAATTTCCCATCTGCTTATTGGCTTCAAGTTGCAGTGACATGTCATGAATTATGCATGAGTTTTAAGCCTGTGCTTTAAGATCATTGGCTGCTTAGTTTCCTTGGCAACAGATGTATGTACATCTATGTCCATTACACATGGAACTACATGTGATGTACAGGTTTACAAAGGTATATTTTTTTGCCACACTCTGATTGGCTGAAAGTTGCAGTGACACATCATGAACTATACATGAGTTTTGCAACCTACATGTATGTTGTATCTTGGCTTAGCTGCTTAATTTCCTTGACAACAGATAACAAGTGCATTTTGAACATTGTACAAAATGCACGATTGTACATATTTTTAAAAGTAATTGTTTCACTGCAATGCAATTTAGAGCGATCTCAGTTGAATTCCATTATGGTTTGTATTGAAAAAAAAAAAGACCAGTTAATTTGCAGAAATTTCATTTCTCACAACTGTACTTTAATTAGAAATACTCAAGAAAGAAGTTAAGGATATTAAACAAAGTGTGATTCAGGGGCGTAGCAAGGTCTTTTTTTATGGTGGGGGTTAACATTTTTTTAAAAGGGCACTTGCAGCACATCCCTGCTGGAATATAGACACTTTTTTTTTCTCCAGGCACTTGGCCTCCGTAGAATCAAATGGGTGGGGGGGGGGGGGGGGGGGGGGGGGGGGGGGTTAGGGGTGGGGGGGGGGGGGGGCTGGTAATATCTGTTGATGAGGGCGCAGTTCAAAACCGACAATCATGCACACTATCGGACAATATGGTGCTTTTTAGGGGGATACATGTGCGAAATTAAAAAAAATACCCATACCGGCTGACTTATTTTCAAAGGCCACTTGGTCAGGAAAAAAGGGCCCTAGTTAACAAAAGAAGGCTCTCTATACAAATATTTGGGGTAAGCGCTGGTGAAAAGGTGCATTTGAATGGAAAAGGGCAGAAAGGGGGTGAAGATAAATACCCCATGAATTGTATCACAGAATACGCCTACTGCTTTTTCCGATTAATCTTTATCAGTCGAACCCCGTTTGTATTTGTTCAGGGGTTACTCCGTACTCCATACTCCATAAACACATTGACAACAGACAGTTAATAGATAGGCCAAGAACAATAAATATCTGTTTCCGGTTAGCCCACCTTAATAAAGTGAAAATCAGGCAAAAAAATCTTTTTTTAATGAAAAAAGAAATAAAAAGTTCAGGGTGAATTTTTTTAAAATGTTTATTTCATTTTTTGTAAGTCAGTCGGAAGTGTTATCTTGATGCACCATTCAGCGAAGCCTATAGACCTTTATCATGTTGCCGCCATCTTGAATATTTTTCCCATTCAAATCAACGTAACCAAAGCGAGGTCGAAAGGAAAAATAGTCTGGTTCCTTTTTGCACCAAAAAATTTCATTCAGTACTGTTATTGGATACAGGGAACATGACTGAAATGGTGGCAGCATGATAAAGGTCTAGACACACATTGCAAAAAATCCAAAATGAACAGTTGATTCACATGTTAACTTGTTAACGCATGCAAACAAATAAAATAACAATAATTGTCCATCATCCCAACCTATTTTTTTCTAGTAATAATAATTTAGAGAATAAAAATGTACTCACCCACCCTGTTTTTGTTTCAAATGTAATAGGAAACGCAACATTTTTGTTCTTGGCCTGAGGCAATTGATGTTGTGTATTAATTTGATTGGTGATGTGATAGACATGTGTAGGTGTGATACTTGAAACTTATCAGATGTGACACTTAGAAGCGTCAACCTGTGAACAAGTGCGGGTTAGGGTCTGGTACAGCCCAGTACAGTGCTTGAGTTCTGATAGTTCAGTTTCAAGTCTATAAAGTTTACAAACTTTCAAGTATAGCCAAACTCTAGCTTGACTCTTATTATACCACACTGTAAAACACTCCAGCTGTCCATGATATTGATCACCGCATGTACATTTTTCAACCGATGCATTGCGTGCAACTTTTTGACCGGCGTGCTGCACCCAGTTGCAGCTGGCGTGCGTAAAACTTGGTCAGAGATTTTCGAATAATCAAATATTCAGTGAAACGTAGTAACTTAAAGGACTGTGCTTTACTCTGGTTGCCAAATTTCTAGGGGGTGGGAGGGGGTGGGGCGACAACTGGGGGCAATGATTTTTTTATTGGGGGCGCATTTCCTTGTCCCCGTTCCCCCCCCCCCCCCCCCCCGAGCTACGCCACTGGATGTCATGCGTTCTAACAGAACTCCTGACGTAAAAGGTGCATGAGCATTCAACACTATTGAACCCAAAGAGGACCTTTTTTTAGTTCAAAAAGAAATAAAGAAAAAAAAAACCTACCCCTCACAGAGGATTAGCACCAAGCCAGACAAAAAGTGTATGCGCATTCAATAGTGCATTTAGCATTCACAAGGCAGAACAAATTGTTCGGAAGGCAACAGAGCATGAGTAGAACGGTTATGCTTGATGTTAATGCCGCTGAAAACTTTTTGCTCTGTGGGATACTAGTTTCACAACAGTTTCTTTCAAAACAAGTGTGACTTTCACAATGTATAATTGTACACTATGTAGAATTACTCTCGGCAAATTTGAGTTCCAAACATGGTTGCTTTCCATGATTCCCATTCCATAAGTCTGGTTTCCAGACCAAAAGATGCTGACTTTTCTGACAAATGGACGTAGGTCAGATATAGCCTTAGTTTAGGTACGTAGCCACCACGGCTACATATAATAGGGTGCGTTCGTTTAGCTCACCTGGGTCGACACAGGTTAGCCCCGTGCCGTTCGATTAGCTCTGAATGCAAACTACGTACCTTTGTCAAACTAGGTTTGTCAGAATAGTCCGAATCTTTTGGTCTGGGAACCAGACTACCTATTCCATGTACATTGAGACTGCCCAAGAACTTTGCCGTCTGTTGATTGGCCCCAAGTTTCAATGGCTCATCATGAATATTCATGATGTAAGCCTGTGCTGTGACACCATTGGTTGATTCGCAAGCATTGTTCATTTTTGTACAAGATCAAACCAATCAAAATCAAGTTTTCTCTTCTCTTTCCCCAACACAGGTTCAAGCAGCGGACAACTCTGTTCTTGCACCACTCTTTGACCTGCTATCCATGATCCGGTTTGAACGTAAGTTTTTTCAGCAAAATGTTTTTGTTTTCCCAAACACTCTGATGGAAATGAAAAATCTACTGTCACCGTTCACAAGAAAACTCAGACTTAGGCCTACAGATTGTGCAAGTTGACCTCAAAAACTTGCAGGATTTTTTTGAAAAGACAGCACATCCGGGCACCATGTTTAGGATCTACTTTTTGCATTTATTTCATGTCCTGACTGGGCCCATCCAATCACGGGCAATAAATGGGTATTTTCAAAAGAAAAGAAAGCATTACAATTTATAGCACATTGAAAATATTACGAATTGATGACTTCTGCATTGCAAAACTTAAAATTGCTGACCTCAACTTCCATTCGACCGATTACGCAGACAACAATTGGGTTAATTCGGACATAGGGTCTGCGACTAAAGACTAAAGTCAGTGTTTGGTGCTCGCCCTGTACTGAAGAGGGCACTAGGCTGGTCATGTGATACCAGCACACGCAAAAAAAACCATTACGTCGAGCGAGTACAAACATTTTGTTTGATTTTGGTTCAGAATAGTCCCACTTCACAGACTTTAACGAGTTTTCTCTGCAAACTAAGTGTTTTGGGTTATTTGTTTAATTTTGGAGTGTTTTGAGAAGAACGCAATGCTTAGTTCAAACAAACATACTGTCAGTTGCAGTGCCCAGAAAAAGTGGAATAGTGCCAAGGGCCCACTTATAGGCACAGCAAGAAATTTTGCAAAACGAATAAGCTGGGATTTGGAGGGAAAATTTGGTAATTGGAGGGAAAACCCTTTTATTGTCACTTGTTGCCACCAGGGATGAATTTGAACTTATATCAAGTATTCAGGTATGCAGCCCTCAAGCCACAAAAAGGGGGAAATTGATTTTTGACAACTTTGCACAATATTTTTTCCCCACTTTTATAGACGTGGGAATAAAAGAGGAGGAAACCAGTTGATTGTAGAAAAATGTGCTAGTCATGCATTGTGATAGAGCAATGGTAGATTCAGGAACAAGCAATCATCACACACTAAACCTAAAATGACCTCTTGCCCCTTTGTGAAAAGGCAGCTTAAAAATTGCTTCTGGCGATATCATTGTTGGCAAACAAGCTAATAATCTGAAAGGGTACCGCTTTTTAATCGTTGGGCCTCTGTTGCATACAACAGCAGTCATATCTACATGTACCAGCATCATTTCCTTGTGGGGGGGGGGGGGTATAATAGTTCGGGCATGACATTTTCCAGACAATTGTCTGAAATCAAACCTTTTGAAACTGAGAGAAAGACATTATCCAGCAGTGTTAGAGTTAAGCTACTAGGGGGCATCTGGGGGTGCAACATTTTTTTTTAAAGTTGAGGGCACTGGTGGTAATGTATACATTGTTTGTGTGCAATTCAAGATTTCACGGGGGAAGGCATTTAATATTTTTGCAAAAAAATACTTGCAAACACTTTCAGCACAACTGTGTTAACAGGAGAAATACTGGCCTTGTTGAAGGAAAAAACCCCAAAATAGAACAACAATTCACTGTGCAGACTGAGAAGACATTACTGAAACAGTGGATCTGCTGATATTGGAAAAAGAGTACAAAACAGCTGTAAATGAACAGGAGATCTTTTGTATACATTTAGTAAACAATCTGGAAATTGTAGAAACAACTTTGAGGTCTCAAACCTCATTTTTTTTTTTAAGATTTGATTTCAAGGTCTAAGTTCTCCCTTGCACATTGTAGTTCTAGAACCTACAGGTATATTGCAGATAGTAAGAGTGTTCTTTCATCTCAGACAATCTTTAGTGTTAGAACCTAACTGACATCATTGTCCATTTCGATGGTGATGCTCTTTCAGGTGCTATTGAACTTTAGTTCTTGAACCACTGACTTTCAGTTCTAGAACCTTAATGACGTCATTGTCCATTGCAGATGATGAGTAATTTCCTCTCTTAACACAGGTGACTTTTAGTTCTGGGGGACTTTTAGTTCTAGAACTGGGGATCTTCAGTTTTAGAACCTAAATGACATCCTTGTCCATTGCAGATGAAGAAGAGGATCTTTCAACGCCGGTTGTCTTCAAGAACTTCTTCCCGGCTGACCTGTCCTCATACTATCGCTACAGTGGCTCCCTGACCACGCCCCCTTGCTACGAGATTGTCACATGGAATGTCTTCACCGAGCCCATTATGGTTTCAGAGGCACAGGTAAAAACAACTTTTCTTTTTTGATTCATACTATTTCTCCAGGCACGCAACTGGGAATTTAGAAAAACGAGGACATTCCGAACCACACAAGACTCTGTACAGTGTTTTTCAATTTGTAATGGCATTCATGAGAAATAAAAAACAAGGAAATCAGCGGATCGGAGGAAAAGTTGCATGCCTGATTTCTCACAGAAAAGTTAGTTTTTGAATAAGTTAGCTCCCCATTTTGGGAGTGATCCAGATCCAAGTCATGATCCAGGATATTTTCTAAGGACTTTTCACCATTTATGTGAGTATTTCTTTGGGGTGTACCGACAATATGGCGGGGAATTGTTTAGCCTAGGTGGAGGTTTGCGCTCTCTGAGTGCTAAGTATCATGTACTCTGGACCTTGCATGTAAAATCCCTGAAAGCTATAGATACAGACTCCCATTTGTGGATTATAAACCGGCTTAAAGGGAATATACAACATTTGTAAACATCGAAAAATAAAACTACCAAGTTTTTGCGAAATACCTTAACATGATGTTGGTAAATGACAGTCTAAAGCATCCTGTAAAATTATGGCACCTGGTATACTGTCATTTTCAAGAAAAGTGGTATTTTGTATCAATTTCCAACGCTGATCGGCCGATCAGCGTTGGAAACAACTGGCTTTTTTTTCAAATACTGGCCCCAATTGACCATTGCACTTGTTTGCAATCGATTACAAACCTATGAACGGGTACGAGCCAGCTAGACTGGTTCCCTGACCTTACAATTCCCCAATGTATGTAAACTGCTCTGTTTCTTCTTATATGGAGTCAGAGAACCAGACTACAGGAAAATGATCGTTTTTCTTGGTTTTTATAGCATTTTCGAACCCAAAACCTCCAAAAAGTCAGTGTAACTATATTTGCTTTATATTTCCAACCCCCCAATTCCATCCATTTCTGAAAATTACAGCAAAAGCAAATGATGTATATTCCCTTTAACTAGAGTCATATATCCCTGTTCCTTGAATACCTTGTCGGTTGCGTAATAGAGATTTGTTGTGTGGAAGAATAGGCCCGATTTCTTGTAAAGGTTCTATAATAAAGGCACACCTCAAGATCCTTGAAACTGGGTTATGATGTAAGAGATGGTATTCATTGACAAAGTGTTGTTGCAAAATTCTTTGGAAGTACTGGTTTACAATGGGGACTTGGGCTTGTATGTGGTTTCTCAAAAACTAGGATAATCGTTTTGCAATTTGGAATGCATTAGGGCAATGAGAGTATTTTGTATTCATTGCTTTCAATTGTAAACAGAATAACAGGTTCATACAAAAGTCGGCCTGGCCAACGTAATTAATTACATAACATAGTGTCTCTTCTCAATCAATTGGGACAGTGTTGTATGCCAGATGTATATGATTTGAAATGCATTTTCGGGTTTATTCATATACACTGAGCTCTAAAAAAGCTCTATCATGGACATTACACAATGCTGGAGTTGGTGCTTATGGTTGGGCACCTATAGGATAGGAAAACATATATGCAGGGTCTAGCCGGGTTAAATTTGCAGGGGGATTAGGGGGACCTCATGGAGGCACTCAATGGGTCACACACAACAAAAAGTTCCTTTTGATCCCACAACAAAATTTTGACCAGGCAGAAATATGCATAGATAGATTTGCTAAACTGTTTACCTTGTGTCATGGAAACAAGCTTTCAAGCGCGATTGCATTACCTAATTCTCAGGGTGGGTTACCTTTTTTTTCACGAGGGCACTCATTTGGTGACACCATGAAGCTGTGGTGACACAAACAAGTCAGAGATCTCTTTTGCCTTCAAAAATTCTGAACAGATAGGGGCTGCCACCATCTACCTGTACATGAACTTCTAGATTTCCTTAAATTGGAGACAGGCAGCCTATGTGTAGTATACTGGGTGTATATTGTTACAGCATTCTTGATCATTGCATTCATTCTTTGAAAATGTTGGGTTTTATGGTGGGCCAGAGGAGGGAAGCTGCTGTACATGGCTATTTGAAAGAAAGAGAAACAAAAAGGGTTCATTTGGGGGTTTGTTTAGAGTGACAATTTTTGAAATGTAGATAAAAATTGGAAGTAGTATGGAATAGCAAGATATCCTCTTTAAGAATTTACAATTTTTCAATGAAAATGACAGAGGATCCATGTCTTTAATGAACAAAAAATTCCACGTTACGGAAGGCCATGCACGATTACAAATAATATTGAAATAACCGACAATTAAGGGATGTACTGAAAACCGACATCTGCAGAAATCGCCAAAGTTCTGGTGAACAAATCAGAGATGCAGACAGCGAGTTTGCTTGTTCACTCAAACTAAAATTAAACTAATTTTTAAGGTTGAACAACGAAATTGACTGGAGCAGGTTTTGAACCTGGGACCTCTGGGTTACCTTTCCGGAGCTCTACCACCTGAGCTATCCAGCCCTATGTTACTGTTAGTGGTTAATTAAAATTTAAAAAAAAAAACCACAAAATTGGCTTCTCTTCACGCATAATCAGTTTTAAAACCAATATGACTCGAGGTTCACCTAACCGCTTGAATGAACCCATCTGGTGTGTGATTTAAAAAAAAAAAATCTAACATATAAAAAAAAGTTGGAATTTCATTGATAAAAACTGAGCCAACCAAATGTGGTCAGACAGGTGGAGAAACGCTTGATGTTGCTGACAATGGTATCATTGAAAATTGACTTGGCCTTATTTGTGCATCTGGAAAAACCGTTATTTGAAAACCAGTCTAGTGAGAAGGTCATACCCAGGTCATCAACCCTAACTCCCTAGCATGATTTACTATGAACCATGCCCATCCTGGCAAATTCCAACACCTGTATCTCTGACTTTGATTCTGGAGGTGTGCCAACCAAAAGACTGTCAGTTTTATAGGAGTGAACTGTACCCATCCTGACAGTATACAAATAACGAATGTTTGTGAGTGTGATGGTAAGAATAATTTCATGAGGTGACAGATTGAATGTTCTATTCCACGAGGCGAAGCCGAGTGGAATAGAACATTCAATCTGTCACCGAATGAAATTATTCTTTCCATCGCACGAACGTAAAACATTCGTTATTTGTTTTATACAACACCTGAATAAATTCTCGTCATTTGATTGGTAAATTATAAACTACAATTTATTTTGATTTTAAAGATGTTGAACTACCCCTTCACGAAATGTTTGAACCCAACGCTGTAGCGCTGGCTCTTTGGAACAATACGCGCTACGCTGAACGCGCACACCAGCATGCATTTTGCACGCAAATACCGCGTCATGGAACAAGCGCAAAGTGAAACGGTATAACGCATGGGTATAACGCATGGTCGCACCGTGCATTATACCGAATAATAATATGTCACGTGATCTACAATTCACCAATCAGATGACGGGGATTTATTCAGGTGTTGTATAAATTCCAACAAAACATGCTGTGCACACTTGTATGGAAAGAAATTAATACTACAGGTTACTACTCGGTGGTATTTTGTAGCATTGGGGGCGGTTAGGGTTGGTTCTGGAACTCAAGCTGGAGACAAAACCAATATTTTGTAAACACTTTATGTTCACGGTCAAAACGTGAAAAAAACCATGCATTAACCCTCCTGCTATCTGAACAGTCACAGACAATCAAAATATCAATCCGCTTCCCCTGCCATGCCTTTTACACAGGCCATGCAGTCACCAACACTGAGATCATCAAGCGAGCACTGTAACTAGTCAAATTCAGTCAGCAGACAATTTAAGCAGACAAGTGGTACGCACAGCTCATTATCAATCGCCTACAGTCAAAGCATAGCTGTATGAAATTACACAAACAGTCACAGCCAGTCAATCCTGCTTTATGTAGGCTGGGAGCTCTTAACTGTTGAAAACAGTCACTTGATTGATTTTGACTGGAAGGACAACTTGGCACAGATGGTATGTTTGCATAGGAGGGTTAGAACAGCAAGTATGTAACTGTGACCACATGTTTAATTTCACCCCGTTATTCTTTCCATTTTTGCATGCGTAGCTGATGTTGTTCCGTAGGCAGTTCGCCAACGAACAAGACGCGCCAGCCAACATCAGCCTAGTGGACACCTTCCGCCCTGTCGAGCCCGTCAACGATCGCACCATCTACATGAACAGCGGCACCGCCGCCCTAGTCGCATCGTATTCCCTGATCGCCATGGTACTCGTCAAGGTACTGGCTTCAGTTTTGGAGGACTAAAGACTAAAAAAAACTTCCCGGCCATTTTTCCAAGGTGCACACATCTTACCCAGGCTCAAGTTGGATCAAGTTACACGTATATTACATATTTCCAGCTTTTGTGATGCAAAATATAGTAATTAATACCAAAAAACAATTAGTGGTGTAAATGTTTGTGGTGTTTTCGTAGGGGTAAAAATCAGGACAGAAAATTTGATATTTTTGATTGCTTAACAGGAACTTCTATTCGTTTAGAAAACAGTACTACATGTATGTGTGTACATATTATTCACTACACAGTTCAAGGAGATATTTTCTATATTTGCTTTAAATAAAATATCAGTACATATGCAACAAGTAAAATATCAGTACAAAACAAGTATAACCTGAGGAGATAGTTTGACGTTATTTGAAACATTTGGGTACTGGTGGTGGAAAAATATGTAATTTGGTCCAAAATATTGTAATTTTTTTTCAGAATTATATCTATTAGTATCTATGCATTAATTAACCCTAACTCCCTAGCATGATTTACTAGGAACCATACCCATTCTTGCAAATTCCAACACCATATGGGAAACTGTACACACATATTTCTGACTTTGATTCTGGAGGTGTGCCAACCCAATGTAAAAGACTGTCAGTTTAGGGGTACTGTACCCATCCTGACAGATTCCAACAAAACATGCCGTTGGGGTTTGATGGGTTGACGGTTGAGTTCTGTTAGGGATAGCCCTAACAGTCCTGAATCCTCCAATTTCAATACGATTTTGCACACCCCCTAGGGAGTTAAGGCATCTAAGGGCTTTTGACTTTTGGTATCATGTAGTGTGCTTGGTTTATTCAACAGTAACATATTTCGTTGATTGTTTTATTTCCAAATATCAAACAGGTTTTGTGTTTTGGTTACGAAGAAGAAACGTTTTGAGAAGTGACTTAAGTTTCTAATAAAAAGCAATATTTTGTTTTGGGTTCTTTGGAAGGATTCTAAATAACAGAAAAGGCTTAACCTTGATAGGTTTATACACTACAGGGACATGCAAACAATTTATGAGTTTTGTTCAGTTTTTTTTCCCCATTTCAGTAGCACCAATTATGATGAAACAAACCACTTACAGGTCTGAAAATATATATTCATTTATTTTGTGAGATTGCTCTTCCATGTTATTCCAACAAAAAAAATTGTTGTATGAGTGGATTAATTGATACAATCCAAAACAAAAGTTTGCTGATTTGGTGTTGTATCATTTATGTTAACTGTTCTGAATTATGACGATTCTCGGATTTAAGTGTATCTTTACAAGTTTTTGATGTATGTAGTTTTTTCCTGTTAAGATCTGTTTTTGGTACAAAAATGTTTAGTCCTGGACGAGTAGTGATTATTAAACTCGAGTACTCGAAAAGAAATTACTCACGAGTAGTCAAGTACTTGTACTTACCAGCGGTAAAAATGTTGTAGTTGATATCAAATAGATAAATGACTTGCAAACTCTATGCTGAGTATTATAATACGTGTATGCATGTATGTAACAGATTGGGAAATGTTCTTTTGTTTCAATCCCTATGAACGTTGCATTTGCATGTATTCACGGCAAGGAATGAGCAACGAAAAATGTATGCACTTCGTGCACAAGTGCGCCCTCAACGGTTACCAAGGGCAAGTTGGGGGAGACCACTGGGACGGAGGGACATTGCTCACGACGCCCGACACTCACTGGAAGACACTGTGGATTTTGTGCGCATTCGCAATCAAATTAGTCGTGCACTCTTCGTTCATACGTGCGCAAACAAGTATTTTTTGTCCGCTCTTGCCCCGCCCTCTTTTCATATTACACAATCATTCGCACAATTCAAATTTAACTATCCTTTTTTCTTTTAAATATAAAAAAACTTGGGTTCGTAGCATGCGGTTTGGACTAGTTTTCTTGTTTGAGTTTAAACCAAAGTTTTAAAAAAAATACAAATTAACATTAACTTTCTTAATACCCTTTCCTTTTCTACATAACAATCCTTTGAAATTGTTTTTGTTGTTGTTGTAACAGTATAAATTGGACATGTGATTTGGACTTGAGTTTTTGCAGAACAGATGACAATCATTTATATTGTAAATTTGTGTGGTGTATGAAATATTTATGTTGTTTTGGGATATTTTGTGTTGATAGTTTAAAGGACAATAAAACAGTTGTTACTTGCAAAGAGTTTTCTCCAATTGATTATTCGTTGATTACAATAGACCCTGGTGTTGAACAGTTTTCCATGAAAACTTTCTGAAATTTTGAGACCGACAGTCAACATTAAATTTGCACTGTTGAAAAATTGCAAAAAGTGACAAATAACAGATGTTACTAATTTTGGAAAAAATGTTGCATCCTGACGCCATTTTTTTTCTGTCATATTATCTAACTGAAGGTCAGTAATTGCAAAAAAGTTGGGAAAAAAAAAACAAACATGAATTTGGGACTGAGAAACATTTCCAATTTTGTTAGAAAATAGTTTGAAAATGTGCTTGACTCTCTATAGACTTTGTACACAACTAAAGAAGTGGCGGCTGGATACTGCATTCTTACTGTAATTTCCAGTGCAAGTTTCCCAAAATTGTTTTCACTGGAATTGGTGTTTTATTACATATCTCCGGAAAAAAATTGGTTATTTTGTGTTCATAAATTCTCCAAAAATGGCTAGCTGGTGAAAAATGCGACCAGAACCTATACAATTTCATATGGATTTTTCCCAACAAAATAGATGGGTGAAATTGGGGGGGGGGGGGGGCTATAACTTTTGTAGATAAAAACACCTTTACAATAAAACCTTGAATAGGAATTCCAGATTTCAATTTTTTTTTGGAAATCAGGAACAATTCTGACAAATATCACCCTTGGAAATATTTTTTAATATGAACTACAAACAGAACACCTTGCTCTTCACTAATAATAATAATAATAATAAATAATAATAATAATATATAACAATAATAACGGGTTCTTATATGGCACTTTTAACTAAGATCAAAGCACTTATTGCCCCGATCACTTTGACAAATTAATCAATGTTACATAATTATACTGTGTTTATTTATAAGCCTGTAGACCGGCCTTTTGATGTCCATATGGGTGCAAACCTATGTTCCCCAATACCTATGTTGCCCAACCCTAACCCTAACCCTAATAGTATTTTGGGGAACATCGTAGACCCCATTTCCACTGGGCCCATTTCTCACGAGAAGTTCTGGCCACTTCCAGCTTGTTTTATTAGGTCAGGTCACAAATACATATCTCGAAAGGCATATGACCTGTTCTTGCACTCTGGTAACACCTATGAAAACACCTGCTTTGTCGGGGTCCAGCCATGGTACAACTCTTTTGTTTTGTTAATCCGCTGTCCATTTTTCTTAAGGGACCTGCCACAATGATTTATTGCTTTCACTGCTTCAGGAGGTCATACATTTGGAAGTTCGACAAGTTAATCCCCGTGAATCAAAAGATTAATATGGCCTGATTTCAGTCTCAGCAAGGCCAGGTACTTAAAGTAATTAATCCCTGAAGTGACATGTAGGTCAGGGTTCAGGCACTTGGTCAGTGGGTGATGTGTGATATAATATGGAAGCACTAATTCAAGCCCCATTGAAAACAGAGTTATGGGCCTAATATGCAAGCCGACATCATTGGGGTTTCTCAAACAAAAATTAAATTACTGTGTTGTCCTTCATCTTTTCATTTCTTTTCAATTTTGGGTAGATAGTAGACTAGACAATTACATTTTTAAATATTCAGGGTATATTGTCAAAGGCAGAGGTCTCCGAGAACTCAGGGCTACAGAAGCATTCAGGCTATCATATTGTTTAAAGCAGAGGTCAAGGAGAACTATACACATGTCTAAAACAGAGGTCCCATCAGAGAACTACAGGGTTCAGGGTATCATCTATCTACAGGAGAGGGTTCCAAAAACTTTATCAATAGAAGAATATACTACTAGGTCGCCCTAGCTTGGCACATCTCACTCTGGACCCTCAAACGAAAACAAGAAGCCACTGAGTGCATGGCATGTTGAGCTGTATGCACTGTGTATGTAGCCTTTGTGTGTATACCCTTCCCCCTCCTTATGAGTTGTTCCATGACAAACCTATATAGTGGAGCTGCTTAGGTCCATTTTTGGCCCAAATCGTGCACTTTGTGGTAAAAGCATGAAATTTGGCAGGTGGGGTCCCAATGGGCTAGAATTCATTTTAAGATCGGGACCCATCCTGGATCTTGCCCATTTTGGGGGTGGAGCTTGATTTTTTTTAAAAGGGGGTGCAAACAATACAAACTCATAAAAATTGTATTTAACATCCATTTTCCTTGTTTTTCTATAGTTTGAAATAAACTTAAACATAAAATATAACATTCTAGCATTCGAACACCAGTTAATTTCCACCCATTTTGTGGGCGTGGCCTAAATGTACAAAAGAGGCGGTATATATTAGCAGTTTGGTTCTAATATGGAAAACATTATTCGGTTTGGTAGTAAAATCCTGAAAATTGGCAGGTCCAGTTAAAATGGGCTGAAAATAATTTTAAGAGGTGAACACATCTTGGATCTTGCACAATTTTGGGGGGCGGAGCTTGATTTTTCAAAAAGGGGAGTGCAAAAAATAAAAAACTCAGAAAAACTGTATTTAACATCCATTTTCCTTTGTTCTTCATGCTTGAAATAAACTTAGACATGAGAAATAACTTTATGAGAAATAACACGTTAAAATTGTGCAGCAGCAGGATTCCAGTCGAACCAGTGAGTTTGGTGGTTTGAGACATCATCTTACATTGAAAGACATCATCTCACATTGCCGACGCGCATGGCTATGGCGACGCGCGCGCATACCAGAAACCAGAGCCTTTTTTGGCCTAATAATCGTTTTCTTTGTTTCGTATGAATAAAAAGGAGTAAATGCTTCAGATTTCAAATATGCACTTGTCATTTACAAGGCTGGGTTGGGGCAACCTTGAAATTATAAAGCAAAATAATTCTGCGCAAAAACTACTGCATTTTAGTTCATTAAATTAAAGTTCATAAAGTACAAATGATACCATATGTTTGTATGAATAAAGCATGGCATTTGCTTTTTCTACCACTTTCGAAGCATTTACTTGCATCTGTATGAATGAAAATTAAGCAAACACTTTTACTAAAAACCATTTGCTCTTGAGTAAATGGCCTGCAAAATGTAAAGATTTACATGTTTATAAGTTTGCAGAAAATAAAACTATCATAACCGAAACGGAAAGCGGCACCGGGGAGGGTCACGTGCTGGAGGACAGATACAAAAAAAGCGCATCAAACGCGACGAACGCAATGCCGTTTACGTGCACAATGCGCTGTGCATCGGCACCCATTGTCTACATGTGGATTGGGTTTTCAGTCCCTACCTGATTCCGTGGGTTTTCCCCAGACTATTCTTCTGGGGTTTTTCTTCCACCTCTAAAACTGTAATTTCTTCTCATTGTCTTCTCTCTACGTTTTTTTTCGGGGTTTGCGAGCTACAGTACCTGGGGAATGCACTTTGAGGATCCTTGGTTTCATTACCAGAAAAATGCTACAAATTTTAAATATTTACTTGTCATATTTCAAGGTTGGGTTGGGGCTACCTTGAAAATATAAAAGCACATAATTCTGCGCAAAAATTACTGCATTTATTAATGTTAATCGCGAAAAAGTACAAATAATACCATATGGTAGTTCGTATAAATAAAAACTGGCATTTGCATTACTCCCATCTGTATGTTTCGTATGAATATAAAGGAGTAAATGCTTCAGATTTCAAATATGCACTTGTCATTCACAAGGCTGGGTTGGGGCAACCTTGAAATTATAAAGCAAATAATTCTGCGCAAAAGCTACAGCATTTATTATATGTTAATCGCGAAAAATTAATATTAACAAAGTTCATAAAGTACAAATGATACCATGTTCGTATGAATAAAACATGGCATTTGCTTTTACTTCCAATTTTGAAGCATTTACTCGCATCTGTATGAATGAAAATTAAGCAAACACGTTCGTGTAGGTTTTATATGAATTAATCCCTAATCCCTATGATCTCAGAATAAATACAAGATTTCGTTTGTTTTAGCCACTGTGACCTTGACCCTTGACCTTTCGACCCCCAATGCGATAGGCCTATGACCAAGAACGATCCCCAAACCAAATTTGAAGTTCACAAGGTATTTCTCAAGTTATCGCGCTGACAAAATTTCTTTTGTTTTAGCCACTGTGACCTTGACCCTTGACCTTTTGGCCCCAAATGCAATAGGCTTCTTAGGATTGCCAAGGACAATCTACAAACCAAATTTGAAGTTCATATGTAAAGTATATCTCAAGTTATCACGCTGACAAAATTTCTGTTTTAGCCACTGTGACCTTGACCCTTGACCTTTTAGCCCCAAATGCAATAGGCTTCTTAGGATTGCCAAGGACAATCCACAAACCAAATTTGAAGTTCATATGTAAAGTATTTCTCAAGTTATCGCGCTGACAAATTTCTATTGTTTCAGCCACTGTCTTTTTTTCAGAGAATGGTTCAAAAAATGTATTCTGTTTATTCTAAAGGGTATTGGTGATAAAAAAGCAGTTACTGCTGGGTTCAGGGTATCATATTGTCCAAGGCAAAGGTCTTGGAGAACTACAGGGTTACTCAAGGCTCAAGCATTCAGGTTGTATTGCCTGTGGCAGAGGTCTAAAACAAACGACAGGTTACTGCAGTGTTCGAAGGGTATCATTGTCCAAGGCAGAGGTCTCAGAGAACTACAGGGTTACTGCAAGCATTCAGGGGATCATATTGTCCGAGTTAAAGGTCTCAGACAACTGCAGGGTTACTGCAGTGTTCAGGGTAGGTCATACTGTCTAAAGCAGAGCTAGGTCTCCAAAACCTCGATCAATAGAAGATCAATGTGACTAGTAATCTAGGTCACCCTATGCTATGGCATATCTCACATGGACCCTCAAAAGAAAACAAGACCCTTTTTTGACAGATGGGAGCAGATCAATGAATTGACTACTGCGCTGTATGCATGGCACGTTGATCTATATGCACTACAGCCTTCATGTATACCGTACCCATCCCCCTCCAAGTTGTTCAGTGATACTAAGCTCAAATACTAGACATCCTCCATATTATCAGTGAGCCACACACAATGCATACTAAATTTTCTAACAATTAAGTT